GGGTGACTGTCGCACATCGTTCTGTTCTTTATTTCATGATGTTGTTCTTTACTGCAATTAGGGTCTGCTCGTGCGGCATTTTCATCCTATAGCGAACGTGCCACCCAAAACGTCAGGGGTTCTCCTTTTTGTGTTGATGTGGCCACCTTGCGCCAACCGGCTGCCCCAAAAAAAGGCCAAGGCCGCGTTTGTTTTTTTTTCGTCGCCCAACACGCTCGCTGGAGTTCATCTGAGGCACGCACTGGATGGCGCTGAGATGTGTTTGAAGGTGGCACGCTTGGCCGAGGAGGTCGGAGCGTGCGACACGGCCACGGATCGCAACATGGGCGGACTGCCTGCATGCCGTTCAGCAGCAGACGGCTGAAGGTATATGCTCCTTTTCCTGGCGGCATGTTTTGCCATAGTCTCCACGAGGTTTGTGGAACCGAAATATGAGTAGAATCTTTAACTTAACGTATAGCCTACGGGGGAGACAGTTTTGTCGCGGCCAGCCATGGTATAAGGTGGCGACCGCACATTGCGATCTGCTTTGAGGGCCGGTACTCACCCTGCAGGCTGCCTGTGGCACTCGTAGCTGGCAGCAGCTGCTCAGGCGCGCTGGACAAGCATCCTGACAGCCAGGACCCAGCGGCTGTGCAGATCAGGCAATGCCTTGAACTCCAACCTCCTAGCCCCTAGTGTTCATATATGTGTTCATGGGATTGATGTATATTATATATATTATATATTTATATATATGTATATCATTGTATATCGGAGCTGCAACATCTTCAACAGGATCAACAGGATCAACAGGACCACATCCAACCACACACGTCAACCATTGGAGACGCTCTCCAGCTAGGAGCTGACTAGGCTGACGGGGCTGCTGACGGTCCAGCCTGGGGTGCCGAAGAACTACCCCGTGAGATCCAGAGAGCTAACCCCTCTGGTGCCCTTGTGGTGGATAGGTCCCGCAACTCCAGCATGAGTGGGGTGACATCTCAGCGCACGACTGGTCCTTCCCCAAATTGGGGCATACAGGTTTCACTGGGGGTTTCATTGGTCATGTCGGACTCGTTTCACCAGGTGTGGCACGCATTTGTTGGACAGTGCCTTGGCCTGCAGCGGTGAAACGGGCGGTTGCAAAACTGCGGGTGTGTGAAGATTTGCCATGGTTGCAGCATTTGGGGTTAGTTTTTTGAGCCATTGGCCATGGCCATACATGAGACATTTCGTTCTTAGGAGGTCCTCCAATGGCCAGGTTTTGCTTGGGGTGATTTCTGACATTTCTCATGGTACACCCTTTGCTGCATTTTGCTGCAATTTAAGGTTTTCTGCTTATGGCGCGAGAGAGAGAGAGAGGGAGAGTGTGTGGGAATCGGAAGGCCATTCTGCCGTCACCTTTAAGAGGTTCGGTTCCTGTATCCGAAATCACCGATAGACCCCTTTCAGCCAATTCTTTCAGATGTCCAGCTACTGTACTCTTGCGGCATAGCTAGCCAGAGACTCACGCCGCTTCACCGCCCCAGCCAAGCAGCCAAGCAGCCTCCGCCCAACAGCCAACGACCCGATAGCCCGATCCAACGACCGCACCGGGGTCACCGGTACCGGTGCAGGCACTCACTGTGTCACCCAAGCAGCCTCCGGAGTGGCGAGGCGTGGTCCTTGGGCGGGTCCAGGGCACCTCCTGTGGGTCAAAGCTAGGAAATGGGGCCATCAGTGTTGCCGGACTGGCCACTTCCTCGGATCAGCCCTCGGCCCCCCCGAATTGTGATGAATCGTGATGAATCGACCCACCATGTTACGCCCAGCGCAGCCGTCAGAAAGCCGAGAAAAAGACACCCAAAAGCGTGGCAGCGTGGCCCCCTTGCTGATCTTTGATTATATTTGCACATCTTGAAGGTCTCAGAGGTTTTTCTCCAATCCCAGAAGCTGTGCGTTCTGCATATTCTGCATCATTCTGCAGGGAGGAGTTGTTGGTTTGGGGCAGTGGATTTTTGGTCACTGTTTGGCGCCCTGTGGAGGGGTGCCCCTATGGACCTATATTTAAAATATATATATCTTTCATTGGAGAGTGCAAGTTTTCAACATTACAAAAAAAAGACAAGAAAGTCAACTTAGTAGTCAGTCCCAAAAGTCAAAGTCAAAAAGTTTCAGACAGTCAAACAATGTCAATTGGCACAGATCCGACCTTTTTAGTTTTTTGTTTGTAATGTTGATGTCTTTTGATTTCTTTTTTTGGCTTTTTCGTTTTTTGTTTGTATATTTTATGTTTATAAATCGAGTGGCTTTCTAAAGTTGACATTTCTTTGCCGAGTTGTTTAATACCTTTGTTCTTTAAACACTTGTTTAACTCCTTTTTGTTTCGACTTTTTTTTTTAATATTAACTTTTAGACTTTTCCATTTGACTTCTTTTGACTTTGACTATTCCATTTGACCTTTCTTGAGATTTTGTAAGACTCTTTTAAATAAAAGATTCTGGCCTTACCATAACTGATAACTTTGTTTCGGCACCCCGCCATGTGGGCGCCGCAGGTGCGCTGTGAACGTTCCCTCCGATTTGGTTCCGCTGCTGGAGAAGATCAAGACGGCCTCGTCGGGCATGACCAGGCCAGCCATCGCCCGCCGTCGTCCAAAGGGAGTTGGTCTTTGGATGTCCTTGGGGTTGTGAGGGTTCGGCAGGGGTCCCAGGGTCCCAGGGGTTGTGCGTCGTTTGTGGGTTCGGCAGGGGCCCCCAGGCGTCGTGCGTCGTTTTGAGTTGTCATCTCGAGTCTTCTTCCAATGGTCGAGTCTAAGTGCATAGAGCCGGACTGCTGGACGATAGCTACTAGAGCGGAAGATCAGTATCCTTGGACCATCCCAGAAAATCCAAGGGGAAACCAATGGACAACCCGGTTGCTGATCTGTAGCTGCATATCCGGACATACACACTCAAGACTTCTGGAACTTATGGACGTTCATTTTTCCATGCCAATTATCAGAAGTAGACTTCTTTGTGGACTAGAAACCGTTCATTTAACACAGCTCAGGGTACGGCAGGGAACAAGAACCTCACCTGGGAGTTGGAATCCACCGCTACCACAAGGGCAAAATGAGTCATGACTGAGTCATGACTGGACTCTCAGGGGCCATTTCTACTAAACAGCCATGTGTTAGGCTTCCAGCTGTGAACAGCGGAGCTTGTCTGGAGGTCGAGAGAGGTGCAGACCATTGAAAGGTGCGGAGTTCAGAAGACGTGGCCTTGGAGAAAAATGGCATCAGACGTTTCCTTTGGAGATCCACTCACATACAGCACGATCGTTGGCGCTTTTTTTCAAACATCGAGCTGAACAAGTGCTGACCTGCCCAACCTCTCACCATGCACCTGGAGGGTCTGCACCATGCCACCGGTCGCCCTCGCCGTTGGGGTCGGTCGCACTTCTGTCCCGCAGGGCAGCGGTGACCGCCACAAGGGATTTGATGCGCTGTACCGAGATCATCTCAGAGCGAGGTTCGGCAGCGGAAACTGCGGGCGGAAGGTCGGGGGCGGGAGGTCGGTGAAGGTCCGCGGGGGTTTGTGGAGGGGAAGGTATAGGTGGCTCGGAGCGGTGGCTTTCATGACGGATTTGGCTTTCTAGCAGGTGTTGGAAGGAAGGCCTTGCGACAGGCGTCTGGAGGGCCTTGGTCCTGGAGTGTGAGACGGTTTCCGGGTTTCCAAGAGTTCTTGAAATAGAGGAGCTCTCAAAACTATTCAACACTTTGGAGTTGGGAGGTTTGATTGGGAAGGTGGAAGGTCACAAGAGGCAGTTGAGGGCTGACGAGTCGACCAGGTTAGAGGGAGAGCACCTTGGAAGATCACAGGGTTCTGGCTGCTGACTGTTGGGGTTCGAAAGTGAGCTTATAACACTAATTTGGCCCTTGAACCGGACAGGTGTAAGGGCATGTTGTCCATTCATCAACTGGGGCCTGAGTGTATATCTAAAATATACAGCCAGGACAAAAGTTGGTAACAAGCTTGTGAGTATACAACCTACTCGTACAACTCTTTCCCCTTAGAACCCGACAGGGATCACAGTGGAATGCTGGCGGATTAATTTCCACCCAAAGAACTGTTACAATTTCGTGCGGGGTGGAAACTAATCAATCCGCCGGAATTCCTTTGGGAAAGGGAACTGGTGTCAATGACATGCTGGAGTGACGTTGTTACCAACATTTTTTTTTAAATCCTGTTGTTGTTGGAATGGGGGTTCTTGCGATTATTATCATCTTATTATCATCAACCATCTATATACATCATTGGTTGCATCCAATTTTCTGTGCCCTAGCCTCGTATGTCTTTGTCAATTTCCTTTTGACCCAAATCGCTTCAAGCGGAGCAGCGCAGCTTTTCCCAAGGTTTGAAAGCTGCTGAGCTGTCCAATCGGCCGGGGCGCCAGTTGGGGCTGCGGAAGCCTTCGTACAACACGGTCCACAGGACAACTAGGGATACATATATAGATATATATGTAAATATATACAGTGGGAGTCAAAGACTATAAACAGAATTGTCTTTAGGGGGCCTGAAGGGGAACTTCCTTTTTTTCAGTCAATATCTAGTCTTCGGACCTCTAGGGTATGTGTATATACATATTTGTTTAATTACACATATACGTGGGCAGTCAAAGAACCTCCAGTCGCATAACTTTTAAGTTTTTTACATGTTTAAGAGATGAAGGTTAGGTCTTAAGGTTCTCCCTCCCTCTCTCTCAAACAATCATGGAAGTGGAAGTTGGGCATCCGGTGTTCATAGCAAAAAGATCTTCCAGACACCGTATTTTCCTCTATCATCGTGTGTGTTGTTTTTGTGTGTTGTTTGTGTGTGTGTGTTATTGTTTTGTCCTTCTCGGGGATTTATATCTGATGATTTGATCCGATTTATCTCTCTCACAGGCCATCAGCTGGTGCTAAGCAGCTCGGACGCCATCCCAGGCTGCTTCAGCAATCAAAGGCATTAGCCGACACCTTGCACTCAGCCGGGCTCCTGGGTGGGCCAAGCCGGGCGAATTCGAAGTCGAAATCGGCTCTTGGACAGGAGGTCCATAAGAAAAGCAGAACTGGGCGTGTGGACAAATGTATTTTCATACTTGGCCAGACCTCATAAGCCTCAAGCAAGATTGGTCGTGTTTTGGTGCCATCTAGAGTTTGATGTCTACTATAGTTGGGCCATTTTGGGCCACTTTCGCATGGTAAAAGCCAGCCTGGTTCTGTAGTCCACCGAGTCTTCAGTAAAACAATGGTTGGTAAAGGCTCAGAATCCTAGGGGGTCTAGACGGGGTGCCTATTCGGTCACGCACGAGGGCACTCCTTAAGCCTTAAGCGGTCGCGAACTAAAAACCATCTGTAGATCAGCCAGCCCAGAACCATCCAGAACCTGTGTCATGGCAGGTTGCACGTGTAAGACCCGTATGTTCATGTTGTAGATCAGCATGAGTTCCAGCTGCCGCCTCCAGCCGACTCGGTGAAGCAAGTTGGGCTCGGGCTCGCAGAGGGTGAAGACTTTGGAGTGATGGATGTGCAGGCGGGGCAGTTGCGATCAGCAACAGAATCAGACGGTTTCGGATGGTTTTGGAAGACAGATGAGGACAACTATATGGGGGCTCTCTCTCTCTCTCGCTCTCTCTCTCTCTCTCTCGCTCTCTCTCTCTCTCTCTCTCTCGCTCTCTCTCGCTCTCTCCTCTCTCTCTCTCTCTCGCCTTCTCGCTCTCGCTCTCTCTCTCTCTCTCTCGCCTTCTCGCTCTCGCTCTCGCTCGCACTTGCATGCATGTATTCCATTGGCAGGTTTGGCTTCGCACAGTGTTAACTCCGAGGAAGAAGTGAAGAAAAATAGAGACAAACGGAAGTCGACTTCAACAGACTGAAGACGACTACTGTTGGAAGCTAGAGAGTACATGTTGGAAGCTTAAGACTTTTTCCATGGTGTTCAGAGTCATTTTTTCCATCACAAGCCGCTTCGGCGAAGATTCCCAAGAGTCTTTTTCCCCCCCTGGGAATGTTCACCTGTCTGGCAGGTCAATGTTTCAGAGGTTTCAGAGATCGATCTCTGATCCTTGTGCATCAAGAAGCATGCAAGCACGAATAGACACAACCAAAGCTGGCTATAGTGGTCCCCAAATAGATAGAAAAGTAGATCCCCACATGCTAAAAACATATATTTTGTTGGCCTCTCCGTGGTGCCGCGAGGATCTCAAAAGAAGGGAGGGGCCCTGTATCAGCTAGGCCATACACTAATGTTTTTGTGATGAAATGAATCAGTCTGAATCAGTCCCGCTTCGGTGGGAATCCGGAACATCTGTTGGAGGTGCATCGAAGCATATCGAGGCTGAAGGGGGGTTGGTCTGAGGTGCATCTCAACAGCCTGGAGGACTGCGGGGTGTTTTACACCCTCAGAAGCCTTGACACTTGACCCATCTTGACCTATCTGAGGGTCCCCTCGATGTTCGATTCTGTAGGTTTGTTGGTGTTCTCTCTTACATCAAAGCGCGTTGTCCCTGGGATACCCAACAAATCCCAACAACATAGTGGACAAATCCTGACCTTGCCTCCAGCGTGCTCCTTAAAACATCTGCCTGGCCTCGTTCAACTCTGCGCCCATTGAGTCATCCCTCCAGGGAGAGATGGAGAGAAGGGAGTCCAGCGTGGGCAGCGTCCAGTCCGACCTGGTCCAAGGCTTCGGGCCGTGGGAGTGCGTCTGCGGCGTGGGTCCGGGGGGGTGGACGAAGACTGGAATCACACTCGGACGAACACATGGTTACCTGGATGGAATGGCCGGAAGGCCGCCCTCGCTTCTGACAAGTACAGACCACCAAAGGGAGATGTTCCTCCAGACCGAGCGTCTCGATGTTCTTTAGAGTTCTGAAGGGTGGGTGGTTTCAGTGCTTTGGAGAAGGGGGTGGAACCCACCTGACTTCCTTTTTTTTTTCCGGTTCCCTGAGTTGAAACCACCAACCAGTTGGGGTTGGGTGCTGGAGATGCAGAGAAGCCAACCCAAACCGTTATATACTGCTTTCCAAAAGCGCCACTCAGCAAGCATCGTAACCAACGCGATCACAGCCTGAGGGGGGGTAGTAGGTCTTAGGTGGAAACTCAGCCGGATCTTCCCACATTCACTTGCCGATGACACCTGCACTACTTCTGGAAAGCAATGGCCTTTACGACGTTTGGGCGTTCTTGGCATTTCTTGGTGGTCCCCTTCCATCAGTAGCAGGGCGCCCCGGTGGGTGGGTGCCTTGAAGCGAAGCGCCGGGGAGGTCCCCCCCTCCTCGCCACGGTGCGCAACGGACCGCCGCTCGCCCTGGGCAGGTTCGGAGAAAGAGGACGGCAGAGGGGCGAACTTGGGTACCAGCAGCTCCAACAGGTCACCAATTGAAACCTGTTAGGGCCTAACAACCCTCCAAAGGAGACCTGTTGGAAGGTGCTGGTAGATGGTTACAGTGCCACAAGCATCGGTCGGGCACGGCATTGGCACGGCATGGCAGGAATAGACGTCCTCCCTGCACTGTCGCCTCCGCACATTCAAGGTGACGTCCAAGCACTGTCGTCATTGGCCAAAAAGAGGTGCAAACAGGTTTTCCAACTTAATTATGTCTTTTCAATCCCGACGCACACGATGGCGGTGCCGCAGGGGACAGGTTTGCACCACCAAGCATCGAAGGAGTTCCATTGAATTAAAATTGATCATTTGGTTGATCCTTCACTTTCAAGTGACGCCTTGTGACACTCGCAAGCCTCGGCGGCAAGGGTTGATCTATCATAAATTCCCGAAGGATTCAGTCGTACCTTCTCAGGAGGTGATGTGTTCGACACTGATCTGTAGCTGCCAGAACGTCGGGTCCAGTCGTACTGAACCTGAGGTTCAGTACGACTGGACCCGACAATGGCACCTACATAGCTACATAGCAGTGGACCCTCCACATCACCACCTGAGGTTCGGTACGACTGGATCCCTAGGGGTTGGACCACTTGGGTTTATTAGGGGTACTTGGGGTCCTGGTGGCTTCACTTCCACTACCCCCGGAACCCACCAGGAGTGCGAGGTGCGCCGGTGCCGCTCGGCGATCCTCTACGAGGTGCCGCCAGGCACCGGGGCGTGACCCGTCGGGACGAAGGCCAAGGTTCCGATGGCATGGAGGGCAGGGTAGGTCATACTAAAAGACACCAACAGGAACACGTGTTACAATGTGTTACATGGTATAGTCATGTATATAGTCTTTCTTTTTTATTCCTTTGTCGTTGTGGGTTTGGATGGTGCCAGAATGTGGAGCCATACATACAAAAGCATACTATTTCATGGGCCATTGGGTTTTTCTTGGATGACTCTTTCAGTATGTTTCAGTACGTCGATCACTTGTATCAACATTGTTAATATCAGATGATATGTGTATACCAGCACCTTCTTCCAGGTGTCACCTGGCTGGGTTCGCTCTCACTTCCATCCACTGTTCCGCCCACGCCTTTGAAAGCCGTCGATCGCCAGACATCGAGCACTCCCGAACTGCCATGTGGATTTTGAAGGATGATGAGGATGACGATGTGCCTTGGAGCATTGCTGGGGGTCCAGAGGTGCCGATGTTTTTCCACCGCACCCGCCTGGTAACACACAAGTCATCGCAAGTCCATAGGTAGAGCGAGGACTCATTACTGGTAGGGCTTTAATGGATTTAAGAATTCCTTGATTTCGGGCCGTTCGCCGCACTGACAGAGTTCCAACCTTGGTCCCAGGTGGTACACTTGTAGGATGAGTGCAAATAGTTTTGACAAGGGTCTATTATGATGGTTCCAGATCGGCCATTGAGAGCTCTTTGATGTGCAAAACATATCAAAAGTCCATCCGCTCCGCAACTTGATGCGGGCATCAGTTGGAATCGTCTTCCAAACCTTTCTTGCCCATCGATTGGCATCGACGTTCTTGTGGCAGTTCTCCATAGACCGCAGCCAAGCGCAATGACGTTCATTCTCGAGAGGTTCGCAGCTACTTCCCTTCTTGCTGTTAAGAGCTCAAGGCTCGCTGGCTCCTGGAAACCAGGTGCATCGCGATCCGGTAGCTCCAGTCTCAGACTCGTTTCACGCATCCTTCAAGATGTTGACCTCGTGTCGGCAGTTGGATCTACAATCTGTCTGAAAAATTTGCCGGTTTCCCTATCTATGCTTGGTTTTCAGACTCTCGAGCTCTCCTTTTTTTTTCCCTCATTGGGGGGGAAGAGTGTGAATAAAGAGAGCTGAACCACGTCGTTGACCCAAGTTGTATATAAGATGCACAACACTGTGTACATTCAGTCAGCCTTACACGTAAGTCCTCTGAACTGCAATGTCAGGCGGGTTTTTTCCAGCGGTTTTTCACACCCAGCCAGATTGGAATCGGGGTGCCACTGACACCATACATACAACGGCATGAAACAGTGACACCCAGCGAGGTGGTGCATGGTCTGAAGTCCACAGGACCATCCAAGGCCAGACCCTCCAGAACTTCGAGGCTTCGTGGCCAAGCATTGGTGCAGTGAATGAACATCGGTCGCAGCAGCTGGCAAAATGAGCTGGGCATTGATGATGAATCCTGATGGACTTGAGCTGCGTTTGTTACTCATGCTTGGGTTCACGGACCAAGTGCTGACATCCTGGCCTGGGCGTGCGCGCCATGCTTGGTGCTGTATGCCTGCACAACCACAGAATCTGGATATTGGCCGTTTGCTTCAGTCCCCATCAATGTCTCCTTTTGCTCTTGCCCTGCAAAGCTTGGTTGTGCCTAACTGGCACAAGAGTGTCTACACAAGGTTGTGGTGTGGCTATGAAGCCTTCTTGGCCTTGGAAAGTAACAAGATCATTCGGATGGCGACGCCTCCCAATTGGCGAGAAGTTTGGTGCTCATGGCTCAGGATGGTTCCTGCGCTGATAGGCCTCATCGTCGGCATTGTGTTCAATTTGGGTCGGATGCATCAATTTATGAAGTTCATAAATGAGAATCTCAGTTCGCTAAGTTGAGTGACCTTTTAGCATCCTAAATTTGGTCTCGCGGTGCCAAAACAATTTTGGAAAAATCTGGTTTCTATACAACTTTTCCCCGCCAGCCGCACAAGTGAGGAATGATAGCGTTTTTGGCAAGCCTGGTGAGTCAACACTCTGATGCGGCTGTGCCTGGTTGCCAACCATGTGGGCCTACTAGCCAGTACTTCGGCCGGCTATTTTCCGTATTGGGGCTATTTCTTACTTGCTGAAATTGACCGAGTGAGCTGGCAAGCAGAAATGGAAGAGGCAGAAGCGTTGCCAAAGCAACGAAGTGAACGTTCGAAATGAGATAGGTCACCAGGTTGATGAAGTTGACAAAGTGGCCCAAGTTCTGTTGAAGGCTGCACTTCGAGCTACATATTTGCAGGAGGTTGAACTTCTGCATGCAGGTTTCGTTCAAGTGGCCGTCCCTGCGATTGTGCTCGGGCCTTTGTTACTGTTGGGTTGTGGGCTAGCGGGGCAACATTTTGTTGAGCTGAATGACTCGGTTCATCCAACCTTCTCTAAAGTTTGGCTATCAATTCAATCCTCATCAATTCTTGCCAGGCTTGCCTTCTTGTGGTTGTTTTGCAGGCGCTCCTCCATTCATGAAAGATGCTTCATGCTGAACGCCATGGCAAAGATTGTGACGGTATTCTGTTTTTGCCTGGTGGAGCTGAGTTCCGTGTTTTCAGCCCGACAGAACATCGCAGTGATTGTTGTGTACTCATTTTACTTCGCTGTGTTCCCTATCTTCGCTGTCTTGGGCATTCGTGGCACATTGAAGTTGCAGGCCAGCCTTAGAGCATTCAGAGGTTTTCTCCCAGTCCACAGGGGATTTGTCAGATTCTTCCGCATCTGAGACTTATATAAGCAGCTGATTCACTGGTTCATTCGCACGAGCACTGGACCGCCAGTGGTGGGGCACCCCAAAAAGGAGCGTTTCGCTCGCAGAACGCATGATCCGTAGACATGCCTTTCAAAGGGTGTTCTTTCCCCGGCAAATGGACATTTTAAGCAAAGAAAAGGAGAACTTGAGAGACCTGGACCCTGGTCTGTGGATGTCTGTGATGGGCGAACTCAGGGGCTATCCCTCAACCTCTCATAGGAATTCACCCTAACCTCTCATCTTCTCTCCTTCCTTTGGAAGACTCGGGGTGCTGCGCTGCCCCGATCGCCGCTGCGCCCGCTCCGCCCGAGGACACCGCGTTGGATCCCTACGTCCGCTCCCGAACGGCGGTGGTGTTCCGCGGGGCAGGCGGGTGGGATGGGGGGGATGGGAGGGGAGGGGGGTGGGAGACGGTTTATATCTTATTTGAGTATCAGACGCAATTCTTACAACATGAAATCGTCTTGTTGAAGCGAAACGGCCCAAAGCTACTAGGACAGCGCTGCTGTGGCATTTCGAAGCCAGGAGGTGATGGGTTTTAAAAAGCGGTGACACCAGGGTGGAGCGGACCTAACAACTGTATGCACCCCCAAATAGATAGAACAATGCAACCCCTTTCAAAAGGTGGAAAGTTCATGACCGCGTCATAAGGCGGCATAAATACTAGGGCCTCCATAGTGGTCAAGGAGCACTGCTCTAGTACCCTAGCACGTACGTTTAGGGCACCTGGCATGTACTATGGATCAATGTCTATACTGCCCATCTCTTGGTTTCTTCAGAAAGATTCTTGGTCTGCTACCCTGGCCAGGTGCTCATGAAAGCGAGCCGCTTGATGAGGCACCGGCTTGGAAGGATGCATGCAGACGGATTGGACACAACAACCAGAAATCAAACAAAACAGTTTGTCAGTTGAATAGATTTGAATAGGGCATCACACGACATCAGATTTCTAGGACATTCGTTATCAACACCATCGCACCTTCTATTCGTTTGAGGCCGCTAGCCGCAAATTGAACAGCATTTCAAGGCCTATTTGGGGGCTACATAGCCATGTCACGCCAAGTGTGACAGAGATCCCAATTCCGCCAGGTAAGTTTTTTGTTCCCATGAAAGAAGTCCGTCGCATGCAAGCAGTCGGTGGAGAACCAAAGGAGGCACCACGATGAAGTATAAGTAGCGTCCTGAAGGAGCAATTCTATCCTGTTTGGCATGTGCTCAGACCGCCTAAACCATTGCCAGCACAAAGTATATATAAGACCTGTGTTCTGGATTTTTGGAAGGTGGTGAGTGGCGGTGGCTGTTTGCGCGCATGTTCAAGTTGCAAAGACACCAGCCCTTTGAGAGGCGCGTATACGCCCTACGCGGGTTGCCCTGACTAGCTGATCCACCCGCCCCCCAGCTTGCCTACCCAAGCCGAAGGGGGCCCGCTGAAGGGCCCGAAGGGCCCCGCGTCCAGCTTGTGATGGTGCCAGGGTGCCGAGCGCTCGCGGGAGGAGATGATCATAGGCGCTGGCTTCAGCCGAAGATGAAGGTTTTATTTTGGGCTACCAGGTAGAAAGAGGAGAAGTGTTTAAAAGATGTGTCAAGAGTCTTTCAGAGGGGAGTCACTTTTCTATCTAATGATTTTGGGGGGGTCACTGGCTTTTTCAGGTAGGGCACTCGCAAACAGTAGAAGAACATGGGGTTGTGGAATATCGCCTCCGCAAACAGGACCGGGGATCCCAGTGGAAGACTGACAAGCCTTAAACAGGTGACGCATGGCAGGCGAAGCACGTCAAGAGTTCCTACAATGTTTGGTCGACCGAACGTAGCAGCTTCATATTTGCTCGATGTTTTTGTATGGGTTCATGGAGGCATAAGTTGTGACTGACTTCATGGCAACGATTGGAATCAAAAATATAAAGCCCAAGCAGAACAACCCCCTCCAACCAGGGTGCAGCAGTTCTAATCACATTGAGGAGCACAGTGCTGCAGAGAGGGAGAAAATGATAATAGATTTGGCCAAGTACTTAGGATTTCGGATTGCTCGGCTTTCTTTCTCATTGTTTCTACGGGGAACTCGCTTTCCACGCCATCGTTTTCTCAAGTTTCATCGGGAATCCACCAAAAAATGGTCATCTGCCAGGCCCCTATCTTCCCCGACCTGTTCGCTGTCTTTGAAACGAATGTTCCATTTCGCAGGTAGGCGGCGGCAACGGCCTTCCCGAACTGCCATGTGGATCGAGAAGGACCTGCCCATGACGTCCGAGAGCTTGGACGTCACACGGGAGGCCATGAGAGGCCCAGCTGGGCCTTGGATCAAGGCCACCGGTAAAGATGTTGTTCCAAGAGAGGCCTGAAGGAAGAATCCTTTGCACCACCTGAAATTGGGAAAGGGGTTGCTGCCTTTGGAGTGTGAGCGTGGGGGTTACAGCTGAGTCGTTTGCTTAGTGCTTAGTGCATCTTTCTCTGTCGTTGGCTCCGTGTTGGGGAACCTCACCGTTGCTGCGGATGGTCGGATGGTCTACCCGACGGGGTCCCAGGCCTGAACCGAGCTTCGAGCCCACTGGAAGCAAAGGCCTGTCTCGCAGCCTGGAAGGAGATGGAAGGAGTGGATTGGAGCGGTTTGAGGGGTCCCAACGGGGTCACTACAGGTGAACCTTCCCTGATACACTGACAGAATCGGAAGTGGATGGCATGGCCCCAGGAGGATGACCTTTTTTGCGCATACCAAACAGATGGTGCCATCCACTTCCATGATGATTTCAGGCAGTGTTGACTCTACTCGACCACTGCCTGAAGCATTGTCAACGACGTGCAGCCTCTGTGTGAGACGTTCTGAGGTTTTCTGCTTCAGAAACTGACTGAGATCGGGTGGCGCTCCGCCTTGGAGCAAGCGTAGCATTTTGGCACGGCCCTGCGAAAGATGATTTTTCTGGTCTTTACTCCCCCTCACAACGTAACTACAAAGAACATGAAGGAACAACCGACCAAGGCAGACTTTGCAAGAGTGAACACATTTGGAGAAATCCCCAAGTTGAATAAATACCATGCAAATCCATGCAACCTTTACAGGAGGCGACCTACCACATAAAGTCACAATGCGGAAAAGCCCACTAAGGCATCTTCAATGCCATCCGCGGAGCGTGATGAGGCGTTCTGCGCGGCGTTTTCCTTCGAGTGCAAGGGGGGTGGGGAGGTCGAATTGGTAGGAATCCAGCGATTTGAAAGAAAGTTACTGTAGGCCAGAAGACTGAAACCCTAGGGATTCAGTCGCACCTTCTCAGATACGGTGATGTGTTCGACACGATTATGTAGGTGCCAAAACGTCGGGTCCAGTCGTACCGAACCTGAGGTTCGGTACAACTGGATCCCTAGAGGGAAACAGATGGCGCAGCGCACCCATGGTTTAGCCCGTGTTTGGGGTGGATGTACTCAGACCACCAGATGGATGGAGCTTGCTTCCGTGTGCGAAGGGATCGCTGGGGAGGAAGCTCCGTGACTCTCAGAGCTGAGCTTTCGGGAGTTTGGAGCTCTCAGAGCTGCGACAAGCCATGGAAGTGGATCGGTTGGGAGACGGACATCTTCCCCAAACAGCCGGGACGTCTCCACTTCCATGGATTGTTTCGGAGAGGGGATGCTTTAGAGTTCAAGGCAGGGTCGATGACGGTCGCACATATCATCACATATCATCAATTGTCCATGCTTCTCCATCGCCCAAGGAAGGAACACTGACTCTGTGGCAGGGTTTTCATCTGTTTTCAGGGGCTTTCTGTCTATGTTATTCTTACCTGTAGGTTTCCTGTAGAACGACTCTACATACGTTGTTTGGTGCATTCTGGGTGACACTTGGTACTTGAGACAAGCTCTTAGCTCGAGCGACGATTCGGCCTCACCTGCACTCAGCCTTCTTCTTGGGCAGTTGGTTGGGTGAAACGGTGAAACCATGTGAAACCCACTCAATCCAATGATCCATTCACCTGACAGGTCCTGAATCCACCCAAAGTCAATTCCACACGCGGCATCCGAGGCATTCAGCCGGAGAACCTGTACAGAAAGGCCTTCTATGCAGGACTTGGGACTCCGCACTTGTTGCGGCGGCGTTAGCCGCGGCGCGGCGTGAGCCGCGCTATCGCGTAGACGCACGGGCGAAGGGGTGGCGATCCCGACCCGTCACCCCTCTGCAGATGTGCTGAAGTCTCAAGATATCTCAAGAATTCTCGAGTGAAGCTCCTAAAAGCGCTGCATTCCCATGTTTGGAAACAATCACCTGAACGGGTCAGCTAGGATCAGATTGACCACGGAATTGTGCCATGAGCACCCAACTTGCTGAAGCCTTCGTCCAGTTGCCGAAGCAAATTATCTTACAAGCATCCATCCATCCATCCATGCATGCATGCATCCATCCATCGTAACATAACATAACAGTGATAAACCGCCCGCCCCTTGCCACTGGCCTTCTTTCAGACAGGCACGGCTTTTCACAGCACAATGACAAGTGACAAGTGGGGTCCCTTTCCTACTTGCCTGAAGGCATGTAAGTCTTTTGTGTTTCGGCACGGGCAACAATCGTTCGCTGCTGAAACCCTTCGGCGCATTTCAAGCAACTGACCTTGGGGCTGTGGGTCCCACTGAAACGCCCATATAACAGATCTATATAAGTCTTCGGCATTGTGCCCCGTGATGAGTAGAATGGGATTTGCTTCCTGTAAATTATGGCATTATAGTGACGTCAAACGATGTCACTTGACATTTTGACCTAAATGTTGAAATAAGGATTGACAAGTTTTTTTTTTGTAAACAATCTGTCATGTAGATTGGGAGGGTGCACAGAGTGTCCTCGTGGGATGGCTGCACAGCAGCTAGACTGTGCAAGAGAGAGAGAGAGAGAGAACAAAGGTATCCATCACGAGTGAAATTGAAGTTGCTTCTTGTTTTGTTTCTGCTAGTGCTTTCTTTGAGAAACGCCAGTGGGTCAAGGCAGCGGTTTTGTCTTAAAAACGATTAACCACGCCCATGTCCCTAGAAACAGATGAGAGGGTTCCATCAGATTATCACAGGATTCTGCCAAAGCTATTGAAAAACCAAACACTTTTTGCAGCTCGATCCCCAGCTAGAAAGGCATAAGTTTTCGAAAGGCAAAATCACAGAAGTTCTGGCAGAGCTATTGAAAAGGCCTTGCATTGTAGCCCAGGCTAGAAAGGTAGAGGTTTCCGAAAGGCAGGTTTTCAACGCTATTCAATAAGCCTTTCAATGCAGCCCCTTGCCGGGCTAGAAAATAAGCTTTCCATATCAATCTAATATAATCTCCTGATTCATGCTTTTTCTTTGCGTTCGATCAGCAACACATGCGACCCATTTTCGATTTGAATATGAAACAAAATTGAATTGGACACTAAAATCAATTTAAGCACTATATTATATACAGATGGGATGCTTCAAGAATCTTCAAGACCAAGATGCGTGGAATGTGTTGAGAAAGAACGCCGGGAGCCCAACCGGGCGTTGCGGCATTCACGGACCTACTGCCATTCGAAGGCCTGGCCAAGACCAGGCCCTTCCAGTCTCGCGCGCCGTCGTCTCCAGCCGCAGAGCCGCGACGTCGCGCGTGAAAGAAGATCTCTCCGAGGAAACTTCCGTATGTGGCCTAAAATCGGTTGCGACAGAGGCCCCATCCCCCACAAAGAAATTTCCTGAAGATAAACACTGTTTCAGGTATGACTGTTTGGGGGCGAGGGTGTTCTGCATCGTGCACATGGTCCGTGAGGACATGACATGACATGACATTTGTTATGTCATATCATTTCGGCGTGTTGGCTTTCAAACAGTTACCTGTTGACCTCTCAGCAGGCAGCAAGGTTTGTCTCGATGTTCAAGATTTGCACTGGTTCAACCGGTTCGCAGATGTTCTAGGACGGTCACTGCAGTGAATTAAGCATCGTATATATTCCTTGGGTCTCAAGCCTCGAGCCCTTTGGAACGTCCTCGGAAGGAGAGGCGAAGCCTTTTTCAGACTTGTGTGGCTGTTTTAGCACAGCGTTCGCGCGTCCGAAGCTGCCAGGAGGTAGGCAAGGGATGGGGAGCGTTTGGAGGAGGACATAGAGTCACACACTCCTTCGCGGCGTTCGATTTCCAGCCAAGAAGGCTGACCCCAAACCGGTTTCTCTGCGGACCCGCGTAACCACTTCCTGGCTGGCACGGAGAGTCGCAATGCCCCAGCAGAATTGCAGGGCGGGTCACTTCGTGAAACTGGCTTCTCGTCGGAGAAAACGGAGTGTGTCATGAAATGCCCGAGGGAGGAACATGGAAGAACGATGGCTCCAAGGTGTCAGGACATGCCGCTGCCAGACGAGTTCGGAGTTTTTTGAGTCCCAAGTTGGTGGCCAGTGAGCCTTCAGATGTACCCAGAGGTTTTCTCAGTAGACCTTTTGTAATCCCTTCTTTCCTCAAAGAAGCTCCCGCGCCATGCTTTTGGTGCCCCCCCAACCGTTTCTTGGACATGACCAAGGGAGTCCCAACCCGCCCGAGTCAGTTGTTTGGGGCCCGCGCGTGGTGCCATTTCTGGCTGAAAAGTCCGAAACCACGTGGTGAGCCAGCAAGATGGTCCTGCAGGCAGGGTGGGCCTTGGGAACTCTGGGCAACTTCTACAATTCGACCATCCAGCTGGTACAGGAAGAGAATATGATAGAACATCCAAAACATGACCGGTCGACCCGTTTCCGATCGATGTGTTCTTGGCTGGATTTCTCATCATATCTCCCAGACACTCCATGTATGGCATATTTACATCACTTACATACATCCAATGACCACCCAAAACAACACCCCTGGCCCGATCGGCATATATATGGCAGTCCCATGGAGTGAGTGTCGTGTCGTGTCTGGGATATCTGACTCCAGGATGTGACCCCAAGCAGCGGATCCGATGTGTCGCGGGGACGGATTCGTGCCTCGTACGAACGACCACTTCCTACGAAGCACGGTGAGGAATCAGACATCGATCAGATGCCAGTGAAGGCCTATCACCCAAGCACCGGACACGACCAGACATGCAGGATGAGTCAGTGGGTGAGTCAGACATGCTTTCACAAGAAGGATTGCTGTTGGGGGCCAGGCATGAGGCGTGCCAGCGCCGCAAGCTTCCTCTTCCATGAAGATGTGCAGGCACCGTGTGCCCGGTTGGGGGGGCGGCGGGTGGGTTTTGGGAGCGCATCGGAGAGTCCCAACGACCTCGCAGAATCGGTTGTTCGTAGACTCCCAGGTGGGGTAGTTGACTCGCAGGTGGGGTAGTTGACTCGCAGGTGGGGTAGTTTCATATTAGTTTCATATGTTTCATTGGAAGTTCTGGGGAAGCTAGAGCCATCAGGAGAGTGGCGTACGGAGAGGAAGGGAGTTTTCAAGAATCGAGTGCCCGGGAGGTGCTCATGAGACCAGTTGTAGCCTTCTCATCGTCCTGGATCGCGGTGTCGGAGCCACCCAGCATTGGCAGAACCAACAAAGCCTGGCTTGGAAAAGGATGAAAAGGACACATGATTGTTTGCTCCAAGTCGATAGTGCAAAACCCATCAGTTGGTTTTGCTGGTGGTTTGTTCCCCCTGGCGCGGTAGAGTCACAAAGACTCGTCCCAGTTGTCCGACGATCCGCCATGAATCCCAGACATCCATGAAACTGCCATAGAACTGCCGATCAGGCCAGGGGTGGTTTTGGGGGTCAACGGGGCGGCAGTCGCAGTCCCATGGATCGTCGTGTCTGGGTTTGATAGAGCGTGGCCCGACACGTCGGCAGGCTCTTCCGGTGACTCCACCCGACACCGAGGGCACGGCTCTTCAGCCCAAGGCGTTGTGGAGCCAGGGTGGGGACGTTTCGAGAAGGCCCTTCAGTGGAGCAGTCATTTCTACCCTAGCGATCCAAGTACCTTCTCAGGAGGTGATTGGAGACACTCTTGTGTAGGTTTTGAGGGTCCAAGTACCTTCTGAGAAGGTACTTGGATCCCTAGGGCTATACATGTATCTGGGTTCCTGCAGGTGACCCGATGCTGGGTAACCCACGGTTCTGTTGGGTGGCTGCAGTGCCAACACAAACAGGAACAGGTGTTACATTGTATAGTCTATACATGTCTATACTTCCCTTGTCTAGTGGGTTTGGATGGTCCCAGAATGTTGAGCCATACATACAAAAGCCCTCTAAGGGGGTGGTTAATGGATACCCGTTAAGTGTCTAAGGGGCCTTAAATAGACACCTCTTAGGCCCTGGAAATAGCTTCCGATTGTTTCTGTTCAGGTGCTGGTTTGGCTGCTCGCCGAGGTCCCGTCCTTGACGCCGCCCCCTCACCAGGTGCGACTCGCTCGTCCTCCTGCAGCGGCCTTCACGGCGGAACAATGGCACTATGGTGCTGGCGCAGAGCACTCGCTTCGAGCCGCGGTGGGTTCCGACCGTTTGGGTGGCCTTCGTTCTGGCAGATCTGGGACGGTTCTTGAGTTGCCCTACAGGAAAGGTTTGTTGTCCCTGCCCGGGAGAGGTTTCTGGTACTCTTTCCCACGAACCTGTTTCCATTTATTTCCATGGTCCATGGTTATATAAGTTATTATATAACATAATTATATATATATATATATAGCAGCATTCCTGAAGAAAAGACAAGTGGGTAGAAATGGACATGCAAAGGCCTAGGCCCGATTGGAAGCAAAGACACGAAGTCTTGTACATGTGGGATGTACAATGCACAAGGGGGTTGGATCCAGTAGCAAATCAGGGTTCACCATGGTTCACCCCCAAATCAGGAGCAAAAAAATCTATGAACAAGGGAGGGGCATGTGGTGTGAAGTTGATCGGCACTTCTTTTTTTTTTACAGTTATTTTTTGCTATTGCGATTTTCCAAGGCCAGCTGCTTCCTGAAAGGTTACAACATCTCCATGCTATATTATATATTATATAGTATTTTCAAGTCACTATCACCAGGATGCTCACAATCACCTGCCACACATCCCGTCAAAAGGTGTCAAAAGAATTGGAATCCCCAACCCTCCCACTCCAAACGGGGCGAGGCTTGGATCCGCACGTGCGATCCTCTGAGGATTGGAGGAGTCATCGATGGACTTGACCAGCCTGAAATCCCTGGGCACAGTGGCGCTCACCGGCGGGGCCGCGTCTGCTGCCAACGTGCTCTTCGGGGTCTCGGTCATCGGGCTCTTGGTCTTTCAAGTGGCACGTGCCACGCCGCCTGGCAACCGGAATTGACCTACCGGACCTACCCAGGAAAAGTGGAGAACCTGCCAGAACCCCCAGTCGGGGTGGTTAATGGACACCCCTTAGCAGCTAAGGGGCTATTATAAATAGACACCCCGACAGGAGGGTCCTGGTGGAATATAACCCTCTCGGATCCTTTTGGGGGATTGAGTTTCCCCACGAAAAGGCCGCAAGAAACACAGCGGTGTTGGCCAGAGGGGCCTCGTCAAAAACTCCATTCGACCCCCTACATGCCCCCACTCGTTTTCCAAACCTAAGTTGGCGGTTTCCATGTTTGTTGAACAGGGAGCCCCAGTAGGAGTGTACTTGGCCACTTGGCTGTCCTGCTGTCCATGTGTTGACCTTCAACAAGCCCTTGAGCCTCAGGGTGGGGAGATACATTCCCCAGAAGCAGCCTGAGCTGGTGCCATCGCCGCTGCTGTGCAGAGAGGAGGAAGAAGCAGAGGAGGAGGAGGCCATTCTGCAACCTGAGCGATTTCTGGGAGATGCAACAGGCCTCCAGGAGTGGGGACCTTCATGGACCGTCCTCGAAACAAAGAACCTCAGAATCCGCTGCCCGTTGTCCGACAGAATTTCTAGAAAGAGGAGGTGCCAATCAACAAACATTTGAGTTCATCATGGAGGATGTATTCTCACAAAGCCTTGTCCAAATGACTTTTCAGGCCGCAGGATCACCGACAGGATCAGCGAAAGGAAAAGAAGAGGATCAGGCCCTGTCGACATAAGCTTTTGGAGTATGAATAGCAAATCCAGCTAGAGTCAGATTCGGAGGCAGCTGTGGGCGGCTCTGGGTTCTCCAAACTTCTTTCCTTTCAAACAAGGGAGCAAGCTACAAGGGTTGCCTGGTTTTTAGTAATATGGAGATATCGCGATGTTAAGCCATGTTTTGGGGTTTCCGCGCTGGCTCATCGCATCAGAACCTGACCTGGCACTTGGCCCAAACACGTGGAGAGGGGGAGACAGACGCACTGCCTGAAATAAAGCATGGAAGTGGACAGATGCACCCTTGGAAGACAGGTCTCCTTTGCAAACAGGTTGTCTTCCGCTTCCATGATTCATTCGGGGAGGGAGGGGTAGGGAGGGATGGTATATATATGAGTATGAGTATATATATATGAGTTCAACTGAGGGTGCCTCCTGTCGTGGGTGGTGCAGTTCTTCCATCCGTTTCTCCCGAAAAAGACTCCGGAGCAATCGATTTCGGCTCTGGTTCCAGGGGTATCAGGTCAGGTGTTGGCTTCGGCTTACAGTGGATTGAGAGGTGAGAAATGGCACTGGCACCCCAGTCGAGGTCTTTGATATAGGGGTCCATATAAACCACCGAACTTGGGAATTGCGCCATCTACTCTCAATCCACTATAAAAAGGTGACCCTTCGAAATGCTCGAAGAAAGTCCCTCCTCCTGCCAGTTCTGCTACGCGACGACTCGCTTGGTGAAACACTTGGCAAGCCTGCTCCATGTTCCACCTGACTGTCAGGCCTAAATCCGCCAGTGAGGCGAGTGAGACTTTGTAGAGAGCCCTCCCGCAGACGGACATGGGTAGTCTGGCTGGTAGTCCCTTTGTTATATTTTTCAGTGAGGGATCTGGCATCAACCAAACGGTTTGACTCGACACTCCATGTGGTAGCTAGTTCCCATTTTTTTCAACTTCAAGGGGTTGTACTGAAATAAGGCACGGCATCGCGGTCAGTCCGGTGCCCATTTTGGGCATTTGGAGGGACCTTCGCAAGGGTCCGGCAGTGTTGCCGCCATGTGAGACTGCTCCATGTTTGAGACTTTTCGAGTTGCTCTGGCAGTGCACCTCCAGTTGTTGGCACATCAAGCCCGACGAAAAACCCGCGAAACCAGTTCTTGGAGAACTGCCTTGGATCGGAATTTTCACGGTGTTCCACAACTGCAGTCACGTGCCGCACAACAAACTTAGATTACCCTTTGATGTAACCCTAGGGATCCACATACCGAACCTCAGGAGGTACGACTGGGCCCTCCAAGCCTACATAAATAGTCTCCAATCACCTTCTGAGAAGGTACGACTGGATCCCTAGGGTAAGACATGGTAAGACTGTAAGACGATAGTTGACGCATGTTGACGTGTTATAGACACTCGGAGCATCCACGTATATTCTTTGATGGTATCGCGCTCATGTTCGCTGCGGGCGGTCGGTTTCTTCGTCGTTTCACGCGGGGAAAAATGCTGGCCACGGGAAGCTGACGGTGTGGAAGATGGACGAATGATTGCAGAAGTAGGCTTTCACCAGTTTGCCAGCAACATTACGTTCAACAGTTGGCTAACCGGAGGTTGCTTGTTTGGGTCTACAGGCGGTCTGCACCACGAGCCAGACTATGACTGCCTTGCCCGTTGGTCTGGTGTCGGTTTGGAGAGCCCGAAGCTTTGGTGGGGATGATTTTGGCTCAGTTTCAATCATGATTGACACACTCCAGTTCAAGAACCTCGTTTGGCCATACCTCATGAAAACATTTGAACGGAAGTGGACTCCACTTCACACCGGTTCACCACCACGGCGTACCTCTACCAACTCTTGGCCCCGAAGGCGGCGCAGCGACGGCTCAGCCGCTCAGGTGTCCAGCGCGAGCGAGTTGTCCCACTTGGCTTGCAGGACGGTGGCGGGGCGTCCAGACCAACCGAGCGGGACGGTGGGGGGGCGGACGGTGGGGGGGTCAGGGGCGGACTCAGGACGCATGTGGTTTGTGTTGGGGACGCAGGGGGGTCCGCAGGGTCAAGGAGTCAAAGCAATCAAGCTTGTACAGAGAGACACTCCGTGGTATTCCGTCACGTGTAATGGCCCTGATGACAGGTGCCATGGAATCCATGATTCCAAGGAGTGTCACTCTTGATCCAGTGCAGTTTATTCCTCACCACGGACGAGGCCTTTTGGTCGAACACCCAACACCATCGCCCCATAGCCCAGTTGGAGTCATGGTCGAAGGTGGTCACGCCGATGCTTTTTGGCTCCCAGCTGCGACCGGGTTCGACCGGGGCTTGGCGACCGGACGTGGCTCGATCTGCACCGGTCTTGTGATGTCGGGGTCGAACCTGCCGTCTGCCAGTCTGCCTGAAGAGGCAGCTTAGAAGTAGCACTCTTTTGGGCTAGAAGGGAAACAACGAGTTGGGAGAGTTCGCCCAGGTTTGGCCATCTGGCTCGGCGAGATATATAAGACATGACGCGGGTTCCTTGGGGGGCATTCTTGCACGTTTAGGGTATAAACTGCTGCAGCTTCAGATTCTGTCACCTAGAAAGGCTGCCAAGCGGGTGGTACTTGCTTGGGTGCTCGGGTTACCGGTTTTTGTGGGTTTCACAAGTCAATAAGTGTTTCCAGATCTGGAATTAGCACGTTGGTGTGCGAATGATGGTTCTCACAGTGAATCTATACGGTCGTTTTTTAGTTGCTGCTGCTGATTCCTGCGCAAGCTGGTGCATGCATGAGCAGTGTAGCTGGTGACAGATGGATTTGGTGGCTTGAGATGGTTTTGGGGTTTTGGCCCACCAAATTCATTCTTGCGCTGGTTGTAGATGATTTTTGGAGGCAAGGTTTCCGTCAAAGCCCAAATATCCCCGCGCTGAAGAGCTGCACCTCAACACTCAACTCCTGGATTGGATCCATGAGTGCTGTGGGGGGCCTGGGAGCTCTGCAAATAGTAGAGTCGAGGTGGGAAGCGAGTTGACTGCAACCTGTTTAGATTTCTCTGCATAACCATGCATAACTGAGAAGCTTTTGAGGTCAGGGTGGCAATAGCCTATATTACTATCTATATCAATCGATATTTTGCCTTTCTCAAGCAAAGCTGGAACGGTGGGACAATCCCGAACAGCCGTGGGACATCGTCATACTTTTGCAACCACGCCACTGCTCCAGATGTTCAGGAGCTGCCCGCTGCCAACCTTCAGCAGTGGAAAGCATCAACCCATTCGCTTGATAAGAAGCGCCACATCTCTTAGCCAGACTTTTCTTCGTTCTCCCCCAGCATGAGCTCAGCAGCTAACAGCACCTATGACAATAATCAACTAAATATGCGCTTTGTTCTTGATATAGGGGGTTAAGCCGTTGGGAGAGGCTTAAGCAAGCCAGTAATGGGTATATAAGTAGTTGGAGCTCTTTTTGTGCAGCCTCACGCGCGGCCGTGCACAGGTTAAGCTGCTGTGAGCGCGACAAAGAACCATGGCCTTGCGGGCCTTGGGCCAATCATGCCAATCGGCCACTCGGTGACTACTTCGCCTGCGGGGTGATGAGGTTGATGTCTTTGGGAAGTCGGATTTCGTGCAAACTGCTGGATCCATACAGTTTGATTGGAACCACTGAAAAAGCGCGACATCTTTTCTGTTTGGACTCGCAGTGTGCGCTGAGAATCATTTACGCCCTGGAAGATGAATATGGAACCTGGAAACCACACAAAACCACTATCACGCTTTGTTTTGACTTGTGTCATTTGTCTCCTTTTTTCCTGATCGGCTTCAGGTCGTGCGACCGACCAGCTGCGACGAAGCCGAAGCTTCCCATGTGAGAATGACCGCCATGTGGTTAACTGCTGACTTGTAGACTCGTAGACCCTGCACCAACATGTGAGCTGGTGCTGAACCCTTCATTTTCGATCCTTTCTTTTTTGTCCGTTAAGACATCCCGTGCACTCAGGAGTTTCAACAAATCACCACCTAAAGGGGATCCAAAGGGTAGAGCTTCCCCTTCAGCCTCCCACTTCCCCGGTGCAGCAGTCCTCCCCGGTGCTGCTCCCGCACCTCCCCGGTGCTGCTCCCGCACTGCGGGCCGCTGGCCGCTCAGGTCTCAGTGGTGCCGTCCATTCTCCGCACCGGGCGCTCGGCGGCCGCGCCCTGGGTGGCGCGGGAGGCCAACGGCAGCGGCGCGCTGGGGGAGCTCGACAGGAGCGGGGCGCCTGGACGGAGCACGTTTGGGCGGCTCGGTGGCGGCCAAAGGAGGGAGTGTAGCAAAAGGACTTGTAGACTGATTGGGGCCAGCAGAAGGGTAGAGGTGCTGATGACTTACATGTATACATAGTCAAGCAGTCAAAGAGCATGAGCATAGGGTACAACGTGGTACTACTAGCTTATTGCTACGTGGCCAATCATTTGCAGGCCTTTTGAGTTTGAACTGGAGGTATTGGACCGCACCCAGTATAGCTTCGTTGTTTGGGTTTACCTGAGGTTACAATGGGCATCGAAACCAATCTGTGCAGTGGTGTGGAGACGGTGTTGGGGCCCGGTGTGGGGTTAGTCAACGGAGTTCGACTCAGTGTCAGACCTCAGACACCGAATCAACGAACGATCTCCTCGAACCAAAAGAGGTCGTTCCCGCGGTCCTTTCGCGGGCACCCCACGGTCAACCCCAACGGTCAACCCAACCGGTGACGTTTCCAGCTCCAGGCGGTGCTGTTTTGGTCTTCCGCGCCAATGTCGGACCCTCACCATCCCATTTTTAGGGCGCCGCTGTTTTGGTCGGACCCAGCTCGGGGAAGCCTGGTGAGGCATCGCCCAATGAATGCACCAAACCGGACGGCCCTTAACCTCTATAGAGCTAGGGGCTTTCATTAGTCACCCTAGACCTCTAGGGCCGTGGTATGAATATACATGCATCTCATCAATTTTGCTGCAGGATGTCCATGTCAAACGGTGATCGCCATGTTCATCCACCCGCAGGACTCGCCTCCACTGGGGCTCCTCGCCAAGCTGTTCAGCCCTGCGCCTCCTGGACGGCACGATGGGCCTCCTGCCGGGTGGGTCGTTGGCCCTCCAAACGGTCCGAACGGTCCATACCTCTACCAGCTGCTTCCAGCTGGGTCACTTTTTTTCTGGAACACTACCTATATAGGTCCCCAGTGGACACCCAGTGGACGCGCTGTAGGCTGTAGGTATCATGGTTTGACTGGCAGCGTGTTGGGGGTCTACGTATCACAGTAGCCTGTTGTCACGGCATCTAGTCTTCAGCTCTTCTTGGTGCAGTATCCCTGCCATTGGGGAAAGGTCTTTTTGGCGATGCTCCTGCATGCCTTCTGCATCACTAGGCCAGTTAGCTTCGCAATGCAATTGGTCATCGCCCTTCGCCATCACCGCGCGTTTTCGAGGTTCCTATCCCGGACTCCAGCTCCTTCCGAATCAGGCGACCGAGCTAGTGGAGGAGAGTGTCGAGGAGATAGGGCGACCGAAACAGGGTTCGGGCTGCGCATGTCAGCGGTCAGGACGGTCCTGCCGGAGAACGCGAGCGAAGCCTTGCGGGCGGGGAGCATTTCGGTACATTTGGTGAAGGGAACTGGCATTGTTTGACCCCAAGCGGCCAGCGCCACCATGACGTTCTAAAGGAGGTGCGACCCAACAGCACCCCAAAGTTGTGACTCTTGATGCACGAAAACATCCAAACAAACACATCAAGAACCTTGCTTGCGGAAACCGCGGAACGCTCGCGGATCCAACGCATAGTACACACACATGTTGGGCTGTGTGAACGCACACAGAACGCACTGACACATCGTTCCGGGCGATTTTTTTAGAACTCTCGGGTGCATGCAATGCGGATGGGTTTTGGATCTCCATAGTCATAGGTTGAGTTAAGTAACAAACGCCCTTTGCTATGATGGTGCGCCACTTTGGTTTGCGCTCATTTTGCTGATGTTGCAGGCTTGGACTTGGGGTCCGGTGTCACCTATACCCTATATCCTTTCAATATACTCAACCTTGCACCCAGGTTCCGAGCGTTGTGAGTCCAGTTGAACGAGCATCATTTTGCACCCAGGATCTCCAAAAACGCTCAAATCCCTTCCCAAATCCTAAAAGCACTTATTTCAAACACATAGTCAAATAGGGCACTACCAGAAGTCCTTGAGTGCTACACACACTGCCTTTCACCGCCACAGACGAAGCGTCAAAGGTTTGCTGAGTGACCCTAGGGATCCAAGATGATCCAAGTACCTTCTCAGGAGGTGATTGGAGACACTGACATGTAGCTTTGGAGGGTCCAAGTTCCTTCTGAGGTTCGGTACGACTGGATCCCTAGGGTGAGTGACCATCCCTTTTAAGACAGGCCATTTGCATCAAACTGTTTCGCATCACATCTCGCGCTCTGGCAGGAGAGATCAGAGTCTGCATACCTGGACGAGCCGGCAGAAGCACAGGAGTCACGGGAGAGGAATGTTTTGGTTGCTTACAAAGACCAGTGCCCCAAGCAGAGTCCAGTGCCCCAAGCAGAGTCCAGTGCCCCAAGCAGAGTCCAGTGCCCTGAGCCGACCATCCTCGTCCCCGAAAGAACTGTGATCGTCCAGCAGGAGCTGTCGGAAGAGTCGCCAGGCCCGGCTGCTTCGGTGAAGACTCTCGGTGCGTCGGTCTACTGATTTGGCGGGGCAAACTTCGGGGGGCATGAGGTCGTTTGCGCGTTGCATGGATCGTTTTCAAGGGCAAGCAAGAATCATTTACCACATGGATCATATACCACATTGGAAGCAGTTGCAGATGGTTGAGATCACCCCATTGCATGAAGAGTTAGCGAATGTTAGCGACTAATCTAGCCGAATCTAGCCGGCTTTCTGTGGGTGGAAGACGTTGGGGAGGATGTGGGGGAGACGGGGTGATGCCATGCTACTAGGAGCAAGGACGCCACTAAGTAGGCTCTTCACCAGGTCTTATACTTTGGGGAAACTAGACCGGACACGAGGAGCGAACAAGCTCTTTCTTTCGCACCCCGCCCCGAGCGTGTGGCACGCACGAGGCGAACCGGGTGATGTAAGCGCATGTAAGGCATTGGTCAATCCGAACTCTGGGCAGTGGCACTGCTCCCCAACCACGAATGAGTTCAAGATGCTAGGGTGAGCTAGGTATGACGAAGGCCTTCTTCTCCACGACCAGATGATCCGAAACTCAATTTCCTGTACTTTGGCGGTGCCACATAGTTGACTTCCAAATATACTTCCAAGGAAGCCCATTCATACCGTTCATACGAATTCTTGGCCGCGCAGACGTCGCTTGCACCGAGACGGCGATCGTCGTCGAGGCGCAGCTGAAAGCCCCGTCACGGTGGTGGAGCAGTCGTCGCCCAGGTGCCATGGACCAGATGAGACCCGTCAAATTGTGTTTTGGAGTTCCTGTTTGGCGGGGGAGGGCAGCCAGCAGGTTGGAGTCCTGAAGGCAGTCGCGTGATCCATTTGTATACCCAGGTTGGAATCTAGGCACCGCTACATGTCAGTGGGCTAAAAAGTATCACAAGGGAAGCGGTCGATGCTAGTAAGAAGTTGCGAAAGTAATCTCCATCCATTTGCGCCTCATGTCCATAGGGTGTCAAGACATCTGGTGGCCGCAGCCCAACAACTAGACACGAGCGTGGGATTGATGAAGATGTGCCGGGCGTTGTTCATTAATTGTCCATTTGAACCCCTCGTGAAAGGCTTTTGTTTTGCCTTGCTTGGTCGGGATTGCGGATCTCCTTCATACACTTGCCCCTGGGCACATGTTTTATTGGCTGCATGACCCGTGTGCTTGACCATATTTGCAGGCAGTCCACAAGTGGGCTCTGGCATTGAAGAGGTACATCATGGTAATGGCATTCCTATTGGGTCTTTGGTTCCGGGAAGTGCTGGGAAGAGTTGCAGCTAAATCAAACCAACGAGCCATCTGATTTGGAACGAGCCACGCAGCACCCCAGGTCATCCAATGCGGCAAATGCGCCGGTGGCTGCAGCCCGGAGCTCGGGGCGTCAGGGAGCTGTGCCACGAGGGTTGGTAAGAATTGCCAGTCACGTGGGGCATGACCGCTGGAGGATGAGCAGAAGACTATCACGTGTGCATCCCCCTTCCAACTTTGCAAGAGTATACAAGTAGGTTGACCTTTTGAGAGGCGCCACATGTTTCAGTACCTTCCAATCATCAGTAAGACGGAGTCATCAGCAACCCTTCCAGTATACTCAGTAGACGGATGGAGTCATAGTCATACGTGCTTCTGGCCCACTTTTGGCCTGATATTGGTCGGGCCTTTGGTTTTGACATGTTTTGACTCCTGCTTCGTTAACGTCCGTCTCCTTTCCTAAACACCGACTTTGACTTTTGTTGATGCATGCTGACATGTGAGTCATAGTCTATGAAGCATGAGGAAGTGGTGTATTCAATGTGTCGTATAGCGTTGCCATTGTGGAAGCATCGTCCCCTCACCCGGACCGACCCCACCACCCTCCTCTCCCGGACCGACCCGCGACCCCGCGCAGGCATACCTGGTGATGCGCGATTACGAGCGGCGCTTGCGAAGCCTGGAGCACCAGTGTCGGGGAAGCCAGATCGACTCGGACTGGCATGTCCCTGGAGGGCGATGGGATGCGGACTGCCCGTCCCATGTTCTTCTGGACATCTCAGGATGGATGGGCAACCTGAACTCTTTCAACTGGGCAAGGTGAAAGATATCACACAAACAGAACCTATTTAGGGATTACAACTATATAGTACAATATACTATAGTTTATTTCATAACTCCCCCGAAGCAACATCATCAGAGCTATCGAAAATGAAGTGAACGCAGTGGGACGTGCTTTTTGATTTTCAGTTTGAACAGCCTTCGCCCTGTGTCATTGCTGCCGATCAACCCAGGCTTGAATAGTGACAACCACAGTTTGTGAGATCAACTTGCATGGAACCCCACAGCGGGTGTTCACTCGGCCTTCCCCCGTCCTGAGCATGTTTACACCTGCGCCGATGGAAGGTTCCACAGCTGAACTGAACGAAACATCTGAGGTCAATGAGGTGCCAAACCCTTGGCACTGGTCAATGCTGGAAGGAATTTTCAACATGCAATGTATTGGGTGGCCTGATTACCAGGGAAGAGCTATAGGAATCCAGCAAAGGTTGACCCCAAATGCCAGCATGTAACATTATGTATAGTACAGTTAGCAAAGCAGAACCACTGGTTGTGGATGCCCCTGGCAGCTCGCCCGACAGGCCGCGAGCTTAGCGCTCAGAACGCTCACCTGGCCGCTGTCACTTGGCGGGAGAGACGGTAAAAATGCCACGTGGGCGGTGGACGGTTTCGGATCTTTGGTCGTGACTGCCCAGACCTGCCCAGACCTTCATCAGTTCTGTGTGAGCATGGGGTTACCGCAAGGCTGGCAGCGCTCCCAGTTTACATTGGCATACCCAATACGTAGTTGAATGACAAATGTGCCATCCAAGGGACCCTGAGATTGATCGTCCCAAGTGTTCGTTGCACAAGTGTTCGTTGGCCTGGAGGGATCTCAATGGATTATCAACGCGGTGGAGTTCGATCTTTTTCGTGAGCAGCTTGACTAGAGAAGGCTGACCAACTCTAAGAGTTCACCGTAGTTGTAATTAGGCTGAAATACCGAGCCCAGAGCGAGCCCCTATGGATCCACATACCTTCTTATTTGGGCCCTCCAAGCCTACTTATATAAATATAAATAGTCTTCAATCACCGTCTCAGAAGGTATGTGGATTCATAGCGAGTAGTAAAAGAGAGATATATGATATAGAGTCATAGTTCCTGATTGCATCTGATTGCTACGTCTCTTCGGTCTGCAGCAGGCAGTCACAGCACCAACCACAGATTGGAACCACAGATTGGAACATAATTGCCAACATCAACACACGCTGGCGCGGGGTGACTGGCGACTGTGCCCCTTTTGGTGCCAATATGATGTTTGTTGATGATTAGTTATTTGTAGTACTTGTCCTAACGGGGGGAGGTGCTGCGGAGCCACGCCCAGTCAACATAGCCCAGGAACTAACGACGAGCCGGTCAAATCAGAAGAAAGGCGAGATCCTTGGAACAAAACCAGCGCCCTCAAAAAAAACGGGGTTCTTAGGTCCCAAGAGGCCTCAATGAGTCTGTTTGAAATTCAGTTTGGTTGTGCTGCTGATGGAGATGCTGGATTCTTTCCATCAACAGAAGGGCTTGTGCAATCTACAGTGAGTCAAAAACAGCCTTTCATGCCTTTCTATGGTGAATATACCTCCACATTGCCTATAGCTAGAGAATGTGGTAAATCAGAGTATCCCGATCTCAAGTTGGCATCTCTCAAACCAAGAAGACCCCCAAGCGCCCGTTGGCTGTATCAGGAAGAAAACCACGCGTAAAGCCAGTGGCATATAGACTATAGACATAGGAAGTATATATATATATATAAAAACAAGACCATTTGTTCAGGAAACACTCAACTTGAAGGATTCATGATGACAATCATAGCATCTGTGAGTCTCTCATGATGGACCAGCTGGCAAGTCCCCTTGCAGTCTCTTGGAGGAAGAGCATGCATATCCCACAAACACCACATAGCATATTCACCAACAGTTGAGGGGTGTTTTTCAGGGGTCCATGATACGCACACACACACACACGTTGTAGTACACGTTGTGTATTCCATCATGGAGTGTTTTATGGATCATGCACGTTCGAAGCATCCGATGGTCAAAGCAGGGCCTCTCCACCATCGAAGCCCCCAAACATGCAACCAACACCACCAGGCCGAGAGCTGAACCTCCGCTTGGGCCGTGAGGCAGGGCACCCGGATGAGGTTAAGCCTGGATGTGGATGTGAGCATGGGCCCTTACCTCCAAAGACCCCCTGGTAAAAACAGGCTAGTAGCGACGGCCTCCAGCCTAATAGCGATGGCCTCCAACCTACAAGCAATGGCCTCCAAGCTAGCATGAATTGGTTTGGGGTCTCCATTGTACTGCACACCCAGGTGTTGTCGACGCCCTCTCTCAAGGTGGCCAAGCCATCGTCGGACTGTCTTTGTTTGGAATTTGCTTGGCGCATTCGTGGTGTCCCTTATGGCATCCTTGGATTGATCATGTTGATGTGACTTCACTGGTCACACCCTATTTTAGGACGTGTAACAGAGCCGCCACACCCCCCCGCCACCCCTCCAACCTGCTTCGACGCGCCATCGGTCCGATGCGAGGTGCAAGATCTCCGCAGAGAACGCGCCGAGGCCACCGAGCGCATTGAGCACCTGGAGAAGGACCGGTGGGGGAGCGCCCAGCGGCACGGGGAGTCAGACCGGTCGTCGGTCCGGTCGGAAGGAGGCATGGAGGCATGGAGATCCGGTGGCTGGAACTCATGGGTTCGGGGACCCATGAGTTCCCATAAATTCCCAGGTTCCGAAGACCAAACATGAGTCCCATGGGCACCTCCCAACTCTCCAAGGGACTCTCCATGGTCACCCAGTGGCCGATCCGTGGCTTCCAGGAGCTGGAGAAACGCTCCGACCTGCCGGTCCCGGCCTCTCGGTTAGAAGTCGGTAGTGAAGTCGGTGACAGGTTCGATGGCGCATCCGAAGAGGTCCTTTTTGGCCTGGGGATTCCATCTAAATCCACCGAACTTGGGGGGCCTTGTGGCCATCTAAGTCTGAAAACACTCTTAGAAGTCTCGGAGAGGCGTTTCGGAGGTGGACTGGTTGTACAATCGTGGTCGAGGATGGCTGCGGTGACACCACCCCTGCAGGCCCTCTTAAAAAAGACATCGGTGGGCAGGCGTGCGGTGGGCAGGTCGTTCACACCTGGGTCCCCGTTGCTCGTCCCGACCGAGTTTTTGCACCACCGAGCCCAGCGAGGTGATGTCCGCCGATGCCTCCGTCTCGGTGGAGCCTTGGGAGCTCCAGCCGAGCTGGATCGAGCCGCCATGGCAGCAGAGGGTCTTCTGGTCCGTCCGGGTGACGAGGAGGAAGGGCGAGGACATGGGGCGATGGGTATGGCAGTGGCGACCTGAAAAAAACCTTGGTGAGGAGTGCAGCGGACTTTGGGGTTGCTACGGTGGCAGAGATGCCAACGACCTACCTAGTATTCTTCCCCAGGCGGGGCGGTGCTGCGTGTCGCAGAGCGCGTCCCCTTGTCAAAATCGGTCAATTTGCAGAGAGAGATTGGTCGAACTGGTCGATCTCAAAGGGACCCATTTGGGTAGCATTGAAGAATTGGCCCTGCAAAGCTACAGCTGCTTGACATTAGGTATGCACATGTTTGCACTTTTGGAAGCGGCATTGTCATTTGTGTTTCTTTTTTCATTAACGGTCTACCCTTCGTTTTTCTAGCCCTGGGACCCTTCGACTTTCAACAGTGGGTCCGTTGCCACCCAGCCCCACAGATCTGAGGCTTCCTCCAGGCTTGCGACCGGTTGGTGCCGAGGCCGGCCGTGGTGGCCCGCACGCTTTGGACCTTGCTCTCTGCCGGGGGCACTGTGTTGTCTCATGTTGTCTCATGATCTCAAGTCCCTTCAAATCCTTTGTGTACAGCCCGTGCTTGAAACAAGATCTAGCAAGGGGGAGCTTGCAAGATGAGGAAGAACACTATATCAGGGCTTGTTTATCAGGTTAGTTCCTGGTCTGAGCCCAGGAATGCAGAGTTCTGGCGCTGCCATCGCAGAAAACTACTTATATAGAGTTTCTTGGGATTTTCTTGGGAATGGACATGTATGAAACTCACATCTGTTATTATAAGAATTTCTTCTGAATTCTATCACACTCGCACACCCAAAGTCCGACATCCAGTGGCGCCAAACTTTTTTAATCAGCGATACAGCGATACTGCATGATACAGCACCTTGCCACTCTTCATCTCTTTGCTTTGGTTTTGCTGTACTGTGCATATTTTTACACCAAAGAAGCCTGAGAGCAAATGCTCCCAACTCGACGAAAACAGGAGGCACACTCGGACCACTCGGAGGAGTTGCCGGTGTTGCTGTGGGGCTGTGAGCAGACGCAGACCTACAGCCCTGGTTTGTTGCTGGCGCATCGGGTGCCTGGGCCAGAAAGGGCCAGCGAAGCTTGGGAGGGATCACGGGTCGGGTGAAGATGGTGAAGGGTGTGAGACAGGCCGCGCGAGACCAACGGGTGAAAGGAGAACTCTTTAGTTGGACCTTTTTTCAGTTGGTCCTCCAAACGTGGTCCTTTTCAAGGGGTTCCAGATGCTGTTCCTGGGAAGGCAAGGTGTAAAGATGCTAGTTTGTTTTCTTCTCAGATTCGGTGGACGCTCGCCTGTCAAGCTTTGAAGTCTAGGCTGCCTGGGAACAGGAACAACACATGGGAGCCGCTTATAGATGCTAGTGACTGCATGACCTCCACCGTTCATCCATAGGCTCTTGTGACCTATGGCTGCGTGAGAAGACATTAGATGCTAGTGACCATGCAATGAATTCATGTTCAGCGCGGCAATGACATCATGCGCTCGAGGGCGACACTGGGGTGAACACGACACACCCCACCTCGTGGTCATACCCAACAGGTCATCCACTGTGCAAGTGGGATCGCTCCAGGTGAGTCAAGCAGACTCTAATGCAGCTAAGTTGATCTAAGTTGCATCTTAGCATATTATAATATGGGCCGGATCTCGCATGTTTTCTTCGTGAAGTCGGTCAATTTGCCCCAAATATACCCTACACTTAGAGGCTCATAAAATGAGAATCCATCTGTAGATTGAAGAATGTTGAAAAGCCAAGATATGATCATGAAAGATAAGAAACACTTGATCCACCATTTTCATTCATAAGTAAGAACATGATCAAACCCCAAATCATCCGGGGCACTGCCTTCAGTCTCGTCCCTGCCGTCCCCTCCACAGCGGCTTCTCCTGTTTCATTGCTATGTGGCGGCCGCGCAGCCTGCGACGGGCGGATTCCGGGTACAAAGCCACCGTGGCGTCGGAGCGCGCGCAGCGCGGGCGCCTCTGCACCCATCAAGCCATCGCCTTGCATCAAGCGGTGGAACCTGCCAGGTGCGGTCCTTCGGCCGCGGGGGACGGCGCCGTCGGGCGAACCGCAAAGCCCGGAGCGCCCGTGGGGACGTAGGTCGGGTCCTTCGGCGGAACGATATGTTTGGAACGGCCACGAGGAGAACGAAGCCAAGGGTGCTGAGGGGTTCTGACTCCTCACTCACCTCAAGCTGGAACCGGAACAGGGCGACATCAGTTTGGGGGTTGCCAGTGATCGCCGGGTGGTGCATCATGGTCAGCCCTGGAGGGCTCCAGTCTTATCTCCGGAGAAGGTCTGGACCCCCTAACCCCACCCCAAACACCTTCTCAGAGGTGGTTGGAGCCCTAGGGAGCATTGTATCGACATGCGGCATGCATTGGGAAACCTAAGACGTGTGAAGTTGTGCACTGACTGCCGGAGTGGTAGATTCAGCCGGAATCAACGATAGATGTGGTCCTCTCAAAAGTTCTTTCCTGGCGCCAGTGTTTTGCAGTGTTGTTTTGAAAAATTGTTGTTTAGTTGGTCTATCCGATCCCCAGGGGGGTCGAATTATGTTGTTCGAACTCTTTGAATCGTTTTTTGCGCAGCTCCCACTCCTCAGGTGGTGTGTGACCTTCGCTGATTTGGAGTTCTTCCAGGCGGAGGTCCATCGACGATGGCCTACGGAGCCTTCCCAAATGGCCGGGCCCAACATCTATGAAGTGAACGAGCAGTACATCAAGCCTGTCACCGCGGCCGCGGGCAAGATGAGCTGGGCCTTAATGATGAACCCTGCCGGCCTGGACTGTGATTTGTTTATCACTCATGCCTGGCGGGAAGAGGTCTTTGAACTTACTCAGAAAGTCCTGGCCTCTTGGCCTTTTCGTGCCAATTCGGCTTGGTGTTGCATGCTTGCTAATCCTCAGAATTTGGATATTGGCCTTTTGCTTCAGTCTCCGTCCTCATCTCCGTTTGCCTTGGCCCTCACGAGTTGCAAGCACATGCTGGTGGTACCCAATCGCCACAGCAGTGTCTATACGCGGCTTTGGTGTGGATATGAGGCCTACTTGGCGTTTCAGAGCAACAAGATTATTCGTACTGCTGCACCGCCCATTTGGCGGGCAGTGTTGTTCTCATGGCTCAGGATGTGTCCAGCACTTCTCATCGGTATCCGGGTTTTGTGGATCAGGTGTTTATGCTTTACAATTCGCAGACAAGACCCATGGGACTGCCATAGGACTGCCGCCCCATTGACCCCCAAAACCACCCCAACTGATCGGCATATATGGCAGTCCCATGGAGTGTCTGGGGATTTCCCTGCGGATAAATTCCCTTCTGGAAAAGACATTTGTATTTTCCCGGTTCCGTAAACGAATCCAAGGTATTGTCCTGGGCATCACTGCCTATGATGTGCAATTTGAGAGCAGCCACACGTGGTTGGTGATCGCGCGACTCCTAGCACTCTTGGCCAGCATCTTGAGCCAAAACAGTGGCCAGATGATGATGTGCTTGATTGCGAATCACATCGGTCTTGCAAGTGGTGTTGCCACGGTCATTCATTGTCAAGCTCCCTCCGGCTTCACGGCGCTCCTTCCCATGAGCAAGTGGTGGGTGGTCGCCACCTATCGGTATTCAGAGGCTTGTATGGTGGGACACCCGGCAGCATCGAGCGGAGTATCTCTACTAGTGGGCTCCGGCATGGCGAGGTCGCCGAACCGGGAAGGTCAAAAGGATTCAAAAGGTCTATATCTTGAAGGGTCATGGACCCAAACCATTGCATCAAATCTCTAGATATTTGAGGCTCCTAAAGCCCAGCTATGCTGGTCAAACCCTTTATGTAAGAGGTTGGCATTGTAAATTCGCCTGTCGGAGATGTTCCCGAGGATACTTCTTGCTTGCTGAAGTTGACCGAGTGAATTGGCAGACCGAAAAGCACGAAGCAGAAGAGCTAGAGCAGTCCTATCAAGGATCCATTCGTGACGCGTCATGCTTGGAAAGCCAAGATGAGCGGAATATTTGGAATGAAATTGGTACTTTGGCTGATGAAGTCGACAAGGTCATTCGGGTCTTGATGAAGGCCGGTATGACGTCGGACGCACTTCGAGACGCATATCTGAAGGGAGCTGAGCTTCGACATGCTGGGTCGACTCAGTTGGCAATCCCCATAGTAGTGCTTCCTGGCTTTTGATGTTCGCCTGATTTGTGACATTTTGTGACTTCCTTCTGGGGGGGTTCTAAATGTTAGCTACAGGCCGGATGAAACTCTTTGTTTCCAGGTTTCTCAAGCAAGATCTAAGGCTTGGTCCTCAGTTGCTGCTAAGTGTTTATCACCTTGTCTGGGAGCTGGCGATCGTGTTCGGACCAGAGACTGTTCCAGATGAAGCTCGGCTCGTCCTTTGGTCGGTGCCTCCACTCGCGGTGGCATCCATAGCTGCGAGACTAAGCTTCTTAAGGCTTTTGCTCAAACGCTCCATTGATGAAAGATGCTTCATGCTCAATGTGATGTCCAAGACCGTGGCCCCGATCTTTTTCGGCTACTCCGTGCTGGGGATTCTGGTGGGCAAGGTGGTCCGCTTCACCTTTTGTTGCTTGTGGCACCTCTCCTTCTTGGTGGTGCTGCTGTTCGCATCGTTAGGCATTCGCGGCACCCTCCGACTGCCCTGTGGCAAGCTCTTGATCGAGGTCTTCTTGTCGAGGAATCTCCACGTTTTTAACCAGGGCTTTGGATGTTTGAAGAAAGATGGCCTGGATGGAAGGCGACAGTTTGACGGACTGTTTTGACCAGGGGCATGGCATTCAGTCCAGCTTCGACGTTCAATACTACGTTCACGAACGTTTGTGAACCAAAAAGACTACCAAAAAGAGCAGACAAAAGGACACACGAAAAACATTTCATGTAATGGCCAGACACTCCATGGGACTGCTATATATGCTATGTAAATATGGCAGTTCCATGCGTCGTGTTTGCGATGGCCACCCCCCGGAATCCCCAAACGGTGCCCCAAGAATCTCGGCAGACATGCTGTCACAATGAGTCATAAGGATAACTTGGGCCTGTCCTACTACCTGTAACAGTCAGTAAACAAAATAAAACTGTTTTTGAACAAGGCCTTTACTAGCCAGCAGACCCAAAGGATCACCTTCTCGAACGGCTGAGCCCGCAGTTCGCCAGTGGAACCATACGACCCGCCATCCAACAAGCATGAAATCGGAGTTTCACCCCTTCAGTTTGTAGCCCAAAAAGCACCCATTTTTCAAAGGCACCATGCCATCCACTTCCGGAGAGATGCTCCGAAAGACTCCGCGGTGACGTGGTGTTTTTTCAGTTTCACCCTGCTTCACCCCATCTGTTGTGCCCTCTTCTTTCGACCACATCGCAGGACCCTGAGCTGCCGCTGCGGGGTCCGCACCAGGTCGAGCACGGAGTGCTCCAGCGACGACGGTCAGTCGAGTCCGTCGGCCTCCGACGCGTCCGACGCGGACGGAGGGAGTTGAAAAGAACCACCGGCGAAGGACGGACGCGCTTGGAAGGGCCGAGTTCGGGTGACGGATGGGTTCGAAAACAGCACCCAGACACGAGCATTGGGACTGGTACATTTATAAATACTATATATTATACGCATGCATATGTCACACACAATTATATATATATATATCTGTATATATGGACATATAGAGAGAGAGTCAGAGAGTCTCTACCTTTGCTCCTGCTTCTGCTTTTGCTTTTGCTAGGCAGCAATGCCGAGAGAGCGAGAAGCATGTTCGAAAAAGCGGTGGGTCGCTCCCGTGCTCTGCAGCCAAGCGGCAGGACGAGCCATCCCGGCCAGTTGACCTTGGACCAAAGCAATTTCCAGGATGGTATTTTGCCACTGTTTGCCACCCATCTCCAGTTTCGCTTCGGGCAAACCCATTGGACGCCCCAGCAAAAAAAAGTGAGGTACGGAACATGCATCTTGGAATTGAAGCAGCGAGAATCAACGCTGCACCCGATGTCAGTGTCACAGGAGTTACTTCTTCAGCGCTTGCTGGCGTTGCCGGCCTTCTGAGCAAGTGCGTTCCTAACGATGATGTTTATTCCCCTTGCTCCGTTGGTTTTGCTTCTCTTGGTACATGGCTGGCGCGTGTTGCGATCTCTTGGGAGAGCATGCTTTTTACAGGCGCGCGCTGGATCTGCAGCGCCTGTACTTTCACAAGGCTCATTGGTACTCATTGAGTACTCATTGGCGTGATTCGCCCCTGACCGAATCATGCCCAGCACATGCCCAGCACTGGATCTGCTGCCCTGTCCCAGTCCGTGGGACTGTGCAATATGATGCAATATGTCACAGGTCGATGGTCCAGGCTTGGCTCATGGACAGGTATATCTACTTTGATATACACACATATATATATATTTATATTATATTCATTGATCTAATGCATCACTTGCAGCAGAATATGGCAGTATGTTTGGCCGTGTGTTTCCAAGTGGAACCAGAAGGAGTCTTTTCAGGGGCTGCCTATGACTGGTGGAGCCGGCTGCCGGTCGCGGGTGAAGCTGAAGCTGTGTCCGAGCCTGCGAGTCCGGGTACGGGTGACGAGCCAAGTCGATGTCGCCGGGCTTGGAGAAGGGTGGACGAAGGTGACACCGTCCACCCTTCTTTTCTGAGGGGGGTAGGTGTGACGGAGCGACCACCCGTCCCCAAAATGCGACAGTGGCATTTCTATGAGGGATTGCCTCAACCTGGAGGACACTGAGCCCATGGGTGGGTTGCAATTGGTATGTTTCCTCCGCGCGGTCGAAAAAATCCTCGTGTTGGTCGGGCGAGTCGCCGTGTTGGTCGCCCTCGACGCGACTCTGCAACGAGGTCTGCGCAGAGTCTCGAGTGTGGGCACCTGGCTTGGAGGAACCCTCTTGGGCTCCTCAAATGCAGGCGGAACTGCGCCATGGGTTGGCTCCCATAGTGAACAAAAATGGCCAGTGTTGAACGCTTTAGACGAAAGAAGAGCTGAACTACACGTTCATTTTTGCAGAGTCTTTTTTTTACTATTTAGAAACTGAGACTTGAAGCCAGCAGTGGCCTTGCTTAACAGGCCATGAAGATAGATTAGATTACAGTATCTGGTGGGTTGTAGTGTCCACTGTGAAGACTTGCAGACACAGACATGATTCTGCTCTCTCCTTTGGGTTGTATTCAATTGCGTCGGCGTCATGAAGTGTTTGTTGTTGTGCATGTGTGACACAATGTGTGAGCCGCTGAGAGGGTGGCAGTTGTGAGAAGATTTGCATCCAGAAAATGCATCAGCCAAGAATTCTCAGGCTCAGGTACACTTTTTCGCATGCCAAACTTCCCTAGGCCCTATGCCTTATGCACCCACTTTCCCAGTGGAATGTTCAGACTCCGGGAAGCTTCAGGAGCACGTGATCACACCCTTGAACCGCTTTCCATCGTGCTTTCGCGCGCGCGCGCAGGTGGTGGACCAGGTGCTTTGTCCACGTGCTCAGGGCGTCAGGCCCTGGCGAAAAGCGAAAGCAGCGAAGGCCAAGGCCAAGGTGAAAGCCAAGGCCAAGGCAGGGCGGGGCCAATGGATGTTAATGAGGACCGGGGGTGCTACAGCTAATGGTCTCTTGGTCGTCGCGTTCACTGATAAAATTCAAAATGATGGCTACCCATGTGGTCATTGACATAGACCTGGAACATCCTGGAACATTGAACATTGCCTCTTCAGATGCTCAATGACCAGTTACGTCGTGCACCGTTTCAAGTGCTGAACCAATTGAATTTATTCACACTGCAGGTCATTTGCAGTCTACCCCCTTTCATATCAGTTTGACAGCCCTGTAGATAGCAAGTATGTGATAGTATGTTGTTGCATGTTGCATGTTGTAGCCGCGTAGCGTCAATGTTGTAGCATGGGAAGGTGAGCACTTCGTCCAGCAGAGAATCTGGATCACGACCTTATGGACATGTTCAAAGACAAAGCTCAAGTCCAGCGGCGCCCATCCAACCCAAGAGGAAAACTAAAGTGGTGAAAGCCTGGATGGTTCCCTGTTCATGTCATTCCACTGGATTAGAAGCAGTAATTTTTCCATGGAGGAAATCCATGGAAATCCAACTATATTCTCACTGCCTTTAGCACTAATTCGTTGTTTCTTGACCATTCCAAAGGAGTTCGTTGTTTTTTTGGTTTTCGGGGTTCCATTTTTGGGCGCAGCCAGATGGGTCTAAGTATGTCTAAGTGGGTCAGGGTGGGTCGAATAGAGTCGCTGGTCGGCTGTCGTTGATGGCGTGGAGTCGCTGGCCATCGACGGCTAGAAGGAACGGAAGGAACCACAAAAGCACCAGCCATCGTTGTGACCAGTCGTTTACTGGTCCCAGTCGTAGCTCCGTCAGAAGGTCTGACTGGACCCTGGCACCCTCCCCCCAGTCCCACCAAGACCCTAGGGCTCCAGTCGTACCTCCTGAGAAGGTATTTGGACCCTCCTGGCACCCTCCCCACCCAGTCCCACCTTCTTAGAAGGCACGACTGGAGCCCTCAAGTCATGACCAGCTCCGTGGGAGACCGGTCAGACCTGGCCCCGATCGGCCAAGGGGATGCTTTCCGTTGGCAAAGGTTGTCACGCCAGTTCGCCAACTTCTATGGTGTGAAACGGAAAACACCGGTGCAAAACAAGCGGCCCACATAATTAAGGCAAAGGTGTCATGCAAAAGAGCCAGAATTGACTGAAGGACCATTTTCCATGTCGGCACATGGGCCCTCGCCACGTGGAGAAAGCAGCCAGTTCTGGCGCACGTGGGTGAACGCTTCGGCTGCCCCCGGTGGGTCGCTTGATGCTCCTCCGTCTGTGGTCGTTTGTGCACGCGAGGTAGCCAAGAGCGAGATGGAGGCCGGCAACGCCAAGGCACGGCGAAGTGCCTGGGACGGTCATTGGGGTCGACGTTTGGCCTCCGGCTGTTTGGATGAAGAATGGATCCAGAGGGTGCAGGTGCAGGTGCAGGTGGTGTTTACCTAGAAACTGAGTGACCATTTTGGACCACCAACATCCACCAACCACCCCAAACAGTGTCTTTATGAAATGCTCGTGCAGCCCATGTAGTTTCGGTTCAACCTATATGTCATATACCAGGACCCTCCAAGGGGTGCCTAATGGAAGCCTATAGGTGTGGGGTAGTCCATTAGACACCCCTTGGAGGGTCCAGGTATATCGACAACCGAGCCCTTGCTGTTCCGCCAGCCGACCAACCGGGTCAACCTGCGCAAACACACAGCCCATGAGTAGCATTATGCTCATAAGATCTCATAAGTGCTTTGGACTTCCCACTTTGGCCTCATGCATTCGTACGGGTAGCCAGTTTCTGCGGGAGATCTGGCCGCCTCGTCCGCGCCAGCCGCGCTTTTCGGTGGGCGCCGGGCCGCCGAGGTGCCAAGCAAAGATCCGCTGCAGTTCCTGAAGTTCCAGGGCCTCCAGCTGCCTGAGCCGCCAGATTGAGAGGCCCATGGCGCCATCCCAAGAGAGAACTCTTGGCAAAAAGTGGAGGGTCAAGTTCAGGGGCTTACTAAGGCGACATCACGTCTACATGGATGAGGTGTTTATTCAGATATGCAACATGCATGTCTCATGTGAACTTGAGCCATTGAGGGGCCCTGATGCCGGGGCAAATATTTTGCCGGCGCAGGGCCCTGCCAACTCAAAAAATCGGCGAGTCTTCTCCAGGTTGACTTCCATATTTCTGACATTCATGGACCAGTTCGAGCCCAAGACAACCCTAAGTGATGGTCTTGTGGCTCAAGCCGCGGTGAGACGCAGGAGCATTGTCCTATGCGATAGCCAGATCCTAGGATCCTGGAACCCCCACCTACCACGCTGAGCGAAGACTCCGCCGTTGATTCGCTTTTCAGCGCAGTGCGGGCTGCGCCGCAGCCGCTGTTGCTGTCCCGTCCGGGAAGGTGTTGCGACCTGGGACTCGGTTCAGATGGTCCACTGAGGTGGTGTTGAGGGAAGTTGATACGTTCAAAGACTTTACTACAGTAGTATAGTCGTTGACTAGAATGGTTTGACTAGAATGCCTTTCAGGAACTCTACGGCAAAATGCAGGCTTTCGACATTCTATATATAGCGTATGATGCGGCTTGCTCCAGATGAATATGTTTCTGACCGTCGACTTGGCATTCCGACCGTCTTGGAGAGATCACCGAGTCCCAGAAGTTTTGATCAGCTCCCTTTGAGCTATGGGCATGGACAGGGTTTTGGAGGCCTGGAGAAGGTTTCCGCCCTGAGTGCAGTGCCAGGTCGGCGGCTTTGGCGATGGTGGATTGGAATCATCAACAGCCAGACAGGTATACAGGGGAGTATGCAACAATGCGATTTCATCCACAAAACAGGCGAAAGGCTGAACTTCTGCATGCATACACTGAACTGTGCATATTTGAACGGCGCGTTTGAGAAAAAAAACTACCAATTTTCATATTGACCGACAACTGAGGGTTCTAGGCAAACTGATGTGGTCAGTTTACCCCAAAAACAGGCTAGCTTTGGAAGATCAATGGCCATCCCCCTTAAAGTGGGCATCCATTTTGAAGAGCACATCAGTTGCATAAGAGTTGTTGGATCAGCCGCAGTCCTGGAAACAAGATCGTGGAGTCTCTTGTGACTTACTCGTTCTTGGGCATTTGAGAAGTAGACATCCACACAAGAATGCTTACATTTGCTCCCAGCAAGATGACGGTAGATTACAATATATAAAGGATAAACTTGGAAGTTCACATACCGGTCTTCAAAAGGTACCCGTCTTTTTCCTCTACAGTACACTCACTGGCCAAAACAAAAGGCAGGGCCGTGTCCGAAGCTGAAAAAAAACCAGTTCCGAACGCTGCCCGAGTCGGTCAAGATGCCAAAGCTGCAAGTCCACATAGCTCAGAAAGCTGTGACTTCCTCGATGCCGAGATCCACCGAATGAATTCACATCGATTTGGGAGAACATTTCTGACGCGTCACGCGTCTCTTTAGACCTCACGTGCACGAGACGGTCGTGAGATGATTTGGAGGATCCCGGTGACATGCGCTTACTGAACAGGCTCCCAGGCAGAAAAAAAAACGCACCGATGATGGCCGCAACGTCCAGTCTGCCGCGGATGGCTACCGACATCACCGACAACAGCAGTGATGGTGGAACCCAGGAGTTAGACACGACGACAGAGGTGTCTTTCCCACACTCGCCAGCTCAGACTGCTCAGATGATCACCCTGAGGCCAAGAACTTGATACATAGCGCCTCGTGAAGCCTCCAACTTACTGTTCGTGACCCTGCCCCCCAGTGGGAAGTGTTCTAGAACCCTCGTATGGGTGAAGCCGGTTTCGCCAGCTGCTTGGCGTCTGCAGGACCATGGCCAGTACCTACAAGGGCCTCGCTGGCCTGGCACGTGACACGGCGGACGCCTGTGCGGCCGCCGCGGTGTGGGGGCTAAGAGGTGAGGTGGATGGACATGAACAGACCCTAGGGCGGGATCCAGTCGTACCTTCTCAGGAGGTGATTGGAGACACTCTTATGTAGGTGCCTTGAGGGTCCAAGTACCTTCTGAGAAGATACTTGGATCCCTAGGGAGATACCCTGAGACGATCCCATGGAACGAAGGCGGCCACGGAAGCGAATGGAAGCGAATAGCGCGACAGGATTGACAGAGCTCATGTTTGGTGTCAGCCTGGTATAGGAAGCCAAGAACCGCCGGTGGTTTTTTGGCACAAAGAACCGTCTTTTTTGGGCAACCGCATTCCTTGATGTCTCGGTGGTTGTTCTTACCAGACGAGAAAACCTCTGAAGAAAAGTGGACATGGCAAATAGACCGCCCAATGCCAACACTGGTTATTTTTTTAACTACTGTTTGAAGTTCAGGGAATATATACAACTCAGTCGTTTTTTGAGGGGCTCCATGTGGTCCTCTGCAGGGGGGTAAAAGATGTACAAGTATCACTACGGAAATTGCTCTATGCTCTTTGGGAACTCACTGAAGCATGCCAATATTTGAACCGTTGATCCTTGGCAAGGCCAGAACACAAGGGCTTTTTGAATCATGTGCATCTCCTTCCTTTTCCTTCAACCCACCGGGCCTCATGCCGGGCCAAGAGAACAACACCCTGCCCCCCCAACACCCTGCCGTATCCGCTCCAAGACCGCGTGTGTGCCGAGCTCGGAGGTCATGGTGGGCGATGCGCAGCAACATGCGCAAAGCTTGAAGGACCAGTTGGACAAGCTGAGAAGCAAGGCACCACTCTGGTTGTTCTTTTGCCATCGCTTGTCGACGATATATTATTATATATATATATAGAAGTGGAGGGAAGTATACCTAGATCTTCAGTCCGGCACGAGTGTGCTCCAGAAAAAACTACGCGTGGCACAAAGGCAGTTTGCTTGTGTATGATCCAGCCCTTTATCATCTCTGTTTTTCATTGTTTTTCAGAATCTTGGATCCGGATGTTTTTTCAGGTCTCCGGGTTTTTTTTCCGGAATCCGGCGGAACATTTTGCCGGATTGAGGTCCGGCACTATTTTCCGCCCAAAGGAGGATCCAGGTATGGTTCGTGCTGCTAAAAATGTTTGGTGTAAGAAATTGTGTATAAGAAACTGGCTGCAAGAATTGTTTGGTGTTCAGTTTTGATCCACTCCAGAGATTCTTTCGACAGATCAGAAGGCCCAAACAACAACAAGTAACACGGCGCTTGTTTGAATCTCTTGGAACTTCCCGAGTGGATAACAGTTTAACAACAATGACAGAAGATGACATAAAAATACAGAAGACATTTGCTAACGCAGCTGCGATGATTGTTTGTTGCTGACCGGCACGCCACTTCCCCCATGGGCGCACGCCATGGCATCCAACCACAAGCCTTGAAAAAGGGCTTTGCAGCTGATTTCCTTTGCGGGCTTTCCCCGTTAGACTTGGAGTTGCTTAATTACACTCGTTTTTTAGGTGTATAATATATATATATATGCTGATGGTGGTGGCTAAGGCAGCGCAGAACGGTCCACCCGAGACCAGTTCCAACAGAGAAAGCACATCAGTCGGCTAAAGAGAGAATGTCCATGCAAACTACTGTGACGGGAGCCGAATCTAAAGCAACCAGTCGAAACGACATCTAATAACTACTAATTACTTGGATGAACCTATGTGCGCACAACGCACAGATCTTAAAAGTCAGGATGGAGAGACAGCAATCAGGCCTTATTTTTCCATCCTTTGGTGCCTAATCAGTCTCCCCAGCAACCCACACAGCACCCTGCTGACAACACAATATACGGAACCCTTGACAGAGAGTCTCGACCCTGGTTGTTCTGGGAGGTGTTAAAGACAAGGCATCATTGGTCTAGGCATGTCGGAACACCCCAGCGATCGGTGTGGCTGTGCAGCGATGGCTTCTGGGTGGCCATGGCGCTGGTCGCGGTGGACGGACTCGCCCAAAGAGAAGCTGCTTGACTCCAGTGGTGTCAAACGTCTTTCCAGGCATATGTACATATATATATATATAGACAGTGACATGGACAGTGGACAGTGACATGTATAACCAGTGGACAATTGGACAATGGACAATGACATGTATAACCATTGGGGTTGATCGACAGTGGACGGTGAAACTGTTAGTTAATAACATTGGGGTTGATCGACATTGGGTTGTATAACCATTGGGGTTGATCATGGATTGCGCCTGGACCATCAGGTCGGTTTTCTCGGGTCGGAGGGGCAACGCGCTGGACCGGCCCGATCCATGCACCGCTGAGGTGTAGGGTGTAGGTGGTGTGTATACTTGACCTCACGAAGCCAAAGAAGAGAAGGAGACCTGTTGGATTCAGGAACTAGATAGGCATGTGTTGCCAGAGGTCAGGAATAAGGAGATAATTAAGGAGATAGGTAGCTTAGTAGCTCAGGATTTCTTGGATGTTCTTCAGGCCAAGCTGTCACCACCCAAAAAGGTGTCACGAAGATTCATGTCGACCCGCCATGGTGATGGGCCCCTGGCAGTTCAACACGAGTGGCAAGGATATGCAAGGATCACTTGCCTTAGCTTGACCCAACATTAGTATGAGGACCCAAGACTGAAGAAGTCTAGAACACCTGCACTCGTAGACAGTCCCACTTTCTTGGATGACAGGGCCATCATCTCAGCTTGCTCACCCCGACCCGGCCCAGGCAGTTGCAGCCAGAAGGCTACGAGATGGAAGAACGCTTGTTGGCCTTGCTGGCTGGAGTTCATCAGCCGCTTTGTTTGATGGGGCATGTGGAACTGAAGTTATGATGGCTCCCCAAAAACGAACCACCAAAACACCTGGTCCCAAGCCACCAGAAGAATTCCTGCAATCCACCAGAAGGGGTGAGCAATCTCCTTTCTAGCCTGCAGAAAGGCCTTTAAACTCAACAAGTGTTTGACTTGGTTTCGTGGTGTGCAATCCCTAGAAAAACAATTGTTGTTTGGTACAACGCCATTGAATCAATGCATGGTGTTTTTCTTCCCTTTTTTAATGGAGGGCCGTTTGTTCGGGGATATTTTTTGTAGAGTAGTTTGGTGACTTTTTAGGGATTTGCTTCTTACTGTGTCTTTTGTCATTGCTTTTCTGTGGTTGCGTTTTTTCTTTGCTTTACATTGCTTCTTAGTGATTTTTTCTTACTTGTCCTGCTCCTTTTGGCGATCCTTTACTTTCCTTCTTCTCGTTTGTTTTTGTGACATATTGATTAACTTCCCCAAACACCACGTTTTTTCCAGTTCCACTGAAGGAACTATAGAGAAACCATGACTGCAAAACAGATTCGCCGAACGCAACAACAAATGAACCAAATAAAAAACACGCGCCCTTTTATCGTGCTACGGGATCGCAGCATTCTCAGGCAGGTGGTGGCAGATGCTCAACACAGCGAGCAGCTTGCCACCCTGTCTCGTCGCCGCAGTGATGTGCGCATGTCGACGCTGGAGGACGGGGGGGGTTTGGTGCCGAACGGGCCTCGGAGTCCTGTTTGGAAACACTACCCCTGCTGGAGCCCCAGCCATGGGTGCGGAGTTTGAAGCCAACCAAGTCTTAACAGCCTGATTCGCTTGACAAGGAGGCTTCGAAGTCCGAAGACATGGATCCAACAACTTCCCTGAAACTGGGCCGGCCCCGTGGGAGGGGAATTGGGTGGTCGGTCCGCTAACACAAATCAGAAGCGAGTCGCGAACTGCCACCCTGCCCCGGGTTGATGCTAGGCCCGACTTACCCTGGTGGAGCTTGGCAACCCCGGATAACTTGGAGACAGCAATTCTATAAGATCCTTTAACGGGGGAGTTCCTGTTCTCAACTTACTACAGCATGCTGTATCAATCTCTTGGATGTGTCTATTCCTGCATCTCAGGAGCAACATCGGCGCCTGGAGATGCGTCTCAACGACCTCTCGCTGGGCTTGAAAAGCCTCGAACAGGCGATTCTTCGGGCGTCTAAGGGGACGGTCCGAATCGGTTCAGCATTTGGGCCACTACAGATACTGACTGGTGCGACTCGCAGGGAATGAGGGAATGGATCCAATACAATCTCTATTGGGGGCGAAACTTCCCTTATTCCCTACTAAGCTCCAGTCAGGATAATTTCTTGATTAATAACCCCCTCCTTTGGAGAGGATGTTCAATTAGGTGGGAAGAGTTAATCAATGATATCAAATACTGTGGAGCATTTGCGTACGTTTGCGTACAGAGATATTCACTTCCCAACGTTTGCGAGCCAGTCAGTCTTCCACCGTTGGGGCTTATATAGAATGTATAGTCTTTAATTTACAGTTCTGTAGAATAACAAGACGTATATGTCTCAACTGTTGCCTATATGATTTGTCCTGCAATGAACCAGTCGAAGAAGATTTTTCAAAAGAGTGAGCCCACCGGAGAGAAGTGATGGCGCCAGGCGGCGGGGCTGGCTGGCGAACGAGCCTGGCAGGACTTGACGCAGACGGTGGAACAGCAACAGGAGGCTCCTTTTCGGGGGTGTCTACAGGTTTCTGCTGGGAAGACTGATGGATACGGAGGGGGAACTCCTTCCTCAGCGTGTCCCTGTGGGACGGCTGCGTTGTAGCCAGACGCGCCGAGAGAGAGACAGAGAGTTGAGAGAGATAGAGTGCGCTTTGATGCCCCAGTGCGAAAAGAGTGTCAGGTGCCACCCCTACTCCAGAGGTATGGGGAAGAGAGAGGTCGTCTTTGAACATGTTCTTGCACGCCATGCCCATGCTGGCGCCGATGCAAGGTCCAGGATGATCTTATCCAGGTCCAGGAGTTGCTGGGGGCAAATTCACTTTCAAGAAGTTGTTGGATCCATTCCTTTCGATTTCAGGGAAAGTCCCCTGATAGATTTCGAATCAGGCAGTCAAGGTTTGGTTTGCTTCCAACTCCACACCCATGGGGGGCTCCAATGGGGTGGTGCTTCCAAACCCGCTCTGCAGTCTTCAAGGATGAGAAGAACACACTCGACCATGGGCCCGGGAAGGGAAGCCAAGCAGTTGGCCTTGGGGTGTCCGAGTTCAGGCCGCTAGGGGTCGGACCATCCAGTTCGGGGTCCGGACCCGAACCGGACCCTATAGGCCCTATAGGCTCTGGTTTCCTTCTCGGTTCTTCTTGCGTGCAACAGACCCTTATGAACAGCTCAATCCAGAACATGTAACTTGTAAGATCTTCCGCCAGTGTAAGACTGACCAGGGAACTTCCTCTACAAAAAGGGAAAGGAAACTGTTTCCCCCTTGATTTTAACGGGGATGTATTTGGTACATGTAGCAGTGAAACCTGATTCATATGAGAGTGCTAACTTGGTCGCCACCGCCGCCGCCACCGCTCCGAATTGGCAGGCTCTTCGACGCGAAGAAGAGCTTCAGCATCACGTGATCCAACGCTTGAAGCCATTGGATGCTGTGCTGAGGGAGGCTGTGAGGGTGGTGAGGCCACCGCAATCCACCATCGCCACGGATCAGTGGCGAGTAGTTGTCCTCATGTGGATCCATGTGCAGTGCTCGTACCCTGGAGTGCCCGTACCCGCAAATCGAGCAGGGACGGGGGGGTTTTGGCCTTTGCTAGAACGTCCGACTTCGTAACATGAGCTCAAGGGAGTTTTGAGAGGCTTCATGGGTTATCTTTAAAGATCCCCAAGGTGCCGGTGCCGGGGCAACTGTGGCAACTGCAAGCACCAAAAGGGCCTGTAGATGCCTAAAAAGGGGGTTGCTCAACACCCTTTTTCGGATCCGGTAGGTTTGGCGCGACCAAGATGGTTGCTTCTACGCCCTTGCGTGCCTCCTCTCGGTCGTTGGGCGGGTGTCTATTTGGTCAACAGATGTTTGTCAACTCCCAGCTTCGGGGGGGAACAACTGGACAGCTTGTGATCCAAAAGGAACACGACAAGGACCAACCAATATATGAAATCAAATGAAATCACGACTTGCCGTGCCCACAACCTCCATTTTTCAAAGGTTACTTAAAGATTCTGGACCACCGATCTTCCTCACTTCTTCCGGAGGCCTCCCCTTTTGGCTCTGAACCACACCCTCACACACCACACTCACACGCCAGAATAATTCTTCGCGACCGAGGAAGAGCGGCTGAACGCCTTGGAGGCTCAGCTCTTCCTGGATTGGCCGCCACAGAAGGTTCAGGTCGTCGAGGCGCTTTCTGCGGTGCTCAAAAGATGGTGTGTCACGTAGACTCGTGATATCTCGTGATTAATAAACCTCCCTGATGTATAATGAGGAGGATTATTATTCAAGAGTCAACATGATCCAACATGATCTATGTTGTAAATTAGCGCCACAACGAGATGCTCGACCCAAAAGCAGAGATGCCGTTGCCCTGAGACAGGGGAACATTTTGAGCAACTGATCGTTGACAGCCAAACCCAGTAAGCAACCTATAGCTTTCCAAATTCAGACGTTTCTTACTTGCATGTTTATATTAGTGTAGTAGTGTTTTTGTTGCTATATTAGCAGGGTCCACGGGTAAAGTTGTCAAGTCCAGTTGATACGGGTGTGCCAGGCACAACTGGGGAGGCCCCTCAACTCCGTTCAACGTCTTCCACTGTCAGTGGCGGATCCCCCTATGGAGGGTTCGAAACGACAGTCCCATCGCGAAGGGAGCCGGCGCGACTGAGAGTCGGTGTTGTTTTCAGAGCCTGAGGAGGTGGTAACAGGCCAGATGACGTGCGTCCTTTTACGTGGTTCCAGGCGTGGAGGTCGCTTGGACCAGGTTCCAGGTCGGGTGCCTCGACCTGGACCGGGTTCTCCCGGAACATCCACGGCCGGTCCAGAAACTCCTTCCGACATGGAATTGGCGTATGCGGCGTACGCCAGGCATATGCGAGCATATGCGTACCTCGTCTATTCCCAAGACTAGGTGAGGATGGTGAACAAACAAGAGGTTCTCACATGCTTTTGTCAGGTTGGTGTGACTTCAAAAGAGCATCCCACAGCTACTACGGGCACCAAATTCACGGCCCATTCACCATCGTTCACCATCGTTCACGCGTTCTTTTCGCTAGTTTTCGAACACTTGGCTTTGGTGAATGACAGTCCAGTGACAATCATCATGTTTGTCCTTCTTCGGGGGGTTGTCCCTCCCTCGTACCCATGGCTCGCACCTCCAGGCCCTGGACAGCGAGACCAGTTTCAGAAGCTGCCCCAGCCGCGAGGACGCTTCGCTGGCTCGATGGACGATGGACCCGAAGTGGTCGGAAGGAACCACATACCTACCTACAGAGGTTAAGTGACCTTATGGGACCCTACAAGGGTACCTATAGGATAGTCTAGTTCGGGTTCTTCAACCTCTGCCGGTAGCTTCAGGATGAGATGCTGGTCGCGCAGCTGCGCAGGTGGTCAGACTTCTGTGTGCCGTTTGGGCCGCAGGTGGTCAGCACTGCTTCGAGCTCGTTCTCGAGCGGTCGTGAGAGCTTGAATCAATACAAGCTTGCTGCAGAAGAAGCCACTAGACTCTAGACCCCAATGGGAGAGGTCCTCTACCCATGCATCTTGCAGCAGATGCGGTATATTGGTCGAGGCTGGAGCTGACGGGACAAACAAAAATTTTTGTGGCCCGGCAGCATGGCCACTTACTGCAGCGGTGGTGCCTTTGATGCGGCAGATTGTGCGAGCTTGACCGCCATTGCAGCTTGACCACCGCCGTCCCAGGCGCACAAGTGGACAAGAGGAAACCACCCTAGTGGATCAAGTTTTGCTGGATTGAGCGGAGGAAGTGGTCGAGTCAACTGACGCCGCGTGCTTTGCACGACGACGGCCACTATTTCCGCACATGTGACGATGGCCATTTCAGGATCTCCCTAGGCTACATGCTTCCCAGGGGTTCTTGATGTCCAGTTGGGTCCTCAAAATGAGACTTTTGAAAAGAGTCACAGGAGTCACCGGGCATCTCGACTTATACTATCTTATAGCAGTTTGCCCCTGTTCAGCATTAAGGTTTAGGGATGTCTAGTGCCTGATACTTTTTCTGCAAGTTTCGCAAGAGTCATGGAGTCATGGGGCTAGAACTCCTTGAGCCTGTTGGCGGTCAAATGAATCATCGAGCAGCCGTCTAGGTGCGAAGGAGACACTTACTGCAGGTGTTTTCTCAGGTGAGAAGTGTTATCCATGGGCATCGACTCTTTTGGCTGGGGTGCTGAATTTTCAACATGTTGCTGCTCCTAAAGTGCATTTGATGCCCTAGGTGAGCAACCTGATCCCTTTTGCTCCCCCAGACTGGCCGTTGTGGGCCTCACTCTTAGCGCCAGATTTGCACCAGGACCGCCTTGGGGTGGATGGCGCCCGATGGCACCACCTCGAGGGGCGAGTGGAGGAGCTCAGCAAGCTGCAACGCTCCACCAGCCACTCGCAAAAACTGACCGCAGCGCATGGGAGAGAGAATTTGATCAGGTGCCTCGGGATAGTGCTGTGAGGATGCGTGTGGACTCGGTGGACCCGTCGGGCAGGTGCCCGACAGGACGAGGTTTAACAGACATGGTCTTTTTGCTTTAAAGCTATATGTGAACATGGGTTGGAGTGAAGGCCACTCACTTTCATGTGATATTCCTTCCCACCTGGAGGAAGATGGAAGAAGTGCCTCATTCTGCTCTAATTATATACCTCTATAGCTACCTCACTGTCTCTACCCTACACTCCTAAACGCACGCTCCGCCCCATCACCCTCTCTGGCTCCAAGGCCAAGAGGTAGAGGACTTGGCGCTGCAGGTGAAGACCTTCGCCGGGTCCGTCCAAAGCTTGGCCCAACGTGCCCAGGACGGCTTCGCCGCCGTGCGAGGCGCGCATACGGCGCGCGGACCGGGAGGAGGACGGGGGTGGGTGGGTGGAGGATTTCCTACCAAACGACCGGAGAGGGAGATCAGGCGTTTGAACTGTGCTTGGATTCTTGATTAAAAACACCTCCATATACAACCTCCTCGCATATGAGGAGGTTGTTCAAGGGGGTGTTTATTAATCAAGAGTCTACATTGTATGACAGATATTGTTGTCCCATGTTGTTCCTGTGTTCGCGAAACATTATCCAAGAGTCCTCAAGCATCTGAATGAGGGGAGGCTTCTGAATATCCTGCCAGTTCATTTGGGGGCTCTATTGAAGCATGGGAGGATTGGACGAAGGAAGGGGGGGGCGTTTTTGGGGTCAACTAAGGGCTACCCCTCAGTCAGAAGCATAGAGGCTCCCACCATGGTCCTCTTCCACACGTTCCGCCACTCGAGCTGAATCCCGCTTAACCGCGGAAGCGGTACCGCCCTTCTCGCGGCAGGCCACTTAGATCAAGTTCTTCAGCGACTGGGACAGCGCTCGCCGGAAGTGAAGGAAGTTGGACGTGCTGGGCTCGAAGAGCGTCTCGGATTTCACCACGGATTTCACTGTCCTGTCTTGGGCGCAGACTCTTGGGCGGTTGTGGATCGAGTTTCTGTTTGAATTCGGCGAATCGTGAATCGTCCGGCTTCGGCCGGCAGGGGGTCGAAAGGAAGTATGATTACGGTGCCTTTTAGCTCACTGAGCTCACTGAACATGTGCGGATCCGATTCGGAACATGTTCACTTTGGATGGCCTTCCCTGGAGCCAGTCTGAATGAACCTTGCTTTCTGCGCCGATCCGGTCCGTGACGCATGGCGTTGAGTGGTACCAGTGGCCCGAACCAAACCACAAAACAAAGGTTGTCATATTACCAAAACCATGTTTTTTTGCTGGAGAAAACCAGGTTCTTGATGCTTTGTGGGACCCCTTGGTAGTTGATGAGTGGATGAATCAAACATCGTAACACTCTCCATCATGGAGATCTTTTTACCTTTGTTTTACCATTCAGCTCGGGGGGGGCGCATCCGCTCCCTCCGGCCGTTTGGTGCCACCCCTTCGGCGCCGTGCCCAAGGCGAACGCCCCAGGCGGGGCGTTGGGGGAGCCGCGGGCGTTCGCACGAGCAGACAGAGCCAAGGGCGAGATACGAGCGGCAAACACCGCACCCTTTTTGGGGGAAAAACAGCCGATACACGAGCCGAAAGGTGGGCCACCCCACCCTGCAAGACATTGCAAACACAACAGTTTTTTTAGCAGGGGGATGGGGGATAGGGGTATTGCCCTGCGAGGGTGCAAGGATTGCTTTAAGATGTTTCGAGGGGACCTAATTACAATCTAGGGCACCATAGACTTTATCATACTTTATCTATATATGTATGTCAGGTTTGGTCAGTGTCTTTATCTTTTTTACTGTTTTTTTCCGCATCAATTATCCGTTTACACAACGAGACGGACATGGAGGTTTCGACGTGTGACATGTTTGTTGCAAGGGCATTGTCTCTTTTGGCAGGGCAATTGTCACTGTTCCAATACTTTTCATGTTTATAGAGTATCTATACCCAAATACTCCATGTATGCCATATATGCCTACATTGACCCCCTAAACCACCCCAATGTAAGCATATATGGCATACATGGAGTGTTTGGGATATCTACTATAGATCAATGTAAAGCTTCCATGCATGCATTTGAAACACATGTTGGCCACTGGGTCCTTTGAGCATCGCTCTTTTTGAGAACATCCTGGCCCTACCCCCCCATTGGGCTTTAACAACGAGTCTACCAGTGCCCAGGACTCAGCCACTTCGCACCTGCTGGACGACTTCGACCGAAGCGCACCGCGCGGTCCGCAGACCGGGCGCCCTCCGCGCGAGCAGACCGGGCGGACGTCCGCCCTGGTCGTTCCAAAGCTGGACCTGTGTCCGGAGCTGGCGCAGCTGACGCAAGCCCTGCAGCACTTCGGGAGCGCCATTCGACAGGCGGAAGAACGCCTGGAGACTCCCCAAAGCCGGGAGGTGCTGTAGATGGGGTGTGCATTGTAAGAGGGAAAGCCTCCACCGATGGATTGTGGTCTATTTCCCTTCTGTCTTTAAGGAGTCTTTCGGGGGTCTCCCTATTCTTATTAAGCACACCCCCATGAATCAATGTCTTTCAAGCGGAGGGGGCCTAGCCAGCCATGGGGTCCAGTGGCCTTCCAAAGAGCCGCCTTGTCTTCTTCGAATCTGCTGTTCAAGTTTTGTTTGGCCGGTGGCCTGCTGGAATAAAAGCATTCACCCAGCAAGCCCAGCTGCTTGGTGGGTACCAGGGCCATCCGACGCCATGAAAACTAGAGGGGCGTGGATTGATCCAAACTGCAGTTTTCGAGAAGCAAAAGTAAGGTCGTTGATGATTTTCACCGGTGTTGATAGTTGCAGTTGAAGATGCAAAGCCTGTTCAAACACGTGTCGGCAGTGGCAGGTGGACTTATGTATGGCGGCATGGCAGGCCAATACACCCTCCTGCTTAGGAGGTGGCTTGAATCTTTTGTTTTCAGACAGACCCGGGACATGGCACTCTTCCAAGGACTCTGAGTCAGGAGGATCTGACAATTCGCAAGGGCACCCACTAGGTTTGAGCTATCATGAAGTCTACGACTTGCGCCCAACAGATGCCCGAAACACATGGAGCGCTGGGTCGTTGACTTGCCCAAACTATCCCAAACTTATGTCAGCTCCATCGCTGACATTGTTTGGAGCAAAAAACCCAAACGAACAATTTGCACCCAGAGCTTTGCAGACACCATGAGACACCCAAAACCTCTTACCGCTTCGGGAGCCAGGGCTTTAAGCGCTTTACTGTTCGCGCGCGCGCGTCGAACCAGACCTTCCTGTCGAGTTTCGATGTGTTCAGCCACCTTCCGTCGAATCGACGAATCCGCGGGCAAGAAGAACCTCGTGCCGCGGCAGAAAAAGGCCATGGCCGTCCGCACCTGAAATCCGGGGACTTGGAGCGGAGTCGCCACCAACCGGGCAGGGGGAGATCTGCACCAAGCGGGTGGTCCGGAGCAGATCCAGTTGCCATATTGCCGGGCCTTGGTACAAATGGTGTGTCCACTCAGCGGGATTCTGCACCAGTCGCCCTGATGCAGCAGCTTGTTTCTGTGAAGGATCGGAAGAGTCACGGTGTAACACTCGCATTTTCTGGTGGTCGGATTCGGATGGTTGTTTTCAACGGCCCTGCACACGAGTTGCCTGAAGGGGGCACCCAAGACACACGAGTGTTGGAGCTTTTTGGCCGAGCACTTGAACATAGCACAAGAGGAGCATGAGCACCGCTGATGTTCGGAGGCGCTCGAACCTTGGAACCTCAACCAGTTGATGCAATGGAGACTCTTGAGATCTCTTAAGCGCCACCCCCTTTTGAATTGAACATCCTCTTCTATCCCTCTCGCTTGCCGTCCACGATGACCCCTTGTGGATCGGATCAAAAGCGGTGCTGCTGACACTCAGGTCAGACGGCATCACATGTACCAAAGAAAAGGAGCAGCCGAAAACAAAAACAAAACGACATCAAATAGGGAACTCCCATGATGTGAGGGATCTCGTACATCCCCCACACAGGAGCTCCCCAAAGTCAACCAACTCATCAATTGAAAAACGTGGAATAGCACCGATGATGGCGCCTTGCGGAAGGGCCCTACCCTCAGTTTTGAGGGTGAAGTTGCAAGCCTTCCCTGGGAAAATCTGGTGATTAGGTCTCTTCTGTACAAAAACCAGCATGCGTCGGATCCAGAAAACAAGATCGCGGAAAGTATGGCCACCGGCAGAGATATCATGTAAAAAATACCCACGTTTCCAGAACAAAAACGAGATTTCAACATATGCCGTCTTCACAGAATCCTCAACTCTCCATTGAAGACTGTGCATGAACCTGAAGAATGTAGCAATGTCCTCCGGCTGGAGCTTGGTGAACCAACCTGCTGAACAGTCAAGGGAGGCTGTGGTTGTCCATGTAAAGGAGGGGGCTGGCTGCTCCCAATCCCATTTAGGAAAACGCTTCTTCATAGCCTCGAGAGGCGACAGTGGCGGCTGGGATTCCTCTGGTTCATGTTCAGGATGATATAAGACATTGCCAATGTGGAAATTCCATCTGGCCAAGTACAGTTGTCTCTGATAGACAGCCTGTTGCAGCATTTGAAAGTCCTCAGGATGAACAGCAGCTGCTTTCATTGCCACCTGTTTGGCATAGGTGTCTGCGACTCTATTCAGACGAATAGACTCCAGCGTAGTGCCATGGCGGATGGCAAACTCCTCAGTCAATTCTGTGGATGGAAAGTTGTCACCTAAGTGTGCAGGGATCCACGTTACCTGGAGTGGCTGATCGTGACACTCAGATCGAGCCCTGTATGTTCTAAGTATGGAGTCCCACCAGAAACGATGTGACCAAGAGGGCGGAATGCAGTTGGACTGGCACATGACACGGAACTGATCGACGATGGTTTTACAGTCGGTGTGTACGTGAACTGCTGAGTTGGATCTCTGAAAGGCTCTTACAAGTGCAAACAGTTCCGCTGCATACGACGAGAGCTTCACCGAATGGACTCGGTCCGCTTCGAGACAGAGACCTGTTTGAGAGATGACACTGTATCCCGCGGCCGTAAGCCAGAAGTTTGCACTAAAAAACACAGACCCATCAGTCCAGACCTTAGTGACCGGAGCTTGTGGATCAAAGTTGTGTTGTGGTGGAGGTACAGGTTTGTACTCCAACCGATGCTGAGCAATCGCAGTTGGATGATCGAACAAGCCTAATAAACGGAAATTAGGCCCGAAGTCATGGGCCGGTGGTTCTTGAATTGGGAGAGGCCCTTGACATTCGGTAATCAAGTGCAACATAGATTCTGAAGGAAGACCACAGAACCGACATGCATTTGTGTCACAATACCCAGCAGCACAGCGTCGATCATTCGTGATAGTGCAGCCAACACTCTGTGAGTCGAAATGGCAGGTGAGGTCAAGGCTTTTGTCATATGGACGTGGGTACAAATGGTAAAAAGTACGAAACAAAGAAATGTCAAGGAAACCTTGAGGCTTAGACAGGTCTTTGCGGGATTGTTTCCCCGCCTGTTCATAACAATATTGAATGGCAAGGTTCTGGAGAAGCGGTTTTAAATCGTGAACTCCAATGTGGAGAACGGGAATGCGCACATCTCCAAATCCAAGCTCAAGTTGGGCAGACAAGAAAAGGTGAAAAACGGCCAATGCCTCTTGAACCTGGTTCAACAGTGCATGCTTTGGCAATGCTGACTGAGAAAGCAATTCAACGCACTGATGACTTCTCTCGGGATGTGAATGTATGAAGCGCCAAAAATCAAGGATGCAACAGTAAGCCCTTGCACACACAGGCTCGACTCTGTGGGGAGGAGACAGAAGGGCGAAGACCAACATGCGCGACCTCCAATGGGGACGCTTATCCCAAAAAACTTGGACGAGTTCCCCTCGGATTTTATCAATCGCTTGTTTCGGAATCTTCGAGATGTGTGCCGCAAAAGAAAGTTGCGGAAGGACTTTTGCCCCAAGTAGTTGTCCCTTAACTACACGGGGGACAGGTAAGTTCGAGATGTTTCTAATGTCAGCCACAACTTTCGAAGTCTTATTGGCATCGAAAATGAACGCATCCCTGTTAGACGTGTAAATCTTCGCACCTAAAACGTCAAATTCGAGGCAAAGTGGAAGCGCAGGAAAAGCACTCTTGGCTTGTTTCCGAGCAAGGGCTGATGTGGCCCAGAGAACGCTTTTACCTGTATTCAGTTGTTGACCGACAAGATCACCCCACACAATTGTAACTTGAAGAGCCGTCTGCAAATGATGGATGTGTATCAACCTCACCCACAAGTAGGCATCGTCGATAAAAACCCTCGATGTAACATGGGGGATATTTTCGACAAAGCAGGCCCAGACATGCATGTAAACGTTAATTGCAACCAAAGACATGGAGCATCCTTGGGCAACCCCATTGGCAATGGTGGTGTGTGTCTTAGACATCCACCCCCGATAGGAGAGGTGCTTGGTCAGACCCCGATACATCATCAAAAAGATGTTGACAATTCCCTTAGGGACACCAAGAGCCAACATAAAAGTACCCGCAACGGTCGGAATGATTCTATCAAAGCATTTCGATTGGTCCAATTTAATTCCAACAAGTGGCTGAGAGGTGGATTGAGCCACATCCATGTCCAACCTGAGTCCAGTGCTGACCGACGCCATTGAGCGATGTCGTATTCCTCCGTACAGAGATGCATGCATGGTTGCCATTTGCCACTCCTGGAGGTGACGGAATCTTGTGCCCGTGTATGCAAGTAACATCGGAGAAAAAATAGTAATTAATCTTTTATTGAGCGGCGACGATGGTCCTGCCTTATTTAAAATAATTTGCTTTGCCCTGACGAGGACACTGGGAATGTCCGCACCGCAGGAGTCCTCCAGCCAGAAAAAGAAAGTCGCAATGGCATTCAAGCAGCAAAGCGGTAAAAACTGCAAGTCGGTGGTTCGCCACCCATCCAGACCAGCGGCAGCTTCAGGCTTCCGAGCTGCAATAGTTACTGCGAGATCTGCTCCCGTCAAGGGAGGTGTTTGCCATGGGACACTATCCTTCTGGATGTATGGCCAGGCAACTTGGAGAATCGAAATGGGGTCGTCATGCAACATATTCGAAGCAAAAATGTCGTCCCATTGAGAATTGATCAAAGCAAGAGCCTCATTAGGCTGGCAAACAATGTTACGGTTGGAGTCAAGGACAAGGTTGGAAGGTTCATCGGCAACCTTACTCTTAAGGTGGTGAAAGATGTATTTACGGTCACCCACAGCTGATGCTTTGACCTTACTTTTCCATGCTTGGATGCGTTGCTGCCGCTTACGAAAGTCCCATGCTTGGAGTTGAAATTGAATCCATTGGATATTCTGCTGGATGTCGACCAAGTTGGGAGTCTTGGGTATAAGCCAAACAAAAGGGGACTTAAGGACGTGAAGTGTCTTCCACGCTTTAAGTGCCGTACGTGTGAGAATGTGTTCATCAGCGACACTTGAGATGGGACGTTGCAGACGGGTAGACAGTTCCCACAACCTTGCAAGCGTGTTCTGAAACCAGGAGCCACGCAACGTGAGGGCGGACCGGGTTTTTGCTTGACCGGGGCAAAACTGTTTGGCCACGAGAATGGGCGCTTGACCTCGACACTGTGGACCTGGGCCCCAGGTGGCGCCACTTTGAACCAAAGTATCAAGACAAAACTTGTTAATGATATCCCATTTATTCTCCGGCTCGGTGGCTTGTTCAAAGCAAGAGGCCACGGAATCGTCCCAAAGGTTTGAAGCAATCACATTAGAAGGGTGGTGAACATCAATCCCAGGTTTGCTCAGGTGATTGACCTCGAGCGGGGCAACTTTGCACTGTGTGAAACCATGTAATCTAATTGAGGACCAGGAAAAGGAAGCACGAATCGGTCGGTGCTGAACCCTGGTCACGGCTAAAACCTCAATGGACCTAAGGGCAGAATGGGCAACCGTGTTGAGAAGGATGCCATCGATTGACGAGCAAAAATCACCAAAGCCCGAAAAGGAACTATCTTTCGAGTAGGTCATGGGTCTGAAGACTTCACCAGAAGAGTCCGATTGTGACAGTGGGTCAAACCACCCGTGAAAATTAACTGCATGCGAAAGCGAAGGGTAATGGAGGGGATTAGACTGAAAATCCCCTGCAATGATGATGGGGATTTCTCCGAACTGCGAACAGATAGTCAACAAGTCAGCAAAAACAGAATCGTTGTAGTCGAAAGCGAAGGAGTCACCTGAATCCAGCAAGCATTTGCTCTGTGATTATCGAAAAGTTGTTTATAAAGACCCGTGTGGTCTTCAAGAAAGTCAAAAGGAAAGGAAAGTTCGGGGGCAGCCAAAATGGCTGTGCCTCCATGCATGGTGGTGTGCTGCCCGTCAGTGCGGAACATGCCTTTGAGGGGAGCACACATGTGAAGGGCTAATCCAGTTTCCTCGACTGCTTTGCGGGAAACACGGATATTGTTGCAGCCAATTCTAGTTTCTTGTAAACATTGAACATTATCAACAGAGTGCTTCCACCCCAAATTGGTCTTGAGACTCCCAATGTTGGAGGAAGAAAGAGTCCATAAATTCGAAGAACAGGGACCTTCACCAGGGAAACCCAGAGAACTGTCGAAATCCCTTCTCACGAGGGGGTCGCGATCGAACATTGGAAAATATGAATCGGAAAGGCAAAAGACGAGCTGGTTGACTGCTTGAATGAGGAACGGACTGCAAGATATTTTCGGCTGCTGCTGAAGCTCACAGGAGAGTCGCCTGTGACACATGTCAAAATGGTGGTCTATGAACGAAAGCTCAGCACCCTGCGAAGCATTGGGATGCAAAATGTGACAAGAAAGAAGCAAGACAAAACACAGAGTGAGAACCGAGCAAAGTGCCAGCTTTGAGCAGGAAGACCTCAACGTTAACGGCTTCCACCGGACAAGGTTACATGTCGTCCCTTCTACCCAGTGGAAAAGCCTCCCTTCTCTGTCGGAAAGGTACCCATTGAATTGCATCGTAACAGATGCACACAGACCCGGCGCAAGTTGAGACAAGGCGGACAAGAAAATGAAATGCATCAAAAACAACCACCGGATCACGAAAAGCATAACGAGACAAAAAGCACCGGTACTGGCACCTGTCCCAACAAGCGCCCTAAAATGTCAACCCTGGCGAAGCGCCTTTGGCGGCGGGGTCTCACCTGTGACCTCTCGGGTTCTGCCCTGCCCTACGGATTGCAACAGTTGCCTCAGTGAATCGCTGATGTGATCGAACTTGGAATCGACTTTCTCCTCGAATCTGTCTTGCCGAGCTTCCAAACGCCCGAAGCGTTCCTCGAGTTGGTCGAGTCGGCCGGCATCAGCACTAGGAGCAGGTCGAGGCACGAACTGAGGTTGCGGCGGAGGCTTGATCTCCTGCGAACGAGGATTTTTGCCTCCAGGTCGCACATTGGAGCGAGGTGGTTGCTTGGCACGCCCCACATTGAGGCATTCTTGAAGCAGGATCTCATGGGCTTGGCCGTTGACTTCGATGATGAACTTCTCCAGGGCAGGTTTCTTGTCGAACGCCAGGACCCAGGTGACGACACCTGCCACTCTGAACGTCCGAGTAGGGACAGGTGCGGCCTTTGCAGCTTGGAGTGTGGCCTGCACCACATGAGAAGCAGTGGTGCCGACCGGCCATCCAGATGCTTCGTACGAGATCTTTGGGACGACGTCCTTGTTGTCTTTTGTAATGCGGGGATCGCCCGCAAGGAGAGATGAACGAGCTGCCCCAATCTGGCTGGCCCAGACCCGGAGGGCTAGGCCTCTTTTCGTGATCACCAGGCCTGCCGCACCGTCAGTGTCCTTTGTGGCAATAAGCATATGTTGGAGATCGGTGATAGTAGGGCTCCAAAATCTCGGCAGGACCGAAGTGTCAACTGAGCCCTGCCCCCTTTCCAGATAGTCCCGAACGAAGACGGTATGTCTTCCACTCGCCTCCAAAAGCCCTTTGCGCATGGCTTGCGGGATTTTTGCAATGCATTGCAATTGTACATCTTCTTTTGCAGCTGATGGGTGATGATTAAGCCGGAATCCATATAGGATAATCTCGGAGGCCTTCTCATTGACGATGGCACCACACAGCTTGCGAAAGGACGGAATGGCTTGCTCCTTGAACTTGGTGAAGTCAGAAGGAGGGGTCAGCCTGCTGTCAATCTCAAGGACCAGTTCTGACACCTGCACGGTATTGAACTTCAAAGTCGGTGTTGGCAGCTGGAATGTAGCTTTTCCTTTGACGACGATGAGCAAGATCAGCCTCTTGTAAGTGGCATTGGAAACTGCATCCTTCAGGACCACCTCGTATGGGCCCATGAGCTTTGAGGCCAGGAGGCCAAAAGCCGCAGGGTCCGATGCCGGTAGCACGATGGCCAGGTCATGATTGGTAGGGTCAAGGTGCAAAAGGTCAGCCAGATGGGCTTTGGTAGCCATCACAATGCCTCCCCTCCAAGGAGAAGCCTGGAGGCGATGGATCTGCTCAATAGACTTCCCATCTGTGCCCTTGATTGGGTGGTCGTCACTGAGGAGGAGATCCTCCCAGCGAGACTGTTGTGGTCTTTGCTTAGACTTGGCCTTCCAAGGGTCATTGACCCAGATTGGATCTTCTTTCGTTGCAGAGGGTGTAGGCACCGGCTTGGGCACACTGGGGGTAGACTCAGTACCCTGCCCTTCCATTCCTGCAGCATAGAACTCCGGAGGGAAATTGTTGACCACCACTTTTGCCAAAAAGGAGGTCCTCACGTGGGTGGCAAAACTCTTGAGCTGCTGATTGTTTGTGGATGCATTCCAGATCTGATGAGCCTCACGCTGAAGGTGTGCAATTCTGGGCTGCCACGCAGAAGCGGTCAAGGAGTCTTGAATCTGTTGGGATACTTCAGGAAAAGTGACTCCCATCCTTTGAAAAATCTCCATAGCGACTGCGTATCCACAGAGGTTGTGGGGCACAATCTGCGTGTAGTAGGTGATCAAGGTCCCTGCCGGATGTGCACCAATTGCCCGAATGATATGGTTGATGAGAGGGTTGAGCTGGCTCTGCATGGCAGGCGGAGCAACCACAATCAAATTGACCTGCTGGAAATGGTGTGAGCGGTACATCTCCACATGGATCCAATGAGTGCCAACGATGATTGGCCAAATGATGTGCACATACGGCCGCAGCTGTGGCGGGAATTGACTAGGAAAGACCAAAGCATTCCTCACGGGGCACCACAGGCACGCAGATGTAATCAACATCTCCGGATTGAGAGTCTTGGCATACTCACAAATATGATCCATCTCATCAGAGGCCATCCACCCACCATTCACCTGGAAATGATCGAGGCGAGCATTGATCCTGGCCTCCATAACGTGAGGCATTGATGAGCTGGCCAGCGTTACCCGTTGAGGTGGGTCCGGTGGTTGAATGAAATGGCGAGGAAAGGCCGACAGCAATTCATGTTCCGCAGCAGGACTTCCCCTCAACGTTTCCCCATAAAGCATGTAGAAGAAGGATCTGCGCAATGCAGCAGCCAGCAACGCAACTGCCGGATCCGCATGGGCATCTCTCCAGCTCTCGATGGAGGAAGAGATGACCAACGCAATGAGGTCTTGAATGTCTGGAGGCGGAACAGGCACTCTGAGACTCATGTCTGGGATGTTTGCACGCACATTTGCCTCTTCAATCCACTTGGCAATAAGCATCCAGCCACACAAATGAGGAATGTAAACATCGACCGGAGCGTCGAACTGAATACGTGCCGGAGTGGTGTCCAGACGTCTCGCAAAAATGCGAACAAGTCTAAGATGAAATCTTGGATGCACTTGATGGAGGGTGAGATGGATCTGGCTGCCCTGTCTGCGGACCTCCACCGCACACCAATGGGCTTGCATCAGGATCGGAACAATTGTGACGGTATTGTCCAAAACCAGGAATTCTCCAAAAGGCGACTCCTCCAAATCATTTTGCATCACATCCCAGTACATAGGTCCGGCAAAATGCTTCCCATCATTGTCGAGCCAGCGGATCATGTGACAGTAATACGCCATCTCATCGGATGCGATCCATCCGTGTGTGTCAACTGCATAAGCTGCTCTTTGCTCAAAGGATGCCCCGGCTGCAAGAGTCATGGGAAAGCCCTGATATCCGTGGTGCCCACCCGCACGAATCTCTGCGGTTGCAGTGTTATCCGCTGAGGATGTGGACATCACATGAGCAGGCAGGTCACAACCCGCAGACACCATAGGAAGGAGGTGATTGCAAGCATCACGGTTGCCTGGGCGTGCGCTGCAAAGTTGCTGAGGTGCATCAACATCTCCTTTGTGCTGCTGTCCAAAAGGAACTCTGTATCTCTCAGGCCCAATCACAACAGATGATGTTCCTTCATCAACAACTGTGGTTGCAGTGTTATCCACCTGAAAAACATCTGGAGCTCCTTCAAGTGAGGGAGGTCGATCACCTAAGGAAGGCAACAATACCGCTGTGGAGCCAATACTGTCGATGACACTTGTAGGGCACCCAACAAGAGTGGTTGCAGTGTTGTCCACTCGTTGAACAACCTTGCATGAATGCTCAAGGAAGGATTCCACAACGCGTGGGTCTTCAATAGCCTCTGCATCTTCTGAAGGTGACTGAATAGGCCTTGTCCAAGGTTGGCTCACATGCCCACATGAGGTGGTTGCAGTGTTGTCCACCCGAACACCAGTGTGAAAAGTGGAGAAGCCATCGCCAAGGATTTGGAACGAGCCATCCTGGTTGTTCATAGCTTGCGAGAATAACTGCAGGAAGTGAGCGCTACTGGAAGCACACACACATGCAGAGATGATGATTCCCGTCTCACTGCAGCGGATGTTAGCACATTCAAATGCACCGGAGTCTTCAAATGGAATATTGTCAAGTGCATGAATGAAGCAGCGAAAGATCTTGGAAACCGAAATGGATTCGAAATCATCAGCGAAAACAAGCTGTGGCTTTGATGGCACTGAGAGACCCTCCTCGACGCAACTGAAGGGGATGGTTGGTGAAATCGCCCCTTCAAAGGCAGTCACAGTTCCCTGCTTGGTGAGGTGTATGCGGGTCATGGACAACTCCCCAACAATTCTGGACTTGAGACGGATGCTCCAATTCGATTGGGATGAAAAGAATCGATCAAGGGTCCACCTGTTGTTTGGACGCTGATCATCATCCCACAGGAAGAGCTGGCGAAGGAGGTCAGTCGGCCCCGACAGGACATGTGAAAGGAATTGAGTGAGAGTCTCGCTCCCATCAGCATATATACTCCGGTCTTTGAAGAACCCTTGAAGGGAAAAGGTGATTTCCAAGTTCCCATTGACTCGAAATTCCTCGCGAGGGGACACGAAACCGCTCAATGCCTGATCTATTTTTGCCAGGAAAACGAAGTCCCCCCTCTGAAAAATGACGGCATTGTGATCCATGATACGATCCTTCCAAGATGCTGCCAAGAGCTTGTGGATGTCGATGGGCTGCTTCAAGGCTGCTTGCAAACCAATTAACAGAGGCAGAATAGCGTGCTGGACGGTAATGGCGTTTCCAACACACTTGAAAGCAGCTTGAATCTTGGTTGGAAGGGCAATGGTGTCATAAGCCCCGAACAACGAGCAAAACCTGGCAGGATCAAAAAATGAAATGCCTCTGGTATGTTGTTCAAGAGCGGCGAACAACCCTTTCTGGATCAAATGGCTCTCTTGGATCATATGTTGATTCGAATATGAGGCGCATAGAGTAGGCAGAGGTTCACTGCCACTTGGGAATCGTGCTTCGATGACCTGGCACGGTTGCGGATTTGGGCCGAGTCGGCATCGTTTGGCTTTGGGGAACAGGTCAGCTTTCCCATATATGTCGAGCTCCGAAGCAGACAATTTGAGTTGCTCTGCCCAGCATGGTGGGACACTGAAACAGTACTCCTGGCTGGTCCATGGCATTCTTGGGGCCGCGAGAGGAACAATCTTGACCGGCATGTGGCTTGGGTGGTGGTCACTACGAACCCAAACCCCCAACCATCTGGTGCGATTGTGGTTGGAGAGCATATGGTGTGACACACAATCGCTATAAACCCTGGAGAAACCTGCACACTTCAGGTACTCGGTGATGATCGGAAAATCGGCATGATGAAGAATATCATCAACACATTCCATCAAGAGCATGTTGGGCTGCAGCACAAGACACGTCTCCAAGGCTTCGAGGAAAGCAATTCCTCCACTGTGTGATAGTCCCTGCCCCTTGCCGGCACGAGACCACGTTGGGCAAGGTGGTGATAGTGTTGCAACAATATTGGAGCAGTTCGCGCAAAGGTGAAGTACTGTCTTGTCGGCAACACTGGTTTGGACACCAATGAAGGCACTTGGGTTCCAGCAGAATTGGGGAACAACTGGTCCAATCAAAGGAGAAGAGCCGTGCTTCTCCTTCCAAACTGCCATTGTGATCTCATCTTGGTCGATGGAGAGTTGCTGACCGAGTGCAAACCCGAAATTGGCATCGCTGCACCACTTCACTCCCTGTTCCCAGCCTGCAAAAGCCCCTGAGAAAAAGTGTACAAAATGGAAGGAGAGGTCTTCATCCAGCGTCGGCCGTGGAAGAACGATGGTGTCGTCCCCAAAGAACCAGTGGTCGTTGGAACAAGGGGAAATCGGAGAACCGCAACACACAATCTCACACCCCAGAGAAAGGTGAAGCGATCGGCGGTGAAGATCTTTAATGTGCACCGTGATCACCTTGGGACACTTTGAACACTCTTGGAAACCATGACATGGCACAAAATCCAACAGTGTCAGCTTCACCGAGTTCTCACCACATTCCAAAATCGTTCCAGCGCAGCAAAATCCACCCATGACCCGAATCAAAGAGGCAGGTCTGCTGACAGAGTCCAGGAACGATCTCACCTTCTGGTCAAAAGGCGGCACCAAGGAAGCCCACGCCATGGGGAAAGCACGAGGTCACAGGGAATCACGATTCGTGGTTTCACAAATCGGGGCCAGCAGAACGATGTGTCTGCTTTTGTGGACGGAAGACCCTCTCGGGAGAGAGCAGCCTTCCCCCGGGCGCCCGCCACCCTCAGCACAAGGCTGCTGAGCCAGAGTGCTAATTGAACATCCTCTTCAAATGGAGGGGGGGTTGATGGTCCTCAAGAGTCGGAATGCGGTACTCCAGACCCGGCAAGCTCGGGGGGGCAGAGTCCAGGTGGTTCAGACTCATTCGGGTGTGTCATCCCAGACCATCCATAGATGGAATAGTCATCAGGGTCATGGACTTCCTGTATATACTGGATATATAACTATATAATACAGCACACCTTTTCCAGTCCGGATGGTCTGAGAATGATTGACATGGAAGAGGCATGGCAGACCCTTGGTCAAAGGGGAATGTCCAACACACACACACACCATTGATCCTCCCTGTGTTTGGAGCCCCGAATGCGGAAGGCCAAAGCGGAAGAGGACAAAGAACGCGAAGAGGATGCCGAGGACAAAGAGACCGCCGATGCCAGCCACTTGGCACGGGACGAGTGAGCTGGCCGACGGCGGACCTTTCACCTCCTGTTGGGGGGATTGGGTGTCGCAGGGCCGACTCAGGTGTCTTACTGAGGACGAGCGAAAAACGTTTGAGGGTCATTTCCAGGGTAAACTGAAGGAGCCAAGCTTCAGACGCAATGGATAGACGCTTCGGGACACATGAAGCCTCCGGTACCGGCATTGGCACTGGATGAAGGCCAAGTACAAGATAAGTGCGAAAAAACACCATCTTACTAAAGGTTGTTATAAAGATTTTGATTAGTATGCTTTATGTCATTTATTTGTAGTATTGTTCCTTTATGTTGGGATCGGATCTTTTAGTATGCTCCCAAGTAACACTTCCCCCCAGCTCTGCGTGCTCATACTCGCTCTCGGTCCCTCTCGGTCCCTCTCGGTCCAGGTGAGGACGAGAACGACGAATCGCCCCAGGACGGTGTTTCACACCCGATCTGCTCAGCCGGATCCGCGCCAGGTCCGCGTTTGGTGTGGATCCGCTTGATTGTTCATCCCTCCGTTTGGAAAACGCCAATCCCAAGCTGTAACATGATAGGAATCACCAAGCGGACCAAGCGGCATGGAAGGGTCGTTGCTTGGCTTCTCCGTCAAACATGGCTCGGGCATTTGAAATGGGTTCTGACCACCAAACGCATCTCCACATAATCACATCCACATTCTTCATGTTCAGGGCTTCATTCATGCTTCATCCAATGCCCCACTGTTCCTGGAAGAAGAGATCTGCACCTTCTTCACGGGATCAGGGGACTATGGCGGGATCATAATCCTACCCAGGAAGTCGATCATTTTCGATAACAATTGAGGGAGACTGAACAGAGTCGACACCACCCAAACTAGCTGGGATTGAGTAGGATTATGTTTGTTTACATTTTTCTTATAGTAGCAGTAGTAGTAGTAGTAGTAGTCGTAGTCGTAGTCGTAGTCGTAGTCGTAGCAGCAGTAGTCGTAGTAGTCGTCGTAGTAGTAGTAGTACTTGTAGTAGTAGCAGTAGTAGTAGCAGTAGTAGTAGTACTTATATACTACACCTGAGACGAGGTCAGGCAAGGATCTTAAAGGACAGCAACAGCAGAACAATAGACAATTAAGCTTAGATATTTTTCCAGGGCTCCAAGTTGGCGCATTAATCCCACCCCCTAAACTTCACTTCCCCTGGGCTTGTGCACTACCCCCTTGAAAATTGCTAGGAGCAAAGTTTTCGATGAGATTTAATAAGGGTTTTTGAACATTGTTTTCACGTCCGTGCTTCAGGAAACAAACAAACCTCAGAAGAGCTTAAGCAACGATCTGAAGGGACACAATAGCTGAACAATAGAAACCACTAAGCAAAGCAGTCCCTAAAAAATCCCCGCGTGAAAACGAGTTTTGTTGTTCCATCCCATTTGACTATATATTTGGGATTCATACTTAACCTTCCATCTTTTTGGGGGTTGCTTTCCCCACTGAAGGGAAAAGGCGGAGAGAGTGAGGAACTTATGTGGTTGCTGAGGCACTGAGACTTTTCATTATTTATGACCTATTTGTATATCCCTATTTACCTAGGCATATTATATATACCTGTAGTTTTAGTATTAATATAGTATATAATGTGTTTAGAATTAGAATATGTATAGTATATAATGAAATGATACCTTTAATTTCATGTGTAACTATAAATTCCAGTTGCATGGAGTGTTTGTGATTTCTGCGCTTCCTCTTGTAAATCTCCGCAGGATCGAGCTGCTTCCAACCGGCGCCTCTTGTTGAAGCTCAATGGCGAGGCGAGGGATCTCCAAAGGTGGCGCCCATTTAGACATGCAAAAAATAAGAAGACGTTTGCAATCCAAATGGCAAAGGGGTTATTGATCAACAGCCTAATTACAGTGGTTTCAGGAGTAGATGGCACCTACTGGAGGTCCACTACTAAACCACCAAACTTGGGGACTGTGCCATCGAGTTCGGGAGGTTTTTTTGAAGTCTTGAAATTGAGCCAGGGAGTTTCCTTGACCATTCGCACTTGCAGTTCCAAAGGACTGGTTTTGAGTCCCATCTGAGTGGTTAGAGTGACTCCAATAGGCGCCCCTTTGGGCCCCTTTGGAACTGCTGGTGTTTGTTTCTTCTTTGCGTGTGACATCTTGTCTTTTGACTATCGTTGACCAGTCGATTTCGATGCTGATCTCCTCGGGTTCTCGGATCGCGGCCAATGTTCTACATGACCACCACGGTGGGGTTGCTGTGATTTGATACTCTTGATATTCTAGCTGGGGAACGGATGCTTGTGATTTCACAGCTTCAAGTCCTTGCTTTCGAAGAGTTGTGGTATTGTATTGTTGAAATATGGATCCAGGGAAGGAATGATTTGCCCTTTGGCACCATGTCTTCCTTAAGGCCTGAACTTAAGGTTTTTCCCTCAACCCCAGATGACTGACATATGAGAACCATACAGTTTGCAGGGTCATTCGTTACACTAAACTAAAGAGGCAAGTGCGAGAACAAACAAAGCAAATTCATGATAAAACGCTGGAATGACTGGCCAGTTTTGTTCAAGATATATCAGTTTGCTGGCTGTAGCTGTCGGGTTCAGCATTGGAACGCCTGCAAGGACTCACGCGGAACATGCCCTGAAGACATCACCTGATAGGGCCAACACGCTTGGCTTAGAGCTTAACAGATCTGGGCTCTTGACCTTTTTCAGTGGAAGGCCATGGACGCACTGAAAAAAGACGACAGAACCATCGCAGGTCCTCGAGTTACAGAGGGAGATGCGAAGCCTCATCTTGGGCAACCCTGCATTGATGCCGGAGGTGGATGTCGGACAGCTGCTTGGCCAGGCAGAAGACCGGGCTTGGGGATAGGGGTTTTGGGCCACTGGTCACCCAGCAAAGGGTAGATGATGGCGATGTCAGTGTGGATGTTCGTTTTTGGGGAGTCTCCAGTCCACAGTTGTCATAGGACAGTTTTTGGCCAAAGTGGAAGTGCCTTTTTGATGGATTTATGTTGATGGATGTACGTTTTTGAATGACTTTTAATCTGGTTTAATGTGTTAAACTTGGTGCAGTTGGCAGTGCATAATCACCGTTCCACTGTGCTGCGATCTCAACGTTTTGTTGCCCATCTGCCCTACACCAAGCAACTGAGAGCGCGGATGGGACATGGGTGTGTATTGGAATAGGGAGACCTCCAAAAGACCCCATGGGAGAAGGAAAACATACCAAAACCCGTTCGTTGGGAGGTCCCCCTATTCAAAAACACACACCCATGAATCAATGGGATGAGCCGGGCCATGGATTCGGCGGGGTTTGCCCAGGGCGGTCCAGCTGCAACCCATCCACTGAGGAAAGAGCGCATCTTCTGCCTCGTGCACGACCTCTTGGAGCAGACTCTTGGCTCCCGTCGCGCCGACCGAGACCGTCGCGCCCGCGCTCAAGGGAGGTGGGAGTCCTCTGTTAGTTTGGTCCGCCAGTCATGCGAGTCCTGTCTTGAAGAAGGCTGAAGGCTAGGGTTTGAAGGCCTCGTGGGACTTCCCGCTTGGAACCCCAAACCCTGGGAGGTCGACCATGTCTGGAAGATTGAGATTCTGGCAGTCTGTTCCTTTTCGATCATCCCCAGCTTTTCACAGGCAGTCATCACCTCTTTGCGTTCTGTCTAGACCTCAAAAGGTGACCGGCTGCGATACCCAGCTCTCCGAAGGAGAACACTTGAGAGATACCCAGCTGCGATCCCTAGGACCCGATGGACCTTTGAGATGCTGGGCCTGCATGGTGAGCAGGGTCCTGCAACTTGGGACGAAGCCATGCAGGACCGGTGAGCCTGAGCGTGCAGGGCTTTTGGAGTGCGGGACGGCTTAAGCCGTTGCAGCAAGGGTGGTGTGATTTTTGTTGGGGGGTCCGGGGTTGTGCACAAAAAGGTCCAAAGCAGATTCTGTAGGTTTGAAGGGTTAGGGACCTGGATGGTCGGGGATGTTTTTTTTGTTTTTTTGATTGGTGTCCTATGATGGCCGGTGGCTGTGGGTCCCAATTCCGCCGCGTTGACCCCAGCCGTAGCCTCTTCCGGGTTTGACCCCAAAGGTCCTCACGGCCTCCAGGAGACCCTCGAGATGTTGCAAGCTGCGGCGACTTGGAGCCCAAAGAAGAGCCAGACACTCGTTTCTTCCACCACTCGGGGGTGAGAAAACATGGCATTCCGATGATCAAACATTATGGGGGTCTGAGCAAAGTGGGACTGACATAACCTATACCAGCACCCGACTTCACAGGTCACCACCTGCGACTTTCAAGTCAGCAAAAGCCTCCAGAGGAGACTTGTTGGAGGGTGCTGGTAACTATTTCCATCTTGAATCTTGACCCTTGAAATCAATCACCCCCATGGAGTGTTTGAGATGATATGTCAAAATGCAAGGTCCTTGGAGGTGTTTGTGCCAACTCTTTTTGTCTCTCCATTTGGTGTCTATGGCTCCAAACCCGGGTGCCCGTATGATATTTAAGCCACATCCACTTGTAGATACTGTAGGGAGAGTGAAATAGATTCATGATAGAACTTCCCAACAGTAGCTTTTTGAAATCGTCGGTTTTCTAGGACTCCGACACTTCCAAAAATGCCCAATTGCGTCTCGGCTTCTCTACGGGTTCTTTGCTCATTTGTGGTGAATGTAGACTCTTGATCAATGACCCTCCTATTTGGAGGGTAAAACCTCGTCTACATTTGGTGACTTCAGACCTCCTTAGGACCCATGTGTCCTACTATGTCCTGCCCAGGAGTTCAATACATCACCTGCAGGTCACCTTTTGGTGGGAAGTGGTTTCTACTATACACATCTATACTATATACACTAAAGAGTGGTAGAAAAGGGCAACCTTCATTTTCCAGGGAGGTGACCAATATGGTCTTGGTGTAACAACTGCCGCATGCCTGACCGTACCCCCACAGGAACTCCATAGTCGCGTTCACCGGCTGTGGCCAATGCCAGACTCACCCAGATGGGATTGTTTCTCAGTTGATGCTTGATGCGTGCTGAAGAGTTGCAGCACCTTAAAGCTCCCAGCGAAAAAAAGATAAAACATCTAAAAGCACCACTCCAACCACCTCCTTTCGCAGGCGCCTCGGCGCCCTCTGCCCTCTTCACACCCAGCCTACTACCCGGGCTTCTTTGCCCTGAACCTCGCGCCGCCTCGCCGCCACCTACAGAGGTTAAGTGACCTTAACTAGGACCCGTAACTTGGGGTACCGAACTAGGATAGTCTAGTTCGGGTTCTTCAACCTCTGCTGCCAGGCGGGCTGGGATTCCTTGGCCTCGGTCTCATTGGAAGGCCGCATCCTGCGGGTGGCTGCGCTGGTGGATGGACCCTTGCTGGCCCAGATGCTCCAGGAGACCAAGACATCAGCGAGAACAGCGAGAGAAGCGAGAAGGGTGTCAGGTGGCGCGAGAGAGACGTAGCAACATGGTAGACTCTTGATTAGGAACACCACCCTTCAACAGTGGCAACTGTTGATCTTCAATGATTGCCATGGTGAAACATGGTCATCACCCTCTGGAGCACCTTTGAGTATGATTCAGATTCAGAGGTTGGCAGTGTTTTTCTTTGGCCCCGATAGGTGGGCCGGATATGGCCGGATACTATGCCGGATCTTGGGCCATTGACATACTGCCAGCCTGGAGAGTTGCAAAATGATCTTGGGCCTACACGATTTTCTTTCTTTGGTCTGGAGAGGGTCCAAAATCATGTAGAGCTTTTCGCGACTAGTAGCTCAGACTCAGATACCGCGTATGATCCAGCACTGCCAGGAGGTCCTCCTTCCGAGCTGCTTTGAGGGTCATCCAGGCAGAAAGCAGGGCAGCACCGCCTCGGGTACTGCAGTGGGCCACTACACGCGCCACATGTTTTTGTCAAAGTTCACGACAGGTTGTCATAGATTGTTTGGAGTAATTGCACGATAAAAACAATGTATTTTTTTAATGAACCATTGATTGGATGAACATGTCGCATCTGGGAGCAGTCCCCAAAAAACCCGGGGGTGCTCGTATTGAAGCCGGCACGTAGGCGGAATACATGGGCTCAAAGCGGTGAAGAACTGGGTATTGCCAAAAGTCCGGAGAGCGGAAGAAGACAGGTTGCACTTGAAAAACAGTTGTTTTTTGCAAGACCCTTGGTCATGACTGTATCGAAAGTCGCACAAGATAATTGCTATGTATTTTTCAAGTGCATGAACTCTTTAAGAGTCATTGCAGGCAAGACAAAGAGACACGGGTCAAACGTTGGCATGTTCCGATTTTCTATCTACGATCCTATTTGATCCCCTCAGGTCACAGAAGGATTTGAAGGTCAGGCCTGCCGTTGTCATTATCTGTATCAATGTTCCTTGTGTTACGAGACTTGTGAAGGTCGCAAGTGTTCAATCCCCCCCATGTGGCATCATTGTCCAGTCTTGTTCAGAGGATCCAGGGACCCACCCCCTTCTCGAGCATACAGCAAGCAGTTGTACCCTGTGGATGCTCCCAAAAGTGCCAGGTGAGATGGGCGAAGAGAAGCACTTTTCCGAACCTTGGGTCTCATTAGCGCTCCTCTGAACCCCGCGCGCGCGGAGCTCGGCTTGAGCATGGGGATGTCAATCTTAATTCCAGATCATGAGTTGTTGCAGGGGGGGGAAACCCGGGAGTTTGTTTTCCCACCCGATTCCACGAGTTTCGCATGAGAAACCAAGAGTTGATGTTGCATGATTTGGCTATATTTGCTCAATCCCACGGTTAGCCCCGTTTCCTCACCATCTGTCAGTGAGGCGGGCCATGTTGGGCTCAGGTTTTTTTACCCGCACAGATCTTTCACCCGAACTCTTGACACCGGGAGTTGGGAGTCGGTTCAGTCGCAGCCAGTGACCCCCGAAAGATTCCAACACCGAACTGGTTTTGTGAGATACATGGACCACGGTAGAGGGACGGACATATGATGGACATGAACGGATGACAAAGGCAGACATGCACAGTCTGGACGATCCAGGTACAGTCTGGTCCCTGAGAGTGGGGATTGATCCACTTCAAGGTGGTCCCTCTCCTCTCCCACTCAAGAACTCCGAAGTGGTCCCCCCCTCTTCCTTTCGGGGCGAAGCGAACGCCTTCCACGTCACCAGGAAGCCATCCGCGCGTTGTGCCACGGCGGTGCCCGCATGTGAGCCGAGCCGAAGACACCCAGGCGGCATGTGACCCACCTGGCAAACCGACCAGTCCTATCGGTCCTTATCGCCGGTAGGTCCACCGAGGTCTGGTTTGGTCCCACAGCCGGTCCCCTGCTCAAGTGGCGCACTCCGTGAAAGTATCGACATGGAAAGATGGATGGACCACGATCCCCTTGGACATTTCCTCTGCAAACAGCTGGTGCCATCCACGAAACCATGATGACTTCAGTGTCGCCTTTCAAGATGCTGAAAAAATAGGAGATGTTTCAAGAGGCAGTGTCACGCCAAAAGCGGATGATCCCTGCTCCCTAATCTAATCCAAGTGATATCGATGAATCAGTACGTAACCTGGCGGCCCGAAACTTTCGTCCACTGGTGAGTGGGTATAGCGGTAACCGGATTCTGCTGGGGATCCTTTACCCTGCATGGAAGTCAAAGACGATGTTTAAAATGGTTGATCTGGTTTTGTAGTGTAAAACCCCTAGTGAAACAATGGTTGTTCGGTATTCAGGCCATTAAAACGGTGGTTCGACTTCTAGGCTTTACATCTCTTTAGAGCACCACCTAGAGCCGAACTCGGGTGTCGACCCCAGGGAGGTTCCCTCCACACGCTGATCAACGAAGCTTGCCCCAGAAGCGTTGAAAGGTCTTCCGACGTGGAGGAGGTGCCCCTTTTTAGCACATAGACGTCCAGTTCGACTAGACGAACCAACTGAAAGCAAAGGACGTTCCGAAAATTCGGGTCACCAAAATAAAGACCATTCTTTATTATAGTGTTTGACTTCCAGGGTGTATTTTTTTTGCTTTGCTGGGGTGCCTCCGTCCCGCGTTTGTATTGGATTCCGGGTGAAAAGGTTTGTGGATTGTATAGCTGGATTATTTATGAGTTTTGTAGATTGTAGGCGCGCTCATTTTCATGAGCCCAGTGTCCTGAGTCGCAGGTTAATCTTGATTTTGATGCCAAGCTACGATATTCTCATTTGAGGATTTGATGGCAGATACGGCAGTCAGAAACATGTTACATGTCGCTGGCACGCTGCTAGGCCATTTGGATTCCTTCGAGCATCTTCTCCTGAACATGAAGCGCAGATTTGGAGCAGCCGTCATCGTACCAAAAGTGCCAGGTAGCAACACCTCTCAGTCGTGACCGGGGTGTTTACAGATCCCCTGACTCAGCTTCGAACTTGCTTACCATTTCCAATGAGAGTCCCTCGTCCCTTGGTTCCCGGACTCATTTTTATCGGCTTACTGACGCTGGACCAAAACATTGAAGAAGGATCCCCGGAAGATGCAACCATGCAAGATAGAAACTGGCATCTCAGAGATAGAAACTGGGAGCGAAACAACAGAGCAAGACTTGACGTTCAAGGACACGGTCAAACCGTGCGCTTCACGTTCAAACCATGTGCTGATTCTGAAACCTTAGAAGCAAAACTTGGAAGTGTCATAAGACATTCGGCACGAAAGGATTGGCTCTCCTGCTTGCTGCTCCCAGGAGGCTCCAGTCGTACCTCCTCAGAAGGTATTGATACGTATTTGGGCATGTCAAACCCACCCCAACCAGATTCTCAGAGGGTGGCTCTGGCGCTTTCCATTTCGTGTAGATGGACGGGGGACGCACCAAGCCGGCTGAGCCAAATGGTTGCTTTCTGAACGTCCCATTTCAAGTCACTCTGAACGTCGGCCCCTTCCTCCCGAATCATGGCAACTGCAATGCTTCCCAAAGATGTGGTCTGATGATGGATGCTTCAGCATGCCAGATTTGAGCTCATCAATCATCTCCACTCTGGCCCAAGCTGCACCCCTTGGCTTGGGACTGTCAGCAAAACAAGATCCCTGAACAAGTTTCATTTACGCGGTCTCAGCCTTGGGGTAGCTGGGAAGAACCAGTCACGCCATTTCGGTGTCTCCCCTTTTGGTTTGCTGAATCCGGGCAAGCCAGTGCATGCTTAGCTTCTCCTCGCAGTTGTGGGGATGGAAAGGAAATCAATGCTGCTCCAGAAGAAGCGTCAATTATCGTTGATTGGTGCTAGCTGCTTTGGAAGGTGCTAGCTACTTTGGAATTTGTGCTTTTGAGTTTGTTTATGCTGTTTGGTTTCTTGGCAGTAAACTCGCCGGATATCGATGATAAAAACATATTTGTTTGCAATGCAGCAGTCAGTAGCTGTTCACCTACTATGCTGAAGCTCGACGGAGCACTGTGTACATTCAAGAGTATCAACAGACTAGATTGGCGTCGTAAACTGAACCTTTTGGGATTTACCAGCTTACATGTCGTGCGATGCAGGAGTGGTTCAAAGGCATGTCCCAGTGAGGATTGGGCACATCATGCAAATGGCACATTACATTATCACGAAAGGTAGCCCTTTAGGGGATACCTTGAGTTTATCTTGCGAAGCAAGTGTTGGGACGTCCGGGTCTAATAATTGATCGCTCAATTCAGACCCCCCCCCCCTCCCCCCCTCTAAAATCAATTCTCTCCTGGAGAACGTCTTCGTGAGCCTCTCATGATTTTAGGATAGTTGAAACCCTCTTGAACATTTAGAAAGAGTGAATATGAAATTCTAATCACGAAAGGTGTTCTTCGAGGGGATACATACCTAGAGTTTGTTTTGTGAAGCACGTCAATTCTCTCCTGGGGAGCGTCTTCGTGAGCCTCTTATGGTTTCAGGATAGTTCAAATCCTATCATGTTCCGATTCAATGCTCACCGATGATCTGAGCCATGGGGCAAGTTTGTTTTCCTAAGAACCTTTTTGAACATTTCGAGAGCATATGTTTGAACATTTAGAGTGCATATGAACATATATTTACGAAAGGTCGCCTCCGAGGGGATAAATCACCATGTTAAACATTGCATTTTTGTTCCTGCCTCTCGCGTTCTTTTCTCTTCCCGCTGTCCTACCTTTCGTGTCTCCCTCCTCTCAAGTGTATCATTAATATTCTTCTTTGAACTGATTTGATCAAGGTGAAAGCTAGCGCAACGCTCCAGAAACCGCAAGAACAGCAGTCTTTTTGCCGGTTCCATCTTCACAGTTTTTCTTCGACTTCCTATTTTCACAGAAGTTGATTATTGGAGCCCAGGATTGTCACATATTGTCGGCAGCCCTTAGCCCACCAGCAGACTCAGACAGGGCTCATGACGGATTATGTATCCTAATGTGCGGCAGTCATCCTCAGGGTTCCACCGTGCGACACGCCCCGTTCGGCGGATCGTGATTCACGGTGTTTGCGACCGTTCACGGGTCGCTCAGAGGGGACCTCGTTTGAACAGGCAACCCTAGCTAGTTTGTTTCTTTTCTTCGTTACTCACTTGCCTTCAGTGACGCCAGATGGCGAGGCGCCAAAGGGGTGCCAGAGGGGGGTTTTGGAAGATCTACCGCTCCCAGGATGGTTTACCATGTTTTGTGCCAAACGTTTGGTGTAATTATAGTTTTGACTTGACCTGAATGATCCTGAATGGTGAAACCAAGAGAAATGAGGAACATGCAGGGGTGGCTATAGAATTCCCCGATGCATTTGCGCTACTTTTTTGGACTGGGCCAAAGGCCCAGAACCGTGAAGATTTGCCAAGTTTCGACCATTCTGTTTGGATTCTTCACCAGGGACAGCTCAGGTGGCGTCACGATGCACAGACATGTGTCGGTAATTATGCGCCACCACGTGCCGCCGCTTCCCCAGCCTGCTTTCAGACGCATGCGCTGCATCCGCTAGCCGATGCAGGCCTGCTAGCGAGAGTGGGAGTTAAGTGTTGTTGTGGTTAGTGGCTGCACAAGTGTGAGAACATCTTGCATTCTTGGACTGATGAGCCAATGAGATTGGGGGTTGCTGTCTAATGCTGCAGGTACGAGAAAATGATGAACCTATTTATATATATTACGGGCCGAGAGAGTTAGCCGAGCACGGTCATTCACTAGCGCAATTTTTTGGATGCGTTCAGCCCAACCATGCCATGACTTAAATGGGCTAGGAAGTCAGTATGGTGAGTGACCTCCACTGCTATCGAGTAGCACTTCGGACTTTGGGAAAACTTGCGCTGATCCCATCTTTCCTCATTAGCCCATCCTTAGCATCACTAGACTGGGTAGTGGTTTCAGATATCGTTTATGTTCAACTGTTCAACGCTTTCTTGGGATTGACCCCACTGACCTCACAGACCTAATTTTTCGAAGTGAAAACCCACCAAGGAGTCGATCACTTCGTCCCCACGAGTCGATCACTTCCTCCCCACTCTCCGCTCATTTGGCTCGTGGGTCAGCGTTGTGCGGAGATGGAGCCAGGAGAGGAGGTGCGGCGCGCGCGCTTTTCTTCCTTCTCCGACCGGCTCGGGCGAGAGGTGCTGGCAACACGAAAAAGAACGATAGTATAGGCCGGTATGCAGATGACTACTAAATAATATAGAGTATAAGAGTGTACACACATGTATATACAATCGATGTAATATATTGTTACATAGTATATGGTGGTCCCGAAATGGATCGTGGCACGTTTTATAACACATCGACGTTTCTATTTATTTGGGGGCTACCTACTTTAGGTCTCTATGCGTGTAGCTGTTGCATGTATGATGGAGTGTATGTTTACTCGATTGACTCTTCCGGGTTCACCCCGAAGGCCAAGACTAGGCCTTGGCTGCCAGCCTAAGCTGGTGGAACTGATGCTCATGGGTCAGTCGGTGACCTCGGGCGTTTTTCTTGTTCCACCTTTACATCGGATCAAATTACAATGCTTAGAGTAGATGGCACCATCGCCAATGTCGGTGGTTTGTACCGACCCGCTTTTTTACCAGACAATTTTTGGGTGTCATCTACTCTGAAACCACTGGTGAGTGCCCCCTTCTAACCCAATGGGCCAACAAAACAGGAACACACTTCCATTTGTTTCACAAAAGTAGTTCGCAATAACCAGATGACTGGTCATGACCCCTCCACAGTTGTTATGTTGTTCATTTCTTGTGTCGCATGTTCAGCCTTGGAGGCTGAGACTTTCATGGGACTAGTGACTAGTGCGCATTTGGATGGATCATGTCCGCGCTCCGCCCCCCACCGCCAAGGGCGTGGGGGTGGATGATTGTGGACGGGACAATCATGGAACAACCCGGAAAGATTGCCAACAACGAGAACTGGTGCAAGGTTTGAGTCTTGGATGTTTGGGAGTGCCTTGATACATAGGGCTGGAGTCGTAGAAACAGCTTTAACTGCGAAACAATTGAGTCCATTGATTATTTGCATGAACTGGCATGGCGTTTCTTTTTTGCCTGAAGTTTGCGTCTTCAGTGCTTGCTGGAAAATCATCAGACCCTGGCGCGAGCTGACTGTCTTGAACATGGGTGGTTTCGAGGACTTCGCTTGTCGCAAAGCGTCGAAGAGTCGCAGTTCGTGCCAACGACGGCACACGATTACGCGCAACAGATGACAATGATTGATTTGGTCGTCAAACTTGGTCTTTGCAAGTACTACTGTATGAGAGTCACGACCTTTGGATGGTCCAGAGCGCCTCCTAGAAATGATCTAAACATGAACTTAATGCGAAGAGTCAATATGAGTTGTTTGGAGTAGAATGGAGTAGAATGAGTTGTTCATTTTGAAACCTCGGGTATTTGGTCACCCTTTAAATTTCAAGGTTATGGAAGGACAGTCAGGGTATATATATATATATCATGCGCTTGGACCAGATAGTCCAACAGCTCCGCGGTCGCGTCCCGTGTCGCCCCACCGAGTCTCGGTCGCGAAACCGACGGGTCCGACTTGGAGTCGGACCTCACGGGTCACGGACCCGACCAATCCGTCCCTCCCCGAACGCCAGGTTCGACGATCCCTGCAAGTGCTCATCGCCTTGACAGCCGTTTGGCAGCTGCGTGCTCCCGCGCGTGGGACGCGGCCGGTTCACGCGTGCGGCCGGTGTTGGACGCAGTGCGCGTTCGGTGTTGGAAAAGGGGGAGTCCGCGTTCGGGAGGGAGGGGCGTCACGCGATGCGGGCTTGGGAGAAAAGGATTGACCTGAACTGAGCACATCACCTGGAAGTGGATGGCAGGTGGTTTGCACTTCCATGTGTACTTACATTGACCCCTGAAACCACCCAAGGTAGTGACCTGTGCCATACATAGAGGGGCCCAGATTGACCTACAAAAGCAGTGATGAGGGTTGTTGCTGGGCGCTTCAGGTCACTGACTCCATGGGCCAAGGCATTGCAAGGCCTTTCACTTGGGATGGGTTTCGGTGTGTCGAGGCAGCTCATCCCAAAAAAGATGTGCACCTACAGTGGTTTCAGAGTAGATGGCACAGACCCCATGATGTCCTTTAGATGGGGGTTCCGGGGGTCCATATAAACCACCTCTTGGGGTCTGTGCCATTGGTCCTCTCAATCCACTATAGGTGTCTCAAGCATCCAACCTACCCAGCAACTGTCCCCCAAACACCACATCTTTAGACCTTCGGACCAGGACCAGGGCGATGGCCTGAGAACGCTTGTTGGCTTTCCGCAAAGGAGAAGACATCTCAAACCGTTTTAAACACCAAAACTCATCTTCTCCAGGGCTCCAACTACGTACTTAGTGGAAAGGTGGTTAGGGTTTAACTGCCCGAAGGGTTGGTCCACTGCCTGAGGAGGGACAGGAACCGGGTTTTTCACCGCCTGAGAAGGCGGTTAGGGTGGGTGCCAGGGCGATTTAACTACCTTCTGAAGATCTGCTTGGAGCCCTAGGGGAACTCACCGCCTGCCGCCGAGGTCACCGCCACCGAGTGCGGTAAGGTGGCCTGGTCGAGATATTGGAACGTCGCTTGGCGAATTCGACGGGCGGACGATGGGGCGGCACCGTGGTCGCCTCGCTGCGCCGAGGAGGTGAAACGACCCAAAGCGGTGATTTGCTGGAATTCGTGGTTCAGGAACGATGGATCAGGCCGCATGAACAGTGAAGTATTCACAAACGGTTGCGGCCAATGAGATGACGGCGCGCGTTTGTAGCCAAAAGATCAGACATCAGATGACATCAGAAGAGCACTACTCCGATGATTCTGTCACACACGTGGACATGGAGTTCACCAGCCGATCCAACGGTGTTCGAAACACCTACCAGTCAAGATGTCTTTTAGATGGGGATCCATATCAGCCACCGACATTGGTGATTGTGCCATCTACTCTCAATCCACTGTATTTGGAACATGGTCATCCAACAGGCCAATGTCTGTACTTCCTCTGGCGGTTTCAGGGTGTGTGGGCTAGGGAGGCATTGTAGGGTTTTTACTCTACACAAGGATCGAAACATATCTTCTTCGCTTCTCTGCGGCGGGGTTCAGCCACCATCCCAGGATGGCTATGGCTACTGGTGGGTGAGTGCCAATGGCTTTTCCTTCTTTCACAACGAAGGCGGTTTCCACGGCACGGGAGGGCCGGAGCTCGTATCGGGCGCGGTTTCCGGGCCGATCCCCACGTTCCGTGGATGTCTCGAGCGGCTTCCAGTGGGTCGCAGGGTCCTTCAAATGGATTCCTTGGCCGGGAGTTCAGTGCATCATGTAATTAAACCTTATATGCCCCATTGACCCCCAGTCAACCACCCCTGGCCGTGCCACTCGGCAGTCCGGTAGTCCCAGACAGGTTACTGTCTGGGTAAGGAACGAGTGGACAAAGGAACGACGCATTTTCCGAAACCGAGGGAGTCGGAACAGCTCCAACGGTGAGAGGTTTTTGGTGGCTCCAGGAAAAGCATTGGATTGCAGAGGTATTTTGAAGGCTGCGTGGCCAGTACGCCAATCTTTGATACGACAATTGGACCTGGGTGTGTTGAACCAGAGTTGAGCCACAAGCAGACTGAAAGCTACTAGGGACGTTCAAGGCCTCAAGGGTTTGAGATATGTTGAAGATGGAAATTTGTGCAAATTGAATTTTCATGAAATATCCAATGTGACACTGTGACACCTTCTGAGGGGCCAACAGTTGAGCATACGACAAGCCAACCAATTCGTAGAAAAACACAGACACGGCCACGGCCACGGCAACTATGTTTGATTGGTTGATTGATTGATTTGATTCTCAGGATGCTCAAAGACATCCTTTGAGCCAATGCAGAGAGAGAGAGAGAGGAAGTGCTTTTGTATGAAACATGCTGAAACCTGGACAGCGGATAGATCCCGCTTTAGACGCTAGAACCATGTCAACACGGTTTTTGAGCCTGGTCCAGGCGGGGCTGGCCAGCTTGTCGAGCCTTGGATCCTGTCGGTTGGGCGGAGAGAGGCGATCTTTCGGCTGGGTCGACGCCAAAAGCCTGCCATGATGCGAACATGTTGGTGGATCAAAAGCCAGCACTTCTTCAGAAGTCATAGTTTTTGGGGCAATCACTTGGCATCATCACTTGGAGGTTTGTGCAAGTCAAGTGGAATCTTATCGTGACCTCCACCCTTTGCAAAGCAAATCATGGAAGTTCAAGACCCTCTGGGGGTGGACACATGGATCTCCAGCCTAAAAAGAAGATACTGTAAATACAACGTCGCAGGATGTCGCAGGGCACATCCAGCCAGAAAACTATATGATAATGCTGTACCCGAACAAACACAGATGTTTCCTCATCCTCCCCAGCCACCTCCCAGTCAGTGCCCCCCCAGCCAGCTCCTCTCAGGAGGCCTTGCTGTCGCTGATCTTGGCGCTGCTGGCCATCGACCTGGTCATCCAGTGGGTCTCCGAGACCCTCGGGACGCTTGGTTTCGAAGCGCCGGTCGGGCGGTCCACTGAGACGAGACCTTCTTCGGTGGAAGCGGGGTGCTTCCACAAAGGAAAGTGGAAAAAGGGAGGAGGAACAAGGTGTTCTTGAACATTTCCACGTGTGGGCGAACAGTTTGAAACCATGTTACAAGTTGAAATTGGTTTGGGTTCTAGCCGAGTCTAGTGGCCGAGTATAGCCGGAAGTGTTCAGATCAGTTGTTGAAGTGTTTCATGCGGCCAAGGAGCTCCCGCACCAAGCAGTACTAAGCCCTGGTGGTGATTTGTTTGGTTGAAACAAGTTACACTCTGACATCAAAAAGTGGACGTGCGGGATGACTCACACCCCTACAGAGATGGTTGAACAGTTGGTGCCACGTCCTCACCTATTTCGTGACAGAGAGGACGCCAAATCGACTCATCGACCGGTCACGCAGCATGGCCTCGACGTCGCTCGCGGTGCGAGCGGTACAAGCTTCAGCCGAAGAAGGCAGGATGGCTTTGGTATGCTTCGAGGATCGCTTGAAGCCAGTCCTTGGGGCGATCCCCGTTGTCTATGACCGAAATCACTGGGGTCATCCCCACCATGGTGGTGTATTGACACAGACTGTCAATGTTTGCATGATTGCACCAGAGTAGATGAGTAGATCGCTCAGCCCGAAAAAAGAACCAGGTGGTGTCCGTCCTCGGAGGTGAAGTGAATGTTTGTCATGTTACTCCGAGCATGCTGTACTCCCAGTACTTGGTTTGGCTTAGGGTGTTCTTTTCTCTATGAGTGAATCCCCTTCCATCTCCGGAGTTTGTTTTATGTCCGGTTCCCTCAGCAAATCCAAGTGTGGGTGATGTTTGTTTCAGGCCTGCGGGTTTTTGGGCACATCAATTAATGAGATAGTTTTGACTTGATTCTTAGCTGGTCTGAAGAAAGCTAGCCGCCAACCGTGTCGAACCAAAGGCGTCATCAACCAACACCAGCAGAGGTTGAAGAAGCCTGTAGACTATCCTATAGGTACGTACTCCTGTAGGGTCCTATAAGGTCACTTAACCTCTGTAGGCATCCAGAATCCAGATCGAGACATTCGTTCAAGTTGGAGACCGCCCCATCCCATTGTTCGGCACCCCTCGCATTTAAGAAGCTTCTGGGCATCCCAGAAGCCTCCTGAGGACGGCTACAGCCAAGAAGCTCGGGGGCAGGAAGTTGGGTGAATGGCATGGGAAGGGAAGAGCTGCCACTGCGGCCTGGAATTAGCACGAGAAAATGCAACGAATTACTGTTGAAACTCATCTTCCGTGGTCAGCGTCGACGTTGGTTCTCAGGTCAGGTGTATAATTGGCCAGTGTCATTACTTTGCATGTGGCAAATGCGTAGTCTGAGCGCCGAGCTTTGAAGGATCCCAAGAATCCAAGTGGCTGATGGTCAGGCTTCCTCGGGCTGACATCCTGGGGGGGCCGACCAGCGAAAGGGCTAATGACGGTCCAAGGGGTCTTCTACAATCAGCTGGACTTAGGCAGTTTGTTCGTTGGCCTGTACCATGCACGACCACCGGCAGTCGTTGGATGGTATTCATTGGTATTCATTCTGATGGATTCCACCTTCACAAGACGGAAGCTCCAGCCATGCCTAGTAACCCAGATCCCACATAGATCCAATTAGATCCACAGATCATGCATAGAATCAGGAATAAAATGGAATAAATAAACAATAAGAAACATACACAAAGACAATCAATAAGTTTAAAGTAATGGCCATATAAATTACAGTCTTACAGTACTAATGACCTACGCCACCACAAACCACTCCAACTGATCGGTGTCCATAGGCCAACCCCATGGAGTATTTGAGTGACCGTTATGCACTCCTCCCGATTGGTGTTGACCTGCATCCATCGTGGGGTGTGACCCTAGCACGAAAAGGCACAGCACGTGAGGTCCCAGGAATACATAGACCATCATAGACCCATAGATGCATTGGTGGGTATTCTGCTCTTTCCTCGAGCTCGGCCACCGAGGAGGCTACATGTCTCCATCGTCCTCCTCTTGGGGACTCTTTGTACCGCTGACCTCGCTCTGGCTGTGGGCGCCGGGGGTGCGCGGGTCTCGCTGCCACTGGTGCTCTTTGCGGTGACCGAGTGTGGATATGCGACTGGGACCGGAACGGGGTTCGGAGGTCCTGGAGTTCTGGAGCCTCCGAAAAGGGTGGTTACACAATGTTACACATCTCAGGTGGGATGCTTTCTCAAGCATGCCTAGAAGAAGTTGCATGGTTGTCTGACCTAGTGCCAAGAACACTGAAACAGGATGACAATGGCCTTTGTTATATCAATTGAAGACATGCAACGCCAAGATGGAGCTTGACACGGGCAAGTCAAGTGGAAAATACCAAGGGCTTGTGACCCAAAGCGGAGTGAAACGATGAAGGAGCCAGGTGAGGTACAATTATTTGGAGCGTTGGCTGGTCAACATGCTTTGTATGGGCCTTTGATGGCCTATGAGCAAACGTTTCGCCACGGCCAGCGCAAAGCCGTTCCAGTGTTTGTCATAGCAAGAGTCACCGGCAGCAGTTTGCTTGAGAATCAGCATGGGTTAGGATCCGGTGGCGGTGTCCTATTTCCATCTATTTCCAGTGGCTTGAGGTATGCTACTGACAGGCTTTAAACTCGAACCCCGTTGCATAGCAATTCAGCGCCACTGCTAGATGTTTGGATGTAAACCGGATGCAACCTGGAAGGTGAACCTGATGCCTGACCAGAAAATGCAGACCCCTCCTGCAAGGCATCAGGTCGCCTTGCTGGCTCAGCCATAGGAGCACCCAGTTGCTGCAGTTTTCTATCAATGTCAGCCCTGCTGGGGGGGACTCGATCGAGAAGAGCACCTCCTCCTTGCCCATCCTTCGAGGAACAACACCTAAACGCCTCGTTTCCAGGTCTTTCGAATGGTTCGCCCATGGCTGCACTTCGTGCTCATGAGCCTCGCTTTGGTCCTCTCCGTGCTCGTTTTGCTGCTGCTACCCTGCCAACGGCGCCTGGCCAAGGCGACGCAGACGCGCTGGCGTGTGCCATGGGCTGCGAAGCTGCTGCTGGCTGTGGGCTGTGGTCGCTTGGCTCTTGGGGTTTGCCTCTTCAAAGGACTGGATTTGAGTTGAACATACTGTAGTTGAACCATGAACCCAACAAGCTTGTGACCACCTGGGCCACCTGGGCCTGGAGAATCCCATTGGCGGTGGGACTAGGAAGAATCCAACCTCCCAAAGCCCTGTTCCTCGCTGTTCCTATCAGGACCGCATATTAGTCTTCCAAGAGGTTCCAAAGGTCCATGCCATATGCCATCCACTTCCATGTGTCTGAATTATTCCAAGACCTACAGAGGTCAAGTGACCTTATAGGACCCTACAGGGGTACCTATAGGATAGTCTATAGGGTTCTTCAACCTCTGCTGGGACACCTCCCCACATGGAGACCTCTACATCCTCGACCAGAATCCTTTGACCTCGGCCGAGGGCGGCAGCTTTGGTGCTACCGGCGCACCTCCGAGGGCGTCGGCGCCGATCTGCTCAGCCAGCTGGGCAGCGACGCCTGGGCCATGGCGCAGGGGAAGCTGCTGCCCTCGAAGAACCGCGAGGTCGGAAACGGGAGAAAGCGGGTGCTGCTGGGTGGGTGAGTGGATGAAGGTGGGTGAAGAGCGGAATGGCACCAATTCCATGACAAATTGTTCTTCAGTGGTTTTGGAGTCACTTGTTGAAGTCAATGACTTTGGTATACTGCAAATATTTGTACACCCTAGAATCCCTAGAAGTCCAAAGACTATATTTTGACCGACTGAAGTAAAGGAAATTCCTTTTCGGGTCACCTAAAGACCATTATTTTTATAGTCTTTGACTCCCAGGGTATACATATTTGTATGCCATTTTCATCTATGTTCTGTGCGGTGCCAGAATGTGCCAAAGGGGGGTTGGAAACGACTGGGAACTCGTACGATGCCTGATGCTTTGGGCGGCTTGGTTTGTGTATATCCAGTAGCCCTCGCCGAAAAAGGTCTTCTGGGCATACCTGCTTGGTTTGTCGGATGGTTAGATTGGGGATGGATAAACATGAACTAGCGGTCAGCCTCACAAGATTCAAGGAAAACCGCTGTTCCTCAAGGGTCAGCCACCCTTCCCAGCTCATTCCCTGCTGGTCACTCCAGCCAGCCACTTCATTGGTTCATATCCTTTGCAGCTTGGCTGGCTTGGCTCTGCCTCTGCAGGTACTGGGCTCCCACAGCACCACGTCGACCGGACTCTCAGCTGCACTTTCGAAGCCGATTTGGATGCGACATAACTGGCACCTTCGTCCAGACATTCGTGTGCCTCCAGACGCAAGGGGCGTCATTTGCATTAGCTAGAGTATTTTTGGGGAAGATGGCCATCAAAGCTGCTTTGCTTGTTGCTTTGGTGGTGCTGGTTTGATGATGGGCTGCTGCATGCTGCTGCTGTTTGCTGCTGGGATGCTTCTGTTGTTTCTGCTTCTGGTGTGCTGTTCTGCTCCCAGTCTAGTTGTACTTTGTCAACTCTTACCTGATAATTTTTGGACCTTATAACATCTTATAACTTATAACTATTCAATGTTTGAGAACATGTGCCTTGTCATGCCTTGTCTAACTATTCGGTTGTTTCTCTATATTTCTCAAGATTGCGATGTCTCAACTGCCACTACTTGGAGCTTGGCGGTTGGACGGACCACGGGCCTTCTTTAACTGCAACTGCCTCGGAAGTGCCAGTTGCAGTCAGACCACTCCACAGAGATCCGTCGTGGCCACTTCCTCGAACTGAGGTTTGTCTAGCTCCTTCCCACCACTCCTGATCTTCCACTGGGAAGCTGCGGCCGATGTCCTTTTGGAGGCAGTCTTCGACGTCTAACTCGCGACGTCGCCCCCTATGCGGTTGAACATGAAACCACTGGAAGACTATATATAGTCTGGGCGTTTCCAGGGCGTAGGAGTTGGTTTTAGTGGAAGTCCGGGTGCACTCCGACTTCCGACATTGCCATGGGTTCGTGGAGTTCCCCCACTCTACTCGAGTTCGCTGTTTCTATTGGGAGCTGTTTAGTCATCCAAAGATCCAGGCCCTCAGGCCATCCACTTCCAAGACGCCTCGTGTGCCTTCCAAGACGCCTCCAAGACGCCTCGACCTCAAACATTAGAACGCCAAGGTCGTTCTTCCACGTTGACGCGACCTCGGAGGGTGTGTTTTGATGTGTTTTGATGGTGTACCTGGTACCTGTAGCACTGTAGCATCGACTGATCTCCTCCTGGAACTGTGTGGAACTGTGTGTTGTTCAATCGCTGGTCGGGCAAGGGTGGTGTTCATTTTTTGGGGGAGGAGGCTCGTTAGAACCAAGGCGGATGCGGTTCTAAATGGATTTGGTGACTCAAGACCCGGCTAAGCATCCTCAGAACTTCCTTCAGACGGAACAGACATTTTGTTTGAAATGTGCCAGTGGATGAGAGGTGATCCCCACATCCCTAATGTAGAATACTCTGTAGACTCTTGATTAAACCTCGAAGAGGATTTCCAATTGGACCCCAGGGTTTATGACATCAAGAGTCTCCATCGCGTTGGTGCGCGCCACACCGCCAACCGCGGTGCTGGCACGAAAACTCCGCAGGCGTCGCTGGCGGCGAACGCCACGCCCTTCCTTCATCAAACCTTGGCGCGGCCGGACGTGATCTCGGGCAGTGCGATCGCCGGGGTGCCGGTGACGCTGAAGACTGCCTGGGAGGCGCAGTCGGACTGGTCCAAGGAGGTTCTTGACTGTCACTGATCCGGTGGGTTTCCCCGTTTCGCCTGGGAGGTCTGGAAGGCCACATGCGAGGTCTGGAAGGGGACACGGGATGGGTCAAAAATAAAGTGCTTCCCGGTCGGTCAACCAAAGTGTGCGGGTTTTGACCCAGAGCCATGGTGTTCCATGATGTGGCACTTGCCTGTTCCACGATTTGGCTGACGTTTGCCATGTCGCTCCTGAGAGGTGTTATGTGGCGTGTCCCCCTCAGCGACGGCAGACTTCAGGGAGCAAGGCTCCAATCTGCGGCACCGGGGCTGATCAAGCGGATGGTGGGCGGATCAAGTGCTTGTCGGGGAATGCTTTGACCCTTAGGAGGCTACGGCTTCAGGCTTCAGGCAGATCAGCTGGACTATTACCTGTACTCCTCTATGGCCAACCGTTCCGTCTCGCAGCCGTTTCTTGGGCCGACCGACCGGCCGACCTGCCAGAAAGCCACATCTTGGGTTCATGTTGGATGTGAGGCAGTTGCGTCGTTAACGCCTGATCGATGACCCTGATGACCTGCAAAGGAGCCCAAGAAATCCCGGTTTGCGAAAGGTGGGTATACCAGATCATGCCAGATCCTACCGCACCCAGTATACTACATGTGGTGTTCGGGCTTTAGATTTATCCACATGTGGATGTGCACACTTGGCTCCACCTCGTCATTTTCACATGTTCACATGCTTTCAAGCACGACCTGCCTGCCATGCATTTTGCTCCGGCTTCGCGTTCTCAGAGGTCTCGAATGTTTCAGCCCTCCGAACGACGTTGCCATTCACAAGCATGGAAGCGGATGCAGACTATATATACTCCCTGCAAAGGAAGCATTCAACAAAAGGGCAGCTTGCACATCACTTGGCGTAACAACCCCCCGAATCCTGAACAGAGACATGCTTTGTTGGAGATTAAGAGACCACGATAGCCATCACAGCGCTGCCTACCACCATGGCGGCAGGACGGAATGTGGGACGGCACAACGGTCCACAACATTACTGTAACTGATCTCAAACGAGAGGGGTGCGGCATGATGCCGCACGACTTAGGTTCGATGTCTCTGGTCCAGGGGAGTCCCCCTGTAGACAAAGAATTTGAATCATTCTCCCATGTGGAGATGTAGGACCATCCAGTGGGGGGTTTTACAAACACAGTAAACACAGTATATCACATGATATCACCAGTCTATATAGGAGTCTATATTAATGAACATCAAGTAGTAAACACAGTATATCACCAGATATCACCAGTCTACATTATTATGAAAATCACTTCAAGACACACTGCCTCCTTTTCGCAGGACATGGAGCAGCCTGACATCGAGAGCGCCCCTCCCGTGAGAGTCTTGACTCCGCTGGACTGCAGCGACTGGAAGCTCCGGGAAGAGAAGCAACGGCGGCTGTGCGGCTCGGCAGCACGGAAGGCGTTTGGCACGGAACGGCTCGGAGGTTGAAGCGGTTTTCAGCTGGAAAAGGGCGAGCGCAATGCGCCAGCAGCCTTCTGCAATCAACAAACTTGATTGGTCCATATTTAATGCATATTTGCAGATTTGGGGGGGTGGTTCGGGGGATCAATGTAGGCATGATTCAAGACATGGGGTCATGGAGTGTTTGGGGATGCTTTGGGGTGCTGGGGAATGTTGGGGCCACTTGTAGCAGCATGTCAACAAAGCGGTGAAATAAGGTTGAATCTATCACCGTGAGTTGCAACGGAATCTGCAAGGGCCCAAGTCATAGCAGTAGGGCACGAGGGGTGGCGTTCTTGATGTCTTTGGTCTTTGGTGTTGCACATTGCACATCACAAGCGGGCCAGGTATTGAGAAGATCCAGCAATTTGAAGTGTGGCGAGAGGAGCCACAGAGACGTTATGTGACGTTGCTTCGCTTTGGCAAGGCCCCCCTTCACACCCCATACCCCACACATTGGGCGGCCTGAATATGCCCTTTCAAAGTCGCGATTGAATTCGAAACTTCCAGGAGTCACATGGAGTTGGGTGGTGTGGCTCGTCCCATCCAGTGAGTGGATGTGACAAGGGCACCCCGGCTTCCTCCATGGATCGCACCCCGTCTTGTGACTGCAGGTTGTGATTCTTTGCTTGGCATTTGTGACACTCATCAGTGGGATGTTGGTCGGTGCAACTCCCAGACTCCCAGACACGACTAATGGGACTGGTATATTTACATACATTGACCCCAGGTCAACCACCCCAACTGATCGGTTAATATGGCAGTCCCATTAGTCGTGTCTGGGATTGGTGGAGGACAACATCAGATCGGTGGGTTGAAACTTGTTCAACTCCTCTCATCCGCTGTTCTGATGAAAAAGGCGACCCAAATGATCCCTGGTTGTTTCAGCCGCCAGATCTGTTCGAACAGAAGCAGCAGGAGCAGCAGCAGAAGCGCGACAGCCTCGACGTGCAGAGGCGGGAGCGACTCAAAGAAGCTCAAAATGCCAAAGAGGAGGCGGCCGCCAAGCGCTCCCTTCAGGTGACATCGCCGGCTTTGTGGGGTTGGCAACTTTTTTTCGGACTGTGGAGGAATGACATGAGGACATGGACTTAATGTGAGGTTGATGGGTTGGCTCAGACAACATACCTCCGTGATTACTACCACAGAAGGCCTCCAACATGTCGTGCCCTTCTGGAGGAGAATCAATACTTATCCATCCTCAGGTCTCTGCAAGTTGGGAAGATGACCTACAAGCTATAGGCCGAGGCTTGCTATTTTGACGAGTCCGAACCTATTTGCGTTTCTAGATTCTGCCTGCTTGGTGCATCTTAATTGTGCTTTGGGCAGCTCAACTATGCTTTGGGGCAGGCTTTAGCAGCAAAGTGCTTGCTATATATATCCACTGCATTGGCCATATCCAATATCCAAGTCCCACATTTCTCACTCTGGAATCCGCTGCCATCGTTCGAACACCCTTTCCTTCTTTCCCACCGAGGCCATGATGCAGCGCCGGCTGCGGCAACTGGAGGCCGCGCAGCGCGCCGACGCGCGCCGCGCGGCGCTGCAGCAGCGCGAGGAGCTCCGGGAGCGACGCCTCGAGCGGCGGTCGACGCAGCTGGCGAAGCAACGGCAGCTGCAGTGGAACGGGATGGGACAGAAGGCAGGAAGGCTTTGAGGGGTGGAGTTCAAGCCAGGTTGGAGGGTGGGAGATCAAAAGGTCAGGGTTGGCCAACCATAAATCAAAACGATTTGGGCCTTCCAAGAGGTCAAGGTGTCACCAATGTGGACCCAGAAGTAGGGTAACACCGCAACAAATGCTGGTGCACGGCTGGTCCATTTCTTCAGATGTAATGTGTGACAATTAACCGATTGGAAACGGCAGGACCGTCCTCTTTTGGCCACTCTTGTTGACCACCAAAGGGGATTCATGGGATGACAGATAGGCACCTTGGATCGCGCTGCTAGCACCACCGGGGTGGCCAAAGAGTGCGATGCCTCGGACATGGACAGAATGGGTCGCAAAAAAGGAGGACTAATGGACCATCCGACCTGGTCTCCAAGAGACTTCGTGTAGACTCTGGATAGTACTCTGGATGAATAACCCTCCGCATCTGAATTGACAAGCCTCTTTACATGGGGGGGTTATTAATCAAGAGTCTACATTAGTGACTTACACTGTGACTTACTGCACATCGGGGGTGTCACCAGCACCACGGATTCCGGGTGTCCATGGTCCTGGCAGAACGACTATATTTGTCATTATTTGTCCATATCAGGTGGTACAGAGTCTTGCCTTTCAACAGTTCCAACTATAGAAAAGGGGCCCCTGAAAAGGCGAGTTCAAAGTGTAAGTCCTTCCAAGCTCCTCTAAACCACGATATACTGACAAGGAACATGTTGTAGATGTCCTTCGCCCCAAGACACGGCTCAGCCCGCCAAAGTGCGCCGCCCACGTCCAGTCTCCAAGGCTCTCATCCTTGAAGTCCATCAATCGCTCCATGGACATCGAGCGCCAGCGCCGCAAGGAGTTGGCGGCTCGCGAGCTGCAGGAGGAGCATTTGAGGCGACGGACGGATGCAGTTGCAGCGGATCCAGGTCATTTCTTCCCTGGACAGTCCAGGAAATCAAGGAAAAAGGGTTGTCGAAGGCAATCGGTATAAGATAATTATATCATATTATATCCTTTGATTTCTCCACCAGTTTGGTTTATGCTGCCCGTGTCCACCTAGCAGTTTGGCATGCCAATCTCCTTCCAACGCCCAAGCCGGACGTTGTCGGTTGACTCAACGTCGGTCTCGTTGGGTCGGCACATTGACCAACAGATGGTATACGCTTTGGCTTCAGAAAGAACCATTTGTTGGAGCAACTCTGAATCAACACGATCTTGAATTCAGGAACTTGGAATCAACGATCAGTTGCATACGTAGCTGTTCTAGTTCATGGATTCCAACCCAGACCACACGAATGCGCCATATGCAACATCGGGGTGGTTGAGTGTGCGGTGTGCCCCATGGATCGGGTCGCCGCATCCCATCGGTTTTCGCTTCTTTGCCAGACTAGACCAAACTGATATGGCGCCATAACGCACCGGACACCCCGAGTTCCTCGGGGGCTTCGATTGATAGCCCCAGATGTTAAGGGGATTTAAGGGGTGTCCATTCACCAGCCCTTGTGGGTCCTGGTGTGGTTTTGTTAGTGGTGTTTTTGCACAAATGGCATTGTTTGATCTTTACTTCCAAAGGGTCACAGATCCACCTGATCCTGGCCAGGCGCAAGGCAGAGCGTGCAGAGGCTTTGGCGTTCGAGAGGCAGAGGCTTTGGAAGGTCCGGCAACAGGAGCGGCAGGAGACCAAAGCAAGCTGTGAAGCGCTGAAGGAGGAGTTATTGCCACCCGGATGCGGTTCGAGCAGAGCACCCTGCGACTCATGTTCGCTGGGTTGCATGCCATAGTGGAAGCTGGAGGAATGTCGTCATGCCAAGCAGGGCCATCCAATTCCAAGTGATGCCCTTTGACTCTCTAACATGGAAGTGGACACTGACCCCTGGGAGGGTGATTTTCCTCCACAGACACGGTGGGAACTCCGCTTCCAAGTGAGTGAGTCACGGTTTGTGTTTTTTCGTGGCTCAAGCCGCACCGGAAACCGGACATGAATGGCCACGATCAGGTCGTGCCTCTCCAAGCGATGATGTTTCCAAACAGGACCGAAGTGAACCCAGATGTGGCCGGATGTGGACACCCTAAAATGGTGTTTAAGGAATCATCGTTCGCCCCGCTTGCGCGGCTGGAAGTATGCCTTCTTTCCAGCACCACTTATGAGCCGCGTGAACTGTGTGTCGGTGTTGTGGGTGTGTTTTCCGCCCCGAGTCGCGTCTGTGAACTTCTTTGGTTGCGTCCTCTCAAGACACCTGTCTCTACAGCCTGTGCCCGACTGGGTGGCCATACTCGGATGCTTCTTGGGTTTCTTTTGCAACGCACTGCAAAATTATCATCTTAAATCTCACTTAGAGTCAAGGACCTAGGCTGCTGGCATTCCAAGTAACACGGAAGTCGACCAACTTGGACCCACTTGTCCGCTAGACGTCCGAGGGCGACCGTGTTCCACCGTGTTCCTTGCCATGTCTTGCCTCTCAAGTCCTCGGGGCCCTCAACTCAAGTCCTGCGGCGGAGCGCAACTCAAGACGAGTTCAGGAGTTCAGGAGTTCAGGGAGTCTCAACAGATCTCCTAAATCACGGCAGATGTAGGCAAGTACTGTACGTCAATTATTCCAAGTTGATGAGATTCGGCAAATGTGGTCGATTTCCCGAGGCGACTGCGGGCTCGAAACCCCACCCAGAGGGCACAAAGTGCGCCGGCCTTGCGAGCTGCGCGTGGCGTGGAGGAGCTCGCGTTGTGATGTACATAACCGGACTTTTTGATAATTTTTCAGCAATACAGTTGAGAGCAGGGAAAAAGAGTCACCACATGTTTAAGAAGATGGTGTTGCAGCTAAACTGGATATAGCTGCACCATTGCAAGCGGGTTGTATAGTTGTTAGACAGTGCAAGAGACATTGAGGGCGTTTTGGTTTGTTCTTGTTGGTGTGAGCAGCTCCCTCTCTATAGTGCCACCTGGCTCAGCTGAGTGCCAACTGGCTCGGCGGAAAGAAGCCGCCAGGCTCGGCCTTAACATGAGGCCGCCAGCAGTGCCAGGCTGCCTCATGAAGATGAGGGTCATTTTGGGACTGGAAAGGCATCCCGGAACATCTTGAAGCAGAAGAGCCCGCAAAACAATTGCTGCTGAGTGAGGTTATACAGCTATTGACGATTGGGAAATATGAAAGCGCGAGGAGGCTCAGGGACACGTTGCTTGATTGAGCGACCTTGCTTTCAGAACGGTATGGTATGAGAGGGGGCTGAACCAAAAGCGGTCTGGCCGCATGACCTCTCAACTCTCTTCAAGAATACGACGGAAATAGCAGGAAGTCCACTTCGGGCTCAAAGATTGAAACTGCTGGCTTAAACAAGCAGCTTCCCCAACTGGGTGGCTATTGGGTCATACATGATGATAAATTACATAAAAGAAAGGGTCCAACAACGCTTCCAGCCGCATTATTACCACCTTAATGATTGGATTGGATTGAACATGATTTGGCGATTCACCCGGAGCCCGGAGACCCTTGGTAGGTTGACCGTAGAGCGACTATGTAGTCCGTTCGGAATCACCAAGAAGTCCCCCGGTGCCATTCCCAGAAGAACCCATGGTTTTGCCACCATGGACACCGCAGGATCCCTCTGGGTCGAGCCGCGAGGTGAGAGCGATGGGATGGTGGCCGGTCATGGAGGTTTTTCCAGAATCATTGAACACCAGGAGCTCCAAAGAGCGTATTAGAAACGCCCAAAAGAAGGATCCTGTTCCCAAAGATGGCGTACATTGGGTCCGGGTGGTTTTTGGCTGGTGAATGTTGGTCATCATTGGCCGCCATGGATCGTTTAGGCCCAAACGCCCGCCAGGGCGACTGGCGGACACCGACAGGTCCACAGAACGCACGGAACCCCGCGCGCACTGAGGCGCGAGTGCTTGCCCCGCGCGTTGAAGCGGTGCTGCGGCTGCTGGGCCGTCATCGAGTCAGTCGACCCGACTCGACCCGGAAACATCCTGAAAGCATGTCCCAGACACGACCCATGGGACTGCCATGTATATGCCGCCCCAGACAGACCCCCCTGGCACCACCCCAAGTGATCGGCAGTCCTATGGCAGTCCCATGGAGTGTCTGGGTTTGCCCAAAAGGAAGGCGTAAAAGTCGACCTTCCTGGTAGTCCATCACGCCTGGACATAGGGAGTCACCCTGGACGAGCGATGGCTACGCAGCTTATGACCGACCTACTTCCTTGGATTAGCAAGTTTGGGAACCTATCTCGACATCCGAACGCCCTTCACGACACACCATCCTCGAAGTCATTTCCACCTGCCGAGAAACCGTTTCCAAATACTCCATGTATGTACGTATGCAAATACGTATATGTAATATGTTGGCGAACAGTTACAGCTATATAATGTAATATATTTATATATATATATAAGTTTATATATTATAAACATATATATATAATTGTGTACATATGTAATGTACCACATTGATCCCTGAATCCATCCCAGCGTTGGTCAATGATGCCAGGGAGATGGTAATGTTTATTTATGACCATTTCCCTTCCCAGGCTACCGATCCGTCTTGGCCAAGACGGATGCTGAGCTACCCGAGCTGCCCCGGAGGGTCTTCGGCTTCGAGGCGGGTGTCCGGAGCCAGACTGTGGGTGAGCATGTTCTTGGCCTACCTGGTTTTGTTTAAGGTGAATTGATGTATCCGAATTTTCTTGTTCTATATATACCAGGAGTCACACGTTGGGGTGGTGTTTAGTTCCATTTAGTGAGTGGATAATGAGAACCCCTGTCTCCCAAGTTCGGCACCCCGACATGTGACTCCTGGTCGTTTTGTTTCAGGTGAATGTTCATTTTCTTTGTGGGTGAATTGCCAGATATCCCCAGTTCCTGGGGAAAGCACGGAAGGATTGGCGTTTTTCTGCCCAAGTCGGGTCAGGTCAGCCCGAGCCCGCACCTACGTCCACCGCGGACCGTGGTGGGCATTCGGCGAAAATGACCCATGTCTGCTAGTGACCATCAACCAAGCCTAGGTAAGTGGCATCAACATACAGCTACAGTTGATGGTCCCTACATGTCTGCTGGATCTTACCACAGCCGGACTAACTGATTAACAGGCCATAGTGGAGGCGCTACCTGTGACCTCTAAGAGGGCAGAGCTACTTTCTCAGCATCCGTTAGACCAGGCAGTTCAAAAGTTGAACATCTCAGAACTGCGCTCCCTTGGCTGATTGTAGTGAGCAGATCGAACAATCTGGAGCTCCTAATTTCCGGGGGGGTAGTTTAATTTGCTCGAGTCAAAATGATACGGCATGCTTAATGATGCCCATTACATAATTAAGGACACAAGTAAAACGCATAAACGTTGTTTTTAAGCAAAAAACTTTAGAGCTAGCCGCGTGTGTGATGGCAAACCCTCACCCTTCAAAAGGGTCGCTTGTCCGGGCAACATTTGCCCCACATCGTGTTGTTTGATGATTGTTTTGCTTATTGGCCTCGCCCTGGGCCAAGCTTCAGCGCCTGTGCTGGACACGAAAAAAGATAGCGGCCAATTCAGATGCAAAATGCCTCCAGCTGCGGGACAGAACATCCATGATTTACTATACCAGTAAGAGTCTTTTGTGTCTTTAAGAGTCGGTAAACAATGATAACTGATCACTATTTTGGGGAACGGTTTTTACATCTCTTTACTAATTGTCACCCACTGTTCCTGGTAATGTTTCTAGCCCCAATCCATGCGCTTTCCATGGAACCAGTTCGTGTGCATGCGGCACGGCTGTGGTGTGGGTGATGTAGAGGCATTGAAGGACTTTTATGAACTATTGGCTTACCTGTGGAATGGAAGTTGCGCCCTGTGAATCACCCCGAATCGAATCAGCCACCGCAAGCACACACTCCATGTATGGAACATGTTCCGATCAGTTGGGGTGGTTGCAAAGGGGTTGCAAAGGGGTCTGTGATATATTTGTCCACCATTTACATCCTTGGGGAGCCCGTTGACCGCCCAGCTTGCAGCTTGGAGGCCACCATCGTGGAAAAAGACATGGAATCGCTGCTTCCCAAACTGCATGAGCACTTGAAGTCTTGGGATGCCTACAACGGCACGCCGGTCTTTGTGTGCCCCGAGTCGATGCCACAGCGATGCCGATCCGGTCGTTGTCTTTTTCCCCGCGTACATCGGGAAACTGGAAGACGAGTCGAACTGCTTCGCGATGCTGGGTGTTTCAATGCCGTTCGTGTGGGGTGGAATATAGAAGGGGTTGTGGTTGTGGTCGTGGTTGTGGTTGTGGTTGTTGTTGCTTGTTGTTGCTTGTTGTTGTTGTTGTTGTTGTTGTTGTTGTTGTTGTTGTTGTTGTT